TGGGCAGCTCGCCCAGCCCACCTGTGGGCACCGCTGCCCGCTCGCCCCCACCCGCCCTGGCCATGGCTGGGGTCAAAGGTCAGGGGGAGTCCGCGGGCCCAGCCCGGCTGGAGAGAGAAGAGCAGAGATGGAGTCAGCCCCTCTCACAGCTGGTGTATCGTGCGCCCCTCATGGCACCACACTCTGCGTGTCACACGTCACATACACCCCCCCGGTGCATCACACGCTCACCCACCAGCGTGAGCACACACGCACTCCATACACAACGCCCAGACACACGTGTTGGGCCGGCACCTGGACGCCACCGGATGTGTTCACAGGTCCCCAACCCGCACACGCATCCCGTGCCCACCCGCATGGCAGCTGCGCTCAGTGTGAGGACACACGTCCCCGTGCAGGCTCTGAGTGTGCACACGCACAGAGGGATGTGTGATAACACACCCATGTGCACACACCCCCTCCCGGTGCATGGGGCTTGGGGGGACGGTACCGTGGGGAGTGCCCAGGGGGAGGAGGATCCAATCCCCACCTTTGGCCGGTACTCAGACCCCCTGGGCCAGGGGCAGGGCCTCAGGGAGAGCTGGGTGAGTGATTTGCAGGGGAGCAGGGTTTGCGGGGGGCTCGGCCCATCCTCCCCGGAGTTCAGCCGGCAAGTGCTGGGTTTGGGGGCAGAGGGCAGCTGAGGTTCTGGCACCGGCCGGAGCTGGATTTAGACGGTCATTTTCTCAGCAGGGAGCTGGGAGGGGTTTGGGCAGCGCTCGGCTCATGGAAACCATCGTCCCGGTCTTCCCCCGCAGTCTGTGGTGCACCCACCGTGTCGGCTTCCACCCCCACGGAGCAGGGCAAGTGCCAGGGCAGGGGGTGCCCTCCCAGGGCCTGGGGGTCTGACACCCCCGTTGCTCAGAGCGCCCGGGCCCCCTGCCCCCACACACCAGCTGGCTTCACCTAGGCTTTGGGGACGTTTCCATCCTGCAGCTCGGGGGGCGGATCAGAACTGAGCCCCCTGTGCTCCCTGAACCGGCTGAGTCCGGTCTTGCCACAAATCCATGGCTGCCTGGCTCAGCGCGGGTGCCCGAGACTACGGCGAGACGGCAGGAGAGGAGTCCGAACTTCCCAGCCCCCGCCACTCCCACCAGAGGAGAATCTCTGCTAGCCGTCAGCACTACAGGGCTCATGACCCACAGGCGAGAGGGGCTTAGTCCAAACAGCAGGGGGCAGGGCTGCACCAATCACCTGGGCTCTGCGGCCCATTTTCAAACCCACCCACCCCCAGCCTGGGGGCAATGGGGGGCAGGGCTGATGGGAAAACACCCAGCGTGGGGCAGGCAGAGACCAGGGAACCACTGCCCCAGGGGGCATTGGTAAAGAGTGGGCTCAGCAGGCCCTGGGGAGCAGGCCAGGCTGGCTTGGGCAGGGTGGTAGGAGCCTCTCACCTGTGGGTGGCTGGGTCCAGTCTAGGCCCCTGTTAGCGGCTCCGGCAGGTTGTTCCCATCAGACGGTGCCGGGAGTTGAGTTTGGTGGGTCACAGGTCACTCCGGGTGTCATGGATGCTACATGCTGGATCCGCCCTGTCTCAGCAGCCGGCCAAGGGATGAAGGAGCTGCAGCTCGAGCTTCCCATCTGCCCCTGGGCTCAACACGGCTGGAGCCCTGGGCAGTCCACCAAGGACCTGGGGGCCAAATACTTTCGCTCTGCCCCCCTCCCTGCTCCCCTGCCAGCTGGGCTCCCATCAATTGAGGCCAGTTAGACCAAGTGGCCCTGGTTTTCAGGGAGGCTCAGCTCTGCTGAGTGCCAGGGCACCAGGCGGGGTCCATGGCTGTGTGGCACCCCCGGAAATCAGGCCCTGAAAGTACCGCAGCCTGGACCCCAAACCGACCCGCTCACCCCTGAGAGCAGCCAGCACTCAGCAGAGAATGTGTGCACTGCCCCCTGGGCCATGGGTCCCCTTTGTGCCCCTCCCCACCCCCAGACTAGTGTCCTGGACCCCCAGCACCCTGGGCAGTTCTTACCCCAGGGGATGCAACATACCACCTCTGTGGTTTGCATTTTGCCCTGGGACAAGTGACCCCTGGGGAAAGAGGAGGTGGGGAAAGAGGAGGTGACACAGTGGGGGTGCGATGCAGGAATCAGCCCCGTCTCTATCTACAGCCCCTTCAGCAATGGGGCCCTGGCCCTGCTGGGTACCCCCACAACACCCAGCACGATCCACAACGACCCCACCGTTCCCGCTCCGTGTCCGTCCTGGCTGGGTGCCCAGGGGGGCCAGCCTGAACGGGCAGCCGAGAGGAGATGCTCTGGGACGTGGGTCACATGACTAGCCAGGGGGGCACAGAGCCCTACCCATGGTAAAGCCAGGTGCTGGGGCCCGGGGAAGGTGGGCCCATGTGTGTGGGGCTGGCCCACAGGGGGGCACAGGGGCAGGTCTCGGCCGGTGTGAACATCAAGGGGGGATCTGATAGCTCCTGTGGGTCTCCCTAGCTCTCAGCCAAGTAGCACACACAGGTTCTGGCTCAGCCAGCTGTGAGGGGCCAGAGGCCAGGGTGACGGGCTGGGATCCCCGGCCTGGAGACACTGGGAACTGGCCCTTCTGGCCCGGGGCCCCCCAGCTCTCCCCGGGGCCCGGTGTCCACACGGGATCCCAGCAGTCGAGAGTGAGCAGAACTTGGTGCCTGCGGCCCCTGGCCGAGCCGCCTGGAGGGGAGCGCTCCAGCTGGGGGGCGAGAGTTGGTTTTTTTAACCTGCCGGGGTCTCTTTAAAAGGAAACAAGGCGAGAAAGTCATCGCAGTCCTGAAATAGGGCTCGGGCTGGCACCGCAGGGGGCGGGAGAGCGGCCAGCGCCAGGCCTTTGTGTTGGCGGGCAGAGTCCACCTCGAAAAGTCTCCTTAAAAAAGGAAAGTGTGAGTGGCTGACTGCAGGATCCTGCACTGGGGGTTATATTTACCCGCCTGACTCAGAGCCCGAGCTCACCCCTGCCCGGAATCCGGGACACTGCTCCGGCTGGGGGGGGCAGCCGGAGTCCAGGGCGCCAGGAGAGACGGGGTTAGCTAAAGGACAGCAAAAGATGATTCCCCCGCAGCGAGCCCCGTGGGGAGCTGGAATCTTTGCCCCGAGGGCTGGGGCGGGGAGCTCCTTGGCGTGGGGTCTGAGGGCCAGTTTGGGGCTCCAGCCAACGGAGGGGAGGGGTCCGGGGCCTGGCACTCCCGGGGAAATACAAGGAAAGGGAGGAGCTAGACCAGGTGATGGGGGTGACTGGGATTAGGTCTGGGACATCTGGGTTCTATTTCCAATGACAGGAAGGGAGAGGGGTCTCCATGGGTTAGAGCAGGGGGGTCTGGGAGGCAGGACTCCTGGGTTCTTTCCCTGGCTCGGGGTGAGGAGCACGGTCTAGTGGGTTGGAGTAGGGGGGCCGGGAGGCAGGACTCCTGGGTTCCATTCCCAGCAGTGGGTGGGGAACGTTGCCTACTGGGGCAGAGCGGGAATCAGTCAGGACTCCTGGGTCCCACACTCATTCCCCGGCGCATGGCACCTCCTGGCTGCCCTGGGCAGTGAGGTCCCAGCCGGCTGCTCAGACCTGTGTCAGGGAGATAATGACAGGGCCCGCGGGAGGTGGAGGAGCTGGTTTTAAATAAAGTGCAAATTGGACACATTAGTTGTGCGGTTTGTTTTCTTTCCAGCTGGGGGATCCTTCCCCCATGGGCAGCATGAGTAAGAGGTGGTGGCTGTCCCAGCATGGGGGGCGGGGGGGCTTTTTGCCATCATCCCCCCCCTTCCCCTGGGTGACTCACCTGCTGGAGTCCCAGCAGCTCCCTAGGTGCCCCATGAGGTCAGAGCCCTCAGCCACAGCCCAAACCAAAGGTTGGCAAGGGGGGGCCCTTCACTCATTCATTGCCCCCCCCCTTGCCCACGGGGACCCAGTGAGGCTGCCAAGGGCCATGCCTCCCCCAGCACTGATATACCCCACCCAGGATTCATGCATCTGGAGGGATGGCGGGGGGGGGGCAGGACTCCTGGTTGCTATTATGGGGGGGGGAGTGGGGTCTAGTGGGGGTATGAGCGTGGGGGGCTGGGAGCCAGGACTCCTGGGTTCTCTCCCAGCCCCTGGCCCCCACAGACCCATGTTATTCAACACAGCTTTGCTGCGGGGGCAGGCCGGCGGCTGCGACGGGGGTGGGGAGAAGCTCCCCCAAACAAAGAGCCCCGGGACCGAGCCATGCCCCGGAGCCCCCGCCCCGCGTGCCAGGGGGCTGGGAGCTGCGCCCGCGGGCCGGCTGCGGGGGAAACCTGGGTGCGTCGCGCCCTCTAGTGGCGGTTCCGGGAGCGGCCGCCTCCAGGCGCCTCCCAATTGTTTGGGGATGGGCGCGGGGGGGAGGGTCTCTTCTACCCTCCCTGCGCTCGGTTGTGAACCCTGGTGCCGGGGACGGGAATTCTCACCCCGCCCGCCCCCCACCAGGGAGTCAGCAACCCAGTGTTGAGACTCGCCTGTTTCTTGAAGGCCTTTCATCTCCAAGGAGCCCAAAGCCTCTTTCCCCAGCAATGGCTCCGCCCAGCGCGGAAATGCAGCCACCTCTGGGGTGGGGGGCGCAGCAGCTGTTTGGAGGCACAGGGAATCCCTCACCCAGCAATGGAATGCAGCCACCTCTGGGGCAGAGCCCTGCAGCTGTTTGTCAGCAAAGCTGCACAGGCGTCCAGGCGCGGGCAGCTGCAAGTAGCGAGGGGTTGGTCAGGGTATAAACTCACAGACACGGCAACAAGGCCGGAGCAGAGGCCCCCCCCAGGGGTTTATTTCTCCGTGGAACATTTTACAGCAGGCTTAATTCACACAGAAGAGTCTGGGGTACAGACCCAGAATCCTCCATTAACTGCCCCCCGGCAGGGCTGTATCCAGGGCAGGGTGAGCAGGGCAGCTGCCTAGGGTGCAAAGGCACGGGGGGGGGGGGAATGGGGTGTAAAAATGGTGAAAAAACCCGATGGGAGTGTGTGCAAATATGCTTGCTCACCACAGGCGCTAAAATGGCTTGTTACAGCTCTGCCAGGAACGGTGCCAGGCCGGCACTGACTACACAGATGGCGTGAGAGGGAGCCTGGCCTGGGGGGCCTAGCTGGGTCTAACCCGGTGCGTCCCTTCCAGTCGGCTCCCTGCACCCCTCTGGGCTCCCAGCCCCACCCCTGGTGATGAGCCCTTCTGGGGGTCAGCCTTGTTCTCCCAAAACTAAGGGGTATTTGAGTTGCCCGGCTCAGCCATACCCCACTAAGCCACACCCTGTCAGGACACGCCCCTCATGGACACGCCCTGCCAGGCCCCGCCCCTCCTAAATATGTGAGAAGGAGAGAGGAGGGCAGGGGCAAGGGGAAAAAAGCGCAGGGTGCATGAGTGGGGCAGGGCCCCTCCATCGCCCTCACCCCCTTCTGGGCCCCGCTGCCCCGGCCCCGCTCAACTCCAACCCCCCTGGCTCCCCAGCCTCAGGGCTGGGTCCCGCCCTGGCCCCCGGGGGCCCCCCCTGGCCGGCCGGGAGGACAGTGGGGTCGGAGACGCTGCTCTCCAGGCTGCTGCTGCTGTAGGCCAGGGCGTCGTGGCGTGGGCGCCCCCTCCAGGCCACGGGGCTGCGCGGGGCCGGGCCCTCGGGCTCCTCGTCCGTGTCCGAGTCGGGCGCCGTGTGCCGGCGGATGCGGGACACGGCCTCGCGCAGGTCGCGGGTGCAGAGCGCCGGGCGCTTGGCGCAGGGCCGGGCTCGGGGATGCAGGGCCTGCGGCTCGCGGCGACTGGCACCGTCCCCGGGAGCCTCCCTGCCCCAACCCGGCCCTGGCTGCACTGGTGGATTGGTGCCATCCCCAGGGGTCTCCCTGCTGCACGGGACCCCCGGCGGCTCTTCGGGGGAAGCAGCCGGGCTGGGCAGCCCATGCACTCTGGGGACCTCCACCAGCGGCTCCGGGCTGCCAGGAAGGGCTGCTCCTGCCTGCTGGCCCCAGCGCCCAGGGGTCTCTTGCTGGGCACAGGCCCCTTGCTGCTCCACCAGGCCCAGCTCGGCCGTGGGGAGCCCCAAGATCCGAGCCGCCCTCTCCCCCAGGGAGCCGTCACCGGGGGAAGGGGAAGGGGGTGGGGGCCCTGCCGCCCACTCGGAGGCCCCAAGGTGGGGTCGGCTGGCCAAGAGCAGCCTCTGGCATGGCGAGGCCGGGTCCCGGGGCGGGGGGGACCCCAGGAGCTGCACCTGCTTCCGCCGGGGGGGCGGGATGTACTCGGCACGGATCACCACGCAGGTGGCATCGATCACAAAGACGCCCCCATGGCAGCTTCGGCCTTCGGCTGTGGGGGACTGGCCAGGTGCCTTCCCCGTGGGGCGGGGAGAGGGGGGTGCCCTGCGTTCTGGCCGGCCCCTCTGCTCCCAGCCCTCCCGCTGCCCACTCCTGGCGCTGCCCATGGAGCTGGGCGCATAGCCAAAGCCCCAGCCGGAGGGGAGTCGCTGCCAGCCCAGGGCAGAGCTGGGCCCCGCTGCATCCCAGCCCCCGGAGCCATGGGCCCTGCCAGCCTCTCCGGATGCCCGGGGCAGCGTGTGGCTGCCACCCTCTGGGCTGGACAGCGGGCGGAAGAGGGAGTCGGCCGAGCCACCCCGGGCCGTGGGTCGCACCGCGCCCTCCAGCCCCGGGCAGAAGAGCCCTGACCCAGCGCGGCGCCCCAGGGAGCCCGACCCCGCATGGTAGCTCCAGCCACCCAGGACCTCCTGGGGGAGCCTGGCCAGCCGCGACCGGGGGCGGCCTGAACAGGGGGTGGGCTCCGGGCTGCCCCCGGCGGGCCCCTTCCCATGGGGTGCTGCCCGGCCCCGCTTGGCGGCCGGCGGCTTGGGGGCGGCGCGGGGCCGCTTGGTGGGGAGGGTGCGGTGGGGTGCGTCGTAGGCGGGGGGCGAGACATAGGGCGGGGGCCGCGGCTCATTCGGCTTGCGGCTGCCCTGCCCCACCCGGAGCCGCCTCAGCATGTGGGTCTCATAGCTGGGGGGCCCGGCTGGGGGTGGCCCTCTGGCGCTCCCTGCCAGCCGCCTCCTGCCCAGGACGCTGTCCACTGCCCCCTGCCCCCTCCTCTCTGGGGGGGCTGCCCAGCCCAGGCCCCTCCTGCCCTCCGAGCCGCCCCTCGGCTTCCTCTCGTTGGGGGCGTCCCAGTCCCTTGGCGCCCCCTTCCCCAGCCGGGGGTCGCCGCTGGAGGGCAGGTGCTGCAGAGGAATCGTCTTGCTCCACGTGGGGTCCTGGTGCGCACGGGCCCCCGGGTGCCAGGCCGGCCACAGCTCAGCCGCGAAGCGCTTCTCCAGACACCTGCAAGGCAGAGACCCACTCAGGGCCCAGCCTGGCGGGAGGGGGCCCGGCCGGCCCACCCACTGCTAGGCCACTTGCGGGGGGTGGGGCTCAGAGACTGTGGGGGTGGGGAGGGTCCCACTAACTGGGGAGGGGTGCACACCAGGGTGGAACATGGGGCGACCCTGCTCCTAGCACTACCCCTCCCACCCTGGCAGACACCCCCTGGCTTTCCTGGCCCCGTGGAGAGGGCAGCAGTGCCCTGGGTGCCCACACATGGGGTGGGGGACAGGCAGGGGTTGCAAGGGGTTTGCCGTGTGCAGGAAGCGGGGGTGACTGATGGGAATCGGGGAGCCTGGGCCAGCAGTGCAGGGGCAGGGGGGCCCTGTTGGGCTGATGCCAGGGAAAGGGGAGATGCGTCCCAGTGCTGACCCACAGCCCCCTTCTAGCCCAGCCCTGGGCTCCCCGCGTCACACAGCTCTGCCGGTGCCCCTCACGCCTGACCTGCAGCCCCCTGCTCAGGCAAGCGAGCCTAGGGAAAAGCTTTGCAAAGCGATGCCCTCCGCCCCCCGGGAGGAATGATCTAGTGAGACAGGCCCTGACTCACGCGTACTCCCCCGAGATGCTCCGGTAGATCCAGGGGGTGCCGGAGCCCCGTGCGGGCCAGTGCCCTGGGTCCATGGCGCTGCCGTGGCTGCAACAAGAGACCGTGTTAATCTCAACCACCAGCAGGTCTGTCCGCTCGCAGATCTGCAGGTGCCCAGTGCCCGGTGCCCCCCAAGGCCCATGGCCCCCCAGCACTGGGCAGCCCAGCATGGTCCCAGGGGACTTGCTTGTCCGGGCGTGGCGAGCCGGGAGAGCCCACGAGGGAGCGCTACGCGGAGAGGGAGGGATGGGGGCTGCCTGCGCCCACGGGCTGCTTGCGAGCTAGGGAGCTCTGCGCCAGGGCTGTGTCGGCAACATGCACCGGGAGCAGCTCTTTGTGCGGGCGGGTGAGTACCAGCCTGCCAGCAGCCGGAACAGAGCGTGCACACGGGGAGACACACACATACACACACCCCCCCCCCGAGTGCTTGGACCGTGCACGCCCTGAAACACACGCAGCTCTCCAGCCGGGCCTGCAGCCTGGCCCCTGCCAGCATACCTGGCATGGCCCCTCTCCCGGTGCCCTGCAGACACCCCACTCCCCCCAGCCCCCACTGGCGCCTGGCTGGCCCCTGGGCGATGGCAGGACCTGCAGCTGAACCCCATGAATGCTGCCCGCTCCCCGACTGCTCTGCGGGACACCACGTGGTCATGGGGGGCGGGGGGCTTGTTGCTGGGGGACACCCCCTTCCCAAGTGATGCCCCAGACCCTGGGCTGCCCCCACGTACCTGCTGATGGGCACCTCCTGCAAGCCCAGCTGGGCGGAGCTCAGCTCAGCCTGGGGCCCGTGTGGGGGGGGGTCATTGCTGGGGATCCCTCCACCCAGCAGTGCTGGGGCCTCAGCAAGGCGATGGGCGCGTGGTACCTGCCCCCCACGACTGAAAGGGCCTCCCAGCTGCTATCCCCCCCACCAAAGCTCTGCTGGTGTCACGACAGCCCCCCCAGCCCTGCCGGGGGAGGGGGCAGCGCCGAGCAAAGCTGCTTAGTGGTTAGAGCCAGGACGCCTGGGTTCTGTCCCCAGCTCTGGGAGGGGCGTGTGGGGCTGGGCGCCGGGATGCCTCGCCCGGCCAGGGCCATGGTGCCTCAGCCCTGAGCCTGCCACACGGGACATGGAGGAATGAACCCACTGAAGGGGGGGGGGGGGGATCAGGGCTCAGCTACCTCAGGCTTTACACAGGGACCCCCCCCTTCCCCCCGAGAGATGCCGCAATCACAAAAATTACATGGTTTGGCACAACGTGCTGCAGCCCACGCCGGCTCCGAGCGAAACCTAGCAACCAGGCGCCGGCATGGCAACGGGCCCCGGCACGGGTGGCACCAGCTCTGCCGAGAGGGGCTGGGGGGCTCTGCCGAGGCGATATCGGGGGCCCCGAGTCGGGCTGGGGGCTTGTCCCTCTGGGTAGAGCAGCAGGTGGGGGGCTCTGCTCTGCTCTGTCCGGGGTGTTCACTGGGGACAAGGGTCCCTGCTCAGTACTGCTGACGGGAACCCAGGAGATCGGGACGGGGTCATGGCCCCCTTAGACTCAGGGCTCCCACCCGGGCCAGAGCAGGATCCGGCCCCCAGGGCAGGAAGGTACCAGGCCGCGCCCAGTGCGGGAGACAAGCCTGGGCGGACGCACCCTGTGCCCACCTCTCAGCCCTGCCCCAGCAGCGCCCCCCATGACCTGGCTGCCTGTTTCCGTCGCTCGCTGGGCTCTGGGCTGGGCTGGATCGGCACCTTCGCCCCCTCCGAGCCGCGGCCCTCGGACACCGACCCCGGCTGGATTGCAGGGCCCTGGAGCCGGGACGGCAGCACTGACTGGAGCAGGCGGCTCCAGGGCCGTGTTATTCCTCAGCCCCCCCGGGCCCTCGCAGCCTCCCACCCGGCAGGGAATGTGCCTTGCTCAGCACCGCCCGGGGGGGCGCCAGGGCTGGCGAAGCCTCGCCATGCAGGGGAGCTGGGGCACTGAGATGGGCGAGGACTGGGGGGGGGATGAAAGTCCCCCACCATGTCGCTTGCCTCGAGACCCCCGTTCCCAAGAGGCCTGTTGATGACACTGCTGGGCTTGGAGCTCACTGAAGCCTGTCGACCCCACACCAGCCCCAGCCACTGGTGGGTCACAACCCCCCCCCCGGCACCTGTCACCCCCTCCCCGCCTTCCCTGCAGCCTGCACCTGGCACCCCCAGGCCTCCCATCCTGCAGCCTGCACCTGACACCCCCCAGTTCCCCTGCTGCTGATCCTGATCCTCCCCAAGACAAGTGGCTGCTAGTTAAGTTCATGGGAGCTAGTTTAAGCTCCCAGCCTTGCCCATGTCCCCACTCTCCCCCCGGCCCCAGGTCAGAGGTGGCTGCAGGCCAAGTCTTGGGACCGTGGTGGGGGCTGCTTAGGGGGGTGGGGCAAGGCCCAGGAGGTGGAGGGTGTCCATGATGTGACAAAGTGGGACTGTTCTTAATGTTTCCTCTGAATAGTGTGGGGGTGCCTCAGTTTCCCCTAGGCAGTTCTTAAGTATCTTGGGGGTGGGGTAAGGATGTATGATCATTGCAGAGCCCTAGAGAGCAGGTGTGTGCAGGGCTCTGGACACAGAGAATGGCCGACACCCTGTTTCCTGGCCACTGATGGCCTGGGCCCTTCCCCCCTGCAAGGTGAGAGCTAAAGGGTTGGAGAACAAAGGAATCAGGTGACCTCCTGGCCCGGGACAGCAGCTGGGCTACCCAGCCTGTGCTAGCAAGGCCCTGGGGCCACGCGGAGAGCCAGGCCGGGGTCCCGGGCACTGAGGAGGCTCCTGTGAACAGAGGAACCCAGGAGTCCTGACTCCAAGAGCCATGCACTTACCTCTGGCTCAGGCTCAGAACCCAGGCGTCCTGGTGCCCAGCTCTGACCACTAGCCCATGCTCCCTTCCTCCTTACCCCTCCCCCAGCTGGCCCCTCCCTGCAGACGCCCCCAGACCGGCTGCTGTCCTGGGCTGCCTGGCCACCCCTCCCGGCCCAGCGGCTCCCCGGCCCGTCTCTGAGCCAGGGGAACCAGGGAGCTACCAGAGGCTGGCGCCTGGAGGAGGGGTCCTACAGCCCCCCCTCGCCCCCGGCTCTTTCCAGCCCTTTTAGAAAACCCATGGGTGGAACAAACAGGGATTTACGGCTGGACAACGACGCAGGCTCAGCGGATTCCCGGCCACCCCGCCCCAGGGATGGTCACACTGTGGGGCGGGCAGGGAAGCAACCCCCCCTGCACGACCCGTTGAGCTGAAAGCACCCAGTGACCCACTGGGTCGGGGGGTGGGGGGGACCAGCAGGCCCTGCTCTTTGCTCCAGCTAGGCTAGTTCCCAGGGATCCCCGCAAGGGACCAGGGCCCAAGCAGCGCTGGGCAGCGACTCAGGTTCGAATCCCCGTGCTGGGGCGGGGGAGGGTAGGAGGGAGACGCCCCAGCACCCAACACGCCCCCTATGGCCGCTGTTTCTGGCCCCAGTGAGGCTCTTACAGGGCCCAGCTCAGGAGCTGGCAGAGCCCAGGCCCCAGGCGAGTGTGCGCAGTGCTGCCCCCTGCTGGCAACCCACAGGGCTGGGGTAGCGGGATTGACGGGGTGGGGAGCCCAGGGCTGGGGTAGTAGGGGGCTGCGGGTCGGGAGTGAGGGGCACGGGCAGAGCTGGAGGGGAGCCCTGGCTGGGCTAGCAGGGGCTGCGGGTCGGGAGTGAGGGGCACTGGCAGGGCTGGGGGGGGGAGCCCTGGCTGGGCTAGCAGGGGCTGCGGGTCAGGGGTGAGGGGCAATGGGAGGGCTGGGAGCCCTGGCTGGGCGCCCTGGCTGGGCTAGCAGGGGCTGTGGGTTGGGATTCTGTTCTGCTCCCTACAGGTTCTCATCCCACTCATGGCATCCTGGTACCGAGGCACCTTTCAGCCGGGCACTGGGCGACTTGGCAAACATCTGGTCTGCGTGGCTGGATCTCGTGCCCTGCCCAGTGGGAGGGGGTGCCTGCGTGCACCCCCTGGGGTTGCTTTGTTTATAGGCACAGAGAGTGGGATTGGATGGGCCCTCCCGAGGCATCTAGTCCAGGCCCTTGTGCTGAGGTAGGGCCCAGGACCCCCAGCCCAGCCCTGACGGGCATGTCCCACCTAGCCTGAAAACCCTCCAGAGCCAGGGATTCCACCCCCCTTGGACCTCGTATCGACCTGGCAGCCCAGTGCTGGTCCTGCCTCTCACTTGATTCCCATCAGCCCCAAGGGATCTGCAGAGTTCGCAGGGCCCCCGGCTCTCCCTCGCCCCAGACTCCCGGGGCCCAGCGTGAACCATTCCTCCCAGGCTGGGGGTTCGAACCCTTGACTTGTTCCTGCTGCTCTGCTCCGGCCTGTCTCGCGCTGACCCTCCGCAGCGATGACCCAGCACCGAGCAGCAGGACAACGCCCGCCCGTGCCTGCCGTATGCTGCTCCCCCTAACTCCCCAGAACGATACTCCCCTTTTCCCAGCTCCACCACCTTGTTGGCTCATGGGGTTTGTGGTTCACGCTGAGCCCGGCTCCTTTCCGGGCATGGGACCCTGGCGCCAGTTTGCCCGTGTGCAGCTGCACTTTCGATTTTTCCTTCCCCAGGGACGTACTTTGCACTTGTCTTCACTGAATTTCATGGTGTGGAAGGTCATTTTGGATTCAAATCCTGCCCTCTGAAATGCTTGCAACCCTGCCCAGCTTGGGGCCAGCGGCAGATGTTCTAAGCATCCTCTGCCCCATCACCCACGTCATTAATGAAAACACTGACGAGCAGCAGCCCCAGGAGCGAGCCCCGTGGGACCCTGTGAGAGACGCCCTCAAGTTTCACAGCAGCCCCTTGCTAACGACGCAGAGTCTGATCCATCAACCACTTACGCAGCCACCTAAGAGTAGCGTCATCTAGACGCACGGCCGGGTTTTTATTACAGACTTATAATAACCGAGCAGTGATGGGTGCAGATACTGTGGGGGCGGGGTCCCAGGCACAAGTCCCTGGGAGTCTCCTCACCCCCACATCCCAACGGCCACCAGCCCAGACTCCGACTAAAGACGAGTTCCCACCCTGGGCCAGCGAGAGGACGAGCGAGCGAGGCCCCTGCCCCAGGCCAGGGCTCCAGCAACAGGATATAAAAACAGTGCTCAGTAAAAACAGAGTTTGGACTTTCTTAAGGGAAGGGGGGAAATCACTGGGGTATGGGGGGAGGGTAGTTTCAGATGCCCAGGGGCAAGGCCGTGCGGCGTTGCAGGGCAGGAGCTGGTTGAGATCTGACCCCCGGGGGGAGAGGGGGATGAAATAAGGAAACTGTTCCAGCCCCTGGGGGGGAGGGGCGCAGAAATGGGAACAGGTCCAGCACCGTGGGGCAGCTGATCACACAGGGCTTCCCTGGCCATTTCAGGAGGGGCTGGCAGCACCAGTGCAGGGTGCCCAGCTAGGATCTCCCCGGCCAAGTGATGCCCAACACATGGTGTTGATGCACGGGTAGGGCCTGGGGGCTCAGCCCTGCTCCACTCCCTGTGGACGGAGCAGCCCAGCCTGCCTGGGAGAACTGGGTGGGTTTATTGCTGGCTTTTGGCTGGCGTGCAGCCCCCCCCATCCCGCCTGCTTGGGGGGGCTGCGGCTCGGGAGGCGCGATGCTGGTGGAGCAGGGCAGGGCCAGCGGGTGATGGGTGGCCAGGGGGGCCTGGCATCCATGGGCCCTGTCCCTCAGAGCCCCACCGCAGCGACAGTCTCAGAACAGGCAGCGGGGTGCCCCCCTCAGGGCTGCGGCCCGCCCGGGAGCACCAGTGCCTGCAGGATGTCAGAGAGGGAGACGATGCCCTTCACCACTTCGTTCTCATCCACCACCACCAGCCTGTGGACCTGCGGCAGACAGACAGACAGACCACGGTCAGCCAGGGGCCCTGCAGCCCAGGGGAGCTCGGAGCCCCCAGCACAGACACTGGAAACGGGGGGAGGCGGAGCCGTGGGCAGGGTGGGGTGGGATTGGCTAGGACAGGGGGGCTAATGCCAGTGCCCAGGGGGGCCAGGCTGACTGGGAGGGAAGAGTTGTCCCCACCCCTGGTCTCCCATCCAAGTCCCTGGGTTGGGCTGTGTCCCTCCCCAGGGGTCTACAGGAAGGGTCACGTAGGGCATGGGGGGGGCCATGGTAAGCTCCGGAGGGGCACGGGGGCTAGGAGGGGCCCCGGGGTAGGAAGGGCCGCACAGGGGGAGATTACCTCGGCCTCCACCAGGCGGTTGATGATGGTCTCCAGGGTCTCGTGTTTGTAGCACGTGAGCACCCCCTCGAAGTACTGCGAGCGATGCTGCAGGGCCTGCGTCACCGTCACGTCCAGGTTGTTGTACATCTTCTCGGCCGCCAGGTTCTGGGGACGGGGGGCGAACGGGGGAGCTGCACTCGCTGGCCCCAGAGCAAACCCTGCCTGCGGCTCTCACTCTGCCCCACAGCAATCTGCCCCCCCGTGGGGGCTAAACTCGGCCATGCCCGGCAGCGACAGCCACCCACGGGCAACAACTCAGGGGGTGTCTGTGCGTGACACCCATCTGCCAAGTGGGGGGAGCACCAAGTCCCACCAGCCAATACAGGCACCCCCCATCCCACCAGCCCCACGCCCAATCCCACCCGCTGGCGTAGGTACACCCCGCACCCCAAGCTCTGCATTGGGGATGGTACTTACAATGACGTCAAACTTGGAGTAAATGTCCACGACCCGACCTGAGACAGAGGAGGGGAGGGGCTGGTGAGACGGGGACAGGGCTTGGCCCCCTCCCTCCCCGCAGCTGGCTGACGCTGAGGTTCCAGCCCTGCAGGGCCCTCTGGGGGCCTGGCCTCGTCGTGGGAGCTCAGAACTGGCGAGATACGGGGCCAGGGAGGACGGGGGGGCTGGTATTGGTTCCATCCAGGGGGGTGACGGACAATGCAGGGGTCAATACCCGTGTTTTACCTCCCACATGCTGCCTGGCAGCTTCCGGGACCCGGGGGATTCTCAGGGGTCCCAGACTGCGCTCCATGAACTTGAGGGTCCATCAATTCGCTTCCTGACAGGGCTACAGAGGGGCTGGCAGGAGAGGGACAGCCAAGCGTGGGAGAGGGATGCAGGGAGCGCGGGAAATAGGCGGCCCCCGGCCCAGCGGGGTGTCTGGGTAAGCTGGGGACATGTATGGAGCTTAGCTGGGAGCCCTGGTTTGCAGCCACGGCTTGGGATTGGCGATTTTCTATCCAGTGCACTGCCCCGGGGTGGGGGTGGGGGGTCCGGCTCTGCATGGGGGGGGTCTCAGCTTGGCATGGCCCCCCGGGGGAGGGGAGCTCGCAGGCAGTCCAGTCCAGACCAGTGTGCCGAGGAATGAGCCGCCTCCGGAGTGGGGGGCCAGCAGGGGGGAGATACAGAGACCGCGGGCTCAAGGGGGCAGCTGGCCCTGAGCTGGGACACGCCATGTTCTCCCCCCGCCCCTCCTCACCTGACTCGTCCACCACGGGCAGGGCAGAGACACGGCGCTGCACGAAGATGCCCAGGGCCACGTACAGCGGCGTGTTGGCGCGCACCAGGGCGATGTTGGCATAGGTGCCGATCTTCAGCTGCTCCAGGGTTTTGCCCATGAATTCCGGCCTTGGGACCTCCGCTATCTACAGGGAATACGGGAGCGGGGGAGTCATGTGCCACCAGCCCGGCCTGTTGGGGGTCCGGGGGAGCCCCTGCAGCCAGAGGAGAGTGGAGCGAACCACCTTCTCAGCCCGATGGCAGGGGCTGGGCGGCGTGACCACGGTCTGAGCAGGGGACACGCAGCTGTTCCTTGGCGCCAGGTGGGGGCATCCGGCTGGCGTCCACGTGGCAGCCTGGGCGAGGCGTGTTCCCGCCGGGGGCCAGCTGGACGGGGCAGGCGCCTGAGCCAGGGCAACAACTGAGCAGGGGACACCGCCCCCGCCCCGAGTCCCTGCAGGGGGCAGCGGGCAGAGCGTCGGCAAGGGCCTGGGTGGGCAGGACTTACGAAGAGCTTGAGGAACTTGAGGATGCGTTTGTGCGTGAGGATGTAGAGCGTATTCCCGGAGTCCGGGTCGATGACGGGCAGCCGGTGGATCTTGTTCCGGATCAGCGAGGAGACGGCGTCGAAGAGGCTGCGAGGCAGAAGGGGGCAGGGTAGACAGGTGCCCTGAGTATGGGTAGAGCCCCCCGGACTCCTGAGTTCTCCACCCAGCGAGCACAGGGAAGGCCAGTGGCTAGTGCAGGGCTCCTGGGCTTGCTCAGCCAGCAGTGGATGGCAGCCGGTAGCCCCAGAGCCTGTGACCATCGTATGGGGACCAGCCCTCCATGGGGTCTTAGGCCAGGCCTGGGCTGTCAGGCGCTAGGGCAATGCACATAAATAATCCCCCACCACCCCCTTTCCCAGAGGGCACGGGGAGCCCTCAGCCCCCCAGCGGGGCCAGCAGCCAAGGTCTTACCTGGCACTGGGGGAGATGCAGACCAGTGGCTTGAAGGAGTCTTGCAGATAGACCTCTGTGGGGGAGAGGAGACGCGCTCAGTGAGACACTGAGCGGGGGCCGCAGCGCAGGTGGGGTCCCAGCCAAGGGCGGGGGGGCACGTGGGGAGGAGCCATGAGAGGTGGGGCAGGTACGTGGGCCTGAGGCAGCTTTCAGCTCTGGTTGGAAACAGACCAGCTCTGTCCTTGGCACAGGGGGTTCTGCAGCGCCCAGGGGATCCCAGCCCCCGACCCATGGCACAGTACCCCTCAGCTCCCCCTTCGGTTCTCCCCCCCCGGCACCACTGCACCTCCCCTACACAGTGCTCCCCTCCTTCTCCTTCATCCTCACCCCCAAAACACCCCGCCCCCCCTTACCTCGCCACGTTTCGATTTTATGCTCCTCCAGCTCGTAGATTTGAACCTAGACGCAGGGGGGAGGGGAGTTAGCCTTAGTCATCTCAGCCGTCGGCCCGAGCGCGGCTTGGGGACTGTGTCCGGGGCGGGGGGTGGGAGGCGCAGTCCCCAGCGCTAACAGCCCCGCCCAGGAACGAGGGGCGTGACCCTGTTGCTGGTGGGGCCGTTGCTGGGGGCTTGGTTATAACCCTCAGTCCCACAGGAACAAAGCTGGCAGGGGCAGGGGCCGGGGCCCGTGCCCGCACAGCCCCACAGAGCTGGGGCGGGTACCCATCCCTGGCACCAGGGCAGGAGGGGCCCATCCTTACCATGGCCGACTTGTAGTAGCGATGGAGGATGTTGATGAAGTCAGTGATGGTCAGCATCCCTGGAGGGAAGAGAGCAAGTGAGTGGGGCAAGAAGCCTCCGGGCAGCCCGGTCCCCAGGGCCCTTCTGGCCCCCAGAGCACCCCCACCCCGAGCTGCAGCCCAGACTTACCCACAAAGCTTTGCTTCTTGCTGTCCCAGAGCGGGGCAGCCCGCACGCCATTGGTGACCAGCGCGAAGAAGGCTTTCTTCACCTGCAGCCCAACACAGACGCACGTCAGACTGGGGGGGATGGGTGGGCAGTGCCTGTCACAGTTCCCGGGAGGTGGGAGAGGGCTGGAGGGGGCTCCTGCGGGGGTCAGAGGCAGGATGGCCTGTCAGAGGTTGTGGGGCAACCTGTTCAGCCAGGGGGCTGGAGCAGCCAGCACTGGGGGCCGAGCCCAGGGAAGCTTGTCTCAGGGCCTCCTACCCCCCGGGGTGAGCCCACCTGTGCCACGGGGGACCCACCTGGGGTGTGGGCACACATGTAGCCACCGCCAGTCTTCCCACCGTCTAGGGTGCGCACCCAGCGCCCCGCCCTGCCCGCTGCCCCCGCAGAGCACCCACCTGCAGGGAGGTGTCGAAGACGACCAGCTTGGAGCTGGTGGGGATCAGGTCGTAGCAGCGATGGGACCTCATGAAGCAGGAGTACACCCCGCTGCCAGGCTCCGCGTCTGCGGGAAGAAGGCGCAGTTAGGGGGCTGGGGGAGGGGACCGGCAGTGAGACTGGGCAGGAAGTGGGCATGCTGTGCCCCCGGAGCGGTGCTGACCTGGGAATGTGGCAGGGGGGTTTCACTGGGGAGGGGAGACCTGACAGCCTGTCACCTGAGCCAGGAGGGGGAGGTAACACCTCTGCCCCGGAAACTGGACAAAGGCCAGAGGAGAGAGCCTGTTGGGGGGCGGGGTGGGGGGGTTGGTTGGTTGGTTTCAGTTTGGTGCTGGAAAGCAGGGAACCCCAAGGCTGGGGTCTAAGCTCCCTGTCCCCCAGAAGGACTTGACTGAGGGGTCCTGGTGTCATGGAGTGTGGGGGAGTCCAGGCCCTGCACCCCTCTTCCTGGGATTCACTGAAACTCTCAGCCAGCCAGTAAAACAGAAGGTTTATTGGACAACAGGAACAAAGTCCAAAACAGAGCTTGTGGGTACCACCAGGACCCCTCAGTCAAGTTCTTCTGGGGAGCAGGGAGCTTAGACCCCAGGCTTGGGGTTCCTTGCGTTCCTCCACCCAGCCCCAAACTAAAACTAACACCCCCCCCCCCCCCAGCAGGCTCCCTCCTGCAGCCGCTGTCCACATTCCCTGGCAGAGGTGTCACCTCCCCCTCCCGGCTCAGGTTACAGGCTCTCAGGTCTCTCATCCCCAGTGAAACCCCCCTGCCACATTCCCAGGGCAACACTCCCCCGCCCAGGGTCACATCTGGTTGTACCCGCAACCTCTCTTTTAGACTGTGTTCCTATTGTCCAATAAACCTCCCATTTTACTGGCTGGCAGAGAGTCACGGTGAATCCCAGGAAGAGGGGTGCAGGGCCCGGACTCCCCCACCCGCCGTGACAGAAGAGCTGTCAGTGCAGAGGGGACAGTCTGGGGGGTCAAAGGGGTCCTGCTCCGAGGAGCAGCTCTTGCTCCCAGTCTGGGAGCATGCCCCCCTCCCCTGCCTAGCCCAGGCTGCCCCAGCCTGCCTGAGTACCCGCTCCCCCTGTGTGCAGGGGGATGGGCCCAACGGGAGACAGTCCTGCAGAGAGAGACAGACCCGCCCCAGGAGCTGGGAGGACAGGCTGAAAACCCAGGGGAAGAGGAGCCTGGGGGGCTGAGAACGGTTTCAGGGCTGGCAGAGGAGGGTGATAGATCATTCTCCATCCCCAGAGGACGGACAAACCCCTGCCAGGTCTAGCTGGTCTAGCGAACACAGCGCAGGGGACTGGGCCAGACACGCCCGTCTGGTCTGAGCCCCCGTATGGCCGGATGCCCCTTGCCCTGACCCAGCCCTCACCTTCGGGTGCCAAGGGGCACTTCTCGGCAATGCTCTCAGGAACTGGGCCCTGCAGACAGACAGAAATCAGAGACTCCCCAGCGACCCACAGTGCTGTGCCCCCCACCCTGAGATGAGACCCTCCCCTAGAGCAGGGCAGAGCAGCTGCTGGGAAGAGGAGAAGCAACGGGGGACAATGGAAATAAGATGGGTCGCACTCCTGTCCCATAACACGGACTCATTGCTTTGGGAAAGGAACATGGCAGCCCTGCTGCTGCAGGCAGCCCGCCCCCCGCCCCCCCCACCACACAGGGGGCACCCCCCCCACGCAGCACTGCTCCTGCAGCACCTTAAAAAACCTCTTTAACAAATCATTTTTAAAGTCCCCCCCGCCCCACACACAGCTGCACTGTGCCCCTCTCTCTGCACTGTGCCCAGGGCTACCCGCCCCGTTCAGGGCACGGCGTGCACGAGGCATGGCAGCGGGTTTCCTTCCCCTACCCATTCCCAGGGGAAATCCCACTCCATCCAGCCAGTGCCCCTTTAACCTCCTGCCGGCCCAAGCAGCGATTCCTGGGCCCAGCTGAGTAGGGAAGTGACTTGCCCACGCAGCGAGGCAGAGCCGAGTGAGAAAAGAACCCAGGAGTCCCAGCTCCCAGCCTCTGCTCTAACCTGCTCTTTCCCTTGGGCAAATCCTTTGCTCCCGGAGCTGAGCAGTGCTGGGTTTCAAGGTGGGTGAGCTGGGGGGTGGCTGGGGCCATAATGCCCGTCAGGCTGCAAGGTGCCTGAGCCAGGGAGCTGCCGGGAGGAAGTGAAAGCCAAGCCTCACTTTTCACTTTCCTTTTCAGAGAGGGAACCTGGCTCCGGCCCAGGGCTGGCCGGGCTCTCGAGGAAGCGGCCGCTACAAGGGAGTGACCTCTTCTCCTTCATGTCAACTGATCTCAGGGTGCTTTGCAAACTGCACCCAGGAACCGCTTCTCATGCCTCCGACAGGCAGCCACCTCTGCGGCAGAGCCCGGCCACCGCTTACCGCGTGCAGCAACGTGGCCCCAGGGCTCGGGACAGGGAGGGAGAATCCTGCCCCCAATTCAGAAAGAGAAGGGACGCTGGAGGGGGCAGGAGGCCCCAGGTGGGATGCGCCCAGCACACAAGCCTAGCACCTTGACAGCCCCCGGTGGCCACGCCCTGGCAGCGATGCCTCATCAGATGAACCATCACTGCGGAGGGAGCCCAAGAGCCGGCTGGCCAAGGCCTGGGGCCAGTCCCGGATCCAGCCACATCTCAGCACGCAGACCACGGAGGCTTTAGGCACATGGACATTTCTCCAGCAGGAACCAGACTGAGTCCCCCAGCTCAACCCACCACGGCCACTGCCACGCGGAGAGGACTGAGACCAGGCTTGGCACCCCAACCACAATCTCGCTAAACCCCCTAGGGACGATTGCCTGGCTGGGGATCAGCCATCAGTTCAGGCCGGCCGCAGACTCCCTGACAGCCCCAATCCGAGGGCTCTGTCCCTTAAACCGGGCCCTACACCAGCCTGCCTGAAACACGGACAGCACTGGCCCGTGGGCACTGCCCCAGCACCCAGATTCAGCAACACGCCCCCGGCCACTCTGCTGCAGGGGCGTGTGGCCTCGGGGCGCATGGGGGAGCCTTGCCTGGCCAGTTACAAGGTGCTCCCCCAGCACGTCCCAGGGCACAGGACTGCCCCATGCAGCCAGGTCCATGCCTGGAGCCAAGCAGCGGGGCTGGGATGTGCACTAAGGAACGGGAAGCAAATCCCACTCGGCCCTCTGGCCTCCAACCTCCTCGGGTTGCCCTGGGCGGGTATTTTAACCCCTAGGGCGCGCACACAGTGGGTGGGCAGGGACCGCAGCCCGGCCGAGCCCTGAACGCTATTTCCAGGCCAGGAGCCCCCCAGAGCCTGCCAGACCCCCTCCCCGGGCTGCAGGCATGCATCAGTGTCTCAGCCGGGGCACCGAGGGAGCTGGCCGGGGACACACCGGAGTACCCAGCCCGGGGCTCAGCACAGCAAAGGCCCAGGAGGAGGAAATGAGGGATCTGGGCGCAGGCGGGGCTGGGCACGGAGCTCACAACCCCGGAGCACGGGGCGCCCTCCGGAAGAGCAGCTCCCGGCCTGCGCACAGCCCCACGGCGCCACTGGCTTCACTGGCCCGGCCGCCCAGAGGAATCCGTGCCCGGCCATGGGTCGGGCCCGTAGCCCCAGAGGGGGCCCCCCCAGCCCCTTGGCGGGGCCACGCACCGGCCGGGGACGCAGGCAGGCAGGGCTGGAGGCGGGCGAGAGCTCCCAGGACAGACACAAGAAAAGGGCTTTGGGCTCACGGCTCAGGCGCCAGGGAGAGGAGGCGGCAAGGCCAGGCCAGCGGGGCACAGACGAGGCCCTCAGGGGACCGGGCCCCTGGCTCGCCCGGGGGCTGCCGAGGCGGGAAGTGCCGTAGCCCCAGGGCCCCTGCGCCAGGTGGTGCCACTCGCCCCGGGGCCCGCGGACCTTTCGCTCTCGGGCCGGGCGGGGGGGGCCCGGGCGGGGCAGGGGGGGCCCGGGCGGGGGGGCCCGTGCGGGGGGGGCTGGGCCGGGCAGGGGGGGCCCGTGCGGGGGGGGCTCGGCTCAGGCCAGGCAGGACGCGGGGCCCTTGGGGGCTGGGCAGGGACTCAGAACGGGGGGGGGTCACCGGGGGCCCGGGTCTGCCCCCCCAGGGGCCGCGGGGGGGGGCACGTGCTGGGGGGTCTCTGCTCCGGGGCCCCTCCCAGGATAGGGGACCCCGCAGCCCCCCCCCACTGCAGGGGGACTCCAAGGGGGGTGACGCAACCCCCGGGGGGGCCATTCTCGGGGGGCCCCCCGGGGGGTCCGATGCGGGGGGCCCGATCCGGGTGCCGGGACGGGGCCCGATCCGGGGGGCTCCCCCACGCGGACCGACCGGGGCCCCCCCCGCCCCGGGGCCGGCCGGGCTCTTACCGCCTCCATGGCCGCGGCTCGTCTCGCTCCCGCCGAGCACCCGGGGGCAGCAGCGGGCGGGGCCGGGGCCGGGGCCGGGGCCGCTTCACTTCCGCCCGGATCTACTTCAGCCGCTTCCGCCAGCAGAGGTCATGTGACCGGAAGGAGACGCGGGAAGAAACCGGCAGATAAAATGACCCCTGAACCCAGTGACCTTTGACCCCCACAGAGCCGGGACCTCCCTGCTCTTAATTATAAGGGGGCGGGGGCCCAGAGTAGGCCCTGGGGGCACAGGGGTGGGGGGGCTCAGACTAGATCCTGGGGGGCACAAGCTGGGCACCTGGGGGGCATAGCGATGGGGGGGGTCACAGACTAGGTCCTGGGGGGCACAAGCTGGGCACTGGGGGCCATGGGGGGCACAGACTAGGCTCTGGGGGGCATAGCAATGGGGGGGGCACAGACTAGGTCCTGGGGGGCACAAGCTGGGCACTGGGGGGCATAGGGGTGGGGGGTCACAGACTAGGCCTGGGGGGCACAAGCTGGGCACTGGGGGGCATAGGGGTGGGGGGCACAGACTAGGCCTTGGGTGGCATAGCGATGGGGGGGTCACAGACTAGGTCCTGGGGGGGCACAAGCTGGGCACTGGGGGGCATAGGGGTGGGGGGGCACTGACTAGGCCGGGGGCACAAGATGGGCACTGGGGGGATGGGGGGCACAGACTAGGCTCTGGGGGCATAGCAATGGGGGGGTCACAGACTAGGTCCTGGGGGGGCACAAGCTGGGCACTGGGGGGCATAGGGGTGGGGGGGCACTGACTAGGCCCAGGGGGCACAAGATGGGCACTGGGGGGATGGGGGGCACAGACTAGGCCCTGGGGGCACAAGCTGGGCACTGGGGAGCATAGGGGTGGGGGGGCACAGACTAGGCCCTGGGGGGGCATAGTGATGGGGGGGTGCCACAGACTAGGTCCCAGGGGGCACAAGCTGGGCACTGGGGATCCCAGGCTGGGGCAGGTTTCCACAGTCGTTCTCTCAGTCCCACTCTCACCCGTGGGAAGGACGTGCTCTGCCTCTGCCCCCCCCCCCGGGCCTGGGGAACTCTCTGCCACCAGATCTCCCGCGGCCATGGCGGGCACCGGGCTCCCAGCAGGGCTGCATCTCGCTGGGACTAGAGTAGGAAACACCAAAGCAGAGTTAGGGGCTGGAAGCTCTTCCAGGCAGGAGCCAGCCATGAGCTTGAGGGCACGGCCCTGGGGCAAAGTTATCCCCTAATTGCCCAGGGGGGTGTTTCTTGCACCGTCCTTTGAAGCAGCTGGTGCTGATATGCGGTAGAGATAGGGCTGGGACCTGTCCAAGTTTTCCACCCATAGTCCTGTTTTTTAGGTAACTGGCCCGAGAACTCAGGGTGCTCAGTGCACGTGGGAAGCTGTCCCATTTTATGGGCTCAGGATCATCCCTGATCTCGCAGTTTTCATACCTCAGAAGGGGCAACCCCAGGTAGAGGACAGAGCCTGGGCTGTAAGGAGGCACTGATCCAATCCCCTACAATGATGCTTGTAGAGGGGAGCCTCAGCAGCCTTCTGTCACCGATTGGGAAATGTGTGTGCGGCCGCCTTTCAATCATAGCAGCAGGGAAGGGGCAACCTCACACCACCCAGCTCTGGTCAAAGTGCTCCTCTTTAAAACCTGGGGAGAGTAATGGCCCTTTGGCCCCAGCTCTGGCACCCATGCACCACTAGAGCACAGCGACTCTCCTACAAAAGCTTTTCCCAGAGGAGGCTGGTAGGAGCCTGAGCTGGGAACTTGAGCTGCATTTAAATTTGGGGGAGGGAGGGGAGGGAAGAGAGAATATGGAACAACAACAACAAAAAAACCACAGGCGGAAATCCAAGATCACCCAGTATTTAAAATGCACTTTTATTTTTTTCCTTTAAAAACAAACTCAGAGAAGCAAAATTTGAAACTCACTCTTTGCCTCTTTAAACATAAATTATATACATTTCAAAATTATATCCAATACAAAACATGCCACATACAAGTTCATTTTTTTGTTTTTCTTAAAAAAGGAATAATTTTATTTTTTCCATTCTTTTCTTTGTTACGAAGGACCACCTCGCTGTACAGGGTACACACAAAAAATAAAACCCCAAAACACACAGGAAGATTCCTCACAGAGTCCACGCTTGCCATAGTTTTATTTTAAACTTTATTTTTTTTAAAAAACCCAACAAAATAATAAATGGTTATTTCAGGGTCATAAAAGGTAAAACTTAGAAGATAATATCTGCAACTGTAAACAAACAGAAGTATTGGACAAGGCTTTGAATGCAATTTTACAAGCAGAGAACTTTAAAAAAAATCAAATGTCAGCTCTGGGGCTGGATTATAGTTTATATAAAAATTAAAAACTGTATAGGGTTCCCCCCTCCCCAGCTAAAATCTACAGGACTATTTTATACTCTAACCATAGTCTAAAAAGTCTTACATCCTGCTATATTCTGGTATTTTCTTTCCTCTTTCCCAGCTTTAATTGTTTTTTTGTAGTAATTTTTTAAATTTTTATTTTATACACTTTACAGCCTTCCAAGTTAATGGAAAAAAACAAAAAAAGTTATACTGGCTTTTTCTCTCTCACACATCTTTATTTTAAAATAACATCCAGTGGTTTTATTATTGGTAAAAACAGTTTTTTCTCTACACAGCTCCCATTTTATTTACAGGGTTAAATTTAAATTTTGTGTATAGTTTTTATTTTATTATTCCCTGCCCTCACCCCGAGTTCCAACATTTCATTTTAAACCTTTTGCAGCTTTGAATAGTTGCAGAAGCAGCTTTTTAAAAACGCGACACTTCTTCTCTCTCACTCAAAATCTTTTGATTTAAAAACATAAAATGCCCTGGGGCCCCCTCCCCCAGATTTCACTCCCCCCAAAATAATCTCACTTCATTTCATTCCCTCTCCTGCCCCCGGAGGGGAAGGAAGTTTAATACAAAAGAGACCCCTCCTCAGCTGAGCCAGGCAGCTGTGGCATGGGGGGGCACTGCAGGAGTTCGTTCTGCTTCTTTCCTCACACCTGTGCTATTCCCTATGCCACCCCCGGGGGGGTGGGGGTGTCAGGCCTTTGTGCGTTAAGAGATGTCAAACGATACAGTTTACTGGAAAGGGGCAGCGAGAGCGGGACCTCCTGCCCCATCTGGTTTACAGCAGTCTTAGAAGGTCCCTCCTGGATGAGCATTCAACCGTCAGCAAGAGGGCGCTGTGGCAGGGGGAGGCTGGAGGGCGAGACGTGGTGCCCGGTTTGTAATGTCACCAATCCTCTCCCTTCCCTGGGGAGCCCACGCCTGGCAGGAGGCTCCTGGACCCCGTCACATACAGGGTTTCTATTTAACAATGAAGACAAGAGCAGGGAGTGGGGAGGATGTTTGCTCCCCTTGGTTGAGTTATGGAACATGCCCCCCCTTCCCCCCCAAGATCTCCCCTCCCGCACAGTCCAAAATCTCAGCCAAGCAGAGCACAGAAGAGAGCCCCCCAAGATTCTAATATATACAAGCTAAGGTATAAATAGATAAATACCCCCCATACCACACCGACATTACAGACCCAGACAGCCTCCTCAGGCCAGCCTGGAGCAGCAGTTCTGCTAGTGAAAGGGGGGCTGGTTAGTGGGGGAGCGGAGTGGCTGAGGCAGGGCCCAGAGCAGAGCTCGGCCCCCTACCCCACCCCCAGACTTAGGAGTATGGCAGCAGCAGTCAACTCTCAGCCTGAAACCAGGCTCCCCATGGAGCTCAGCTCCTCCAGCCCCAGGGGCTTGAACGGACACCTGGTCTCCCCGACATGCTGGGCTCAGTGTCCAGCAGCGGTGCTCGGGGGCTGCTTGCGCCGGGCTGGGAAGGTGGGTGGAAGCAGGGCCAGGGTCTTGGCACGTTCTAATTCAAGCCCCGAACCCCCACCTCTCCTGGGCTCTGCCTCTGGGCTGGCAGCAGAGTGCCCAGCTTTGTGCACGGTGTGGGAGTCGCCAGGAACACACCTGTGCACCTAACCGGGCGGACCCCACAGGTGGGGGGAGGGGATCCTGGGATATTTTATGGTCTCTCTCCTTCCAGGCAGAACCAGGTCAGAGCTCAAGGCAACAATCTCCCTCTGCTCCAGGCTCCCCCCACGGCCACTAGTTCTCATTCAGAACGAGGAAGGTTGCGTGTGGTCAGTCTCGGAGGGAGGGTCACATTGAAAACAGCAGAATCTAACACTTAAAATGAGGTAGGTTTGGGTGCAGAGGCTCCTTGCGTCCATGGGGGTGGGGAGCCCTTTTCTGCACGCGGCTCTCCCCAGCTCTGCTCCAGCAGCGGGTGCCTCCTTCACATGCTCACGGTGCTTTTGTTGGCGGAACAAGAAATAAACCAAAGCCCAAGCGAGCTCTGTCTGTCTCCAGAGAGCCGGGCTGGGAGGTTTGGGATTGTCAAGCTCAAGGAGTCTCTTTGTTACCTTGGTAAGTTAGCGAGCAAATATTATTAGTTTCTTTTTTTTTTTTTTAAACAGACTGACTGGATCTGAGCTCCCCGTGGGTCCGATACCTCGGCCGCCCCGCCCCGGACTCCAAGCTGGAGCACCCCGATCACCCCGCATCCATCCAGTTATTTACAGTGAGCAAGGCGGACAGGGCAGGTTTTGTTGGTGCCACAGGCCCCACCCTCCTCACAAAACAAAACAAAGAAAACCCTGAGTTGCCAGTTCATCGGTTCCACTCATGGCGCTGCGGCCACCCACCCGGGGAGAGCAGCGCCCTGCCAGCAGAGGCCCAGGGCCGAGGCGCGCAGGGCTGGAGTGGCTAGGGAGAGCACCGAGGTCCCTGGTCTTTTCGATACGCCCTCCCCGTGGAGGTGAGGCGGGCAGCATCCGATGGGTGTGAGCAAGGACGGGCGCCCCCTGGAGCCACCTCGCCTTTGGAACCGAAGGTGGCCCCGGCTGACCCACCTGCACCAACCTCGCTTCCTGGGCTCCAGATGGGGACGTTTCCCCTGCGCCGTCTCTGCGTCCCCCGCCCCCAGCATGGCAAAGGGGGAGGAGAACCCGCAACAGAGGCCTCCTTCAGCAGGCTCTGCTGTGCCCCTGGGGCTGCCTGTGACTGGTGGCCCCGTGGTGGCTAGTTCATCCATTTCCTGCAGTTCCAGGCTCCGCAGTGGCAGGGGATCTTATGCTGATCGTCTTCAAAGTCAAACTGGTAGTCGTAGGTCAGCTGGGGGCGAGAGGGGCAGAGAGTGAGAGCCAGCAACGCCCTGGCAGATCGGGCAGCACTCACGCCACCAGCTGCCGAGCCGCACCATGCCTGCCCCCTCCTGGCCCCGTGCAGCCCCGCCCTGTCCTGGCCCAACTTGTGGGGGAGGAGGAGGGCCCTGGTGCACCCCACCCCCTCCTCGCCTGTCTCCAGGGGGTCAGCCACAGCCCTGCCCCCTCCTGGCCCACCCAGACTCTGCTTTGATTGGTTCCTCTTGTGGGGCCGGAGCTCCCCCTAGTGGCTGATCTCTCCCCAATGCTCTGAACAGCTCGGGATGCGCCTATGGGAAGGCTGGCGCGTGCATGCGTGCTGGGTGACCTGCTGGGCAGATGCTGCTAAGGGGGGCCCCGCCCGCTGCGCCAAGCTTCCTGAGCCAGGAGGCAGCACGAACCGCATGCCAGAAGCCCCAAGGCCAGGCTGGGACCCCCGCCCCCCCCCTCCCTTCGTGGACCCAGTTCCCTACCTCCTCCCCTTTGGGAATCCGGCGGCTGGAAATGATAATGATCTTATCTTCCTTGTCGAAGGTCACGACCTCAGCCACACAGTTTGGGGCGCAGGAGTGGTTAATGTACCTGGCAGGAAGGGCAGAGAGGAGGCGTCAGAGTGGGGATCTGGGGACAAGAGGCGAGCCCAGGTGAGGGGTCAGGCCCTGCATCCCCCTGTCCCCCAGCAGGAATGCTCAGGCACAGCTTGGGGGGCGAAATATGAGACTTGATAAGTCGAGTCAATGCCAGAGACCCCTTGCGCAGCTTGGGAGGGGAGACAGGGTGCCTGACATACAGGCCAGAGGGTGGGGGGGCTAGAGCCAGGACTCCTGGGTTCTCTTCCCAGCTCTGCCACTGCCAAATCCCTTCCTCACTCTGCCTCGGTTTCCAAGTTCCCCACAACCCCCAGCTCATGGGGCTGACGCGGGCTAGGCCCTCCAGGTTTACAGGGAGCAACGTGACTGCGCTCACCCAACGGGGCAGGTACCCCCCCGTGCAGCTGGCCTTTCAACCGGAGATCGCGTCAGACTTGAACCCAGCACCTTTCGGATTGTAGTCGAGTGCCATAAGTTCTCAGCCACTGCCCTCCGCACAAGGGGGGTGGGGGGGGGAAGAGGGTGTCAGTGACTGCAGGGCACCCAGCTGAAGAAAGCTAGAGGGGGCAAGCGGCTCCCACGGGGGCATTTCCCCAAACTCCAGCACTGCCTCTCCCAGGGGCCATTTGCCCCAAACCCCAGCACCGCCGCCATCCCCCCCCAGCCATGTGCCCCACACCCTCACCTGGCTGGGCCCCCCCGTCAGCGTGGCGTCGATGACGTGCTCATTGTTGATGCGGAACATGTAGATTCCTCTGTTCTGGGAGCCAGAAGAGCAGAGAAAAGCAGTTATGCAGCCGCAGGGCCAAGGGTGTCCCTGGGACAACCCTGGGTCTGAGCCCACAGGGTGCTCCAGGCCCCACCCAATCCCTGTGGTGTCTCCCCCTCCCTCCCCCCCCAGACCCACCCCTCACACACACCTGCTCCTCGTAGATCTTCTCGCGCCGGTTGGCCACCTCGTTGCGGATGATGGTGCCGATGTACTCGATGACCATGGTGTGCTTCTCCAGGTCCTTGGCGGCATAGAGCCCCAGCCCCTGGATGCGGGAGCGCGCCAGGTACACGTTGTTCTTCCACTCGGTCTTGAGGCGGCGGTACTGCGAGGACTTGGAGTGCACAAACTGTTTGCTGTAGGGCGTGTTGGTCTCCCCCGTGAAGGTGCTCTGGTAGGCCTTGGACATGCTGGTGCTGTTCAGGGTGTGGGGCCTGCAGCAGGCGGACAGCATGGGCACGGCGGCAGGGGGGAGAGGGACCAGCACTGACCTCCCCCAGCCCCGAGCACATGGGGCCCCAAGGGAGTGGCTGGGAGAGCCCAGCCCGTTGAGGCTCAGTTTGCAATTCCCTCCCGCCCAGCCCCAGGCCTGGGGAACCCCAGCTCCAACCCAGGCCAGGGCCCCTCCCCCACAGGTGGCCCCCCAAGGGGCATGGCCCCCCTCCCTTTCCCCCACTAACCGTTTGTAGTGGGTGAGGATCTTGGGCTCGGAGCGGGCACAGCCGGTGGGGTTGATCATGAGCGGCAGCTCCATCAGGGGGTGGCGCCCGTAGCGGAACAGGTAATTCTGGCAGCTCTCCACGCCAGGCAGCTGGGAGGGAGCAAGCAGAACCCACCGTGGGTTGGCTGACAGCACCCCAGTCCCGGTGCCTGGAGGGGCTCCACTGAAAAGGACGAGCCCTGTTCCGCACCCCCATCCCCTCGGGGCCCTGGGCAGGGGGGCCACCCCTCGGGGTGCGAGTGCTTCCCTGAATGTGCCCAGCTGGCACCGGCCCCTGTGCTGGGCCACAGTCCCCGGGGGGTCCCGGCCGATGTGGTTCCAAGCATATCGCCGGGTGCTGTGTCCCTCCCGCCCCTCGCTGTCGGGAGACCCCCCCAGCCTGCCCCTCCCGTCGGGTGAGGGGTTCAGGGCTCCCCCCCGGGTACATACGGACTCGGCAATGCGCAGCACGGCGTGCACCGTGAGACCAAAGAGCTCCTCGCCCTTCAGGTACTCGGGGAAGAGCCGCAGCATGTCGGCCTCCTTCCTCATGGCCGCCACTGGCTCGATGATGCGGTTCCAAACGGCTGGTGGGGGGAGGGAAAAAGATGAGACTTGGCTTCCGGACCTGCTCCCCACCAGCCCCCCTCACCCCCAGCAGCGACTCCCTGTGGCCTGGCAAACAAGCCCAAGGCATCAACTCCCTCACCACGGTGAAAGGCAGCCACCTCTGGGGCGGGCTGCAGCAGCTGGTTAACAGCCACAGAATTATGCTGCCAGAGACGGGCCACCCAGTGTGCCAATGCAGCCACCTCTGGGTGGGACACAGCAGCTGTTTACGATCCCCCACCCCATGCTGAGCTGCGGCTGACTCTGGGATGGGGAGCAGCGGCAGGCTAACGGAGAGCCGGGCCCAGCCTCACCCTGTGGCGAGGCGTCAGTGAAGACCAGGTCCTCCAGGCCCTGCTCGATGGCCTGCACCACGAACTCGGGGCGCCCGTTGTTCTCGCAGACGGTGCATCGGTAGCAGCAGCGGCGGTTGTTGGTGCGCAGGCTCCAGTAGATGCGGGTGGCCTCGAAGCCCACGGGGTAGAGGGCCGTGACGCTGTGGAAGTCGCCCATCTGGTGGGGCAGCAGCTGGCCGATGGCGTGGAAGAGCAGGCCGCCCACGCGGAACATGTGCAGGCGCTCGCCGCGCTGGATGATGCTGGCGATCTGCTTCACCTCGTCCCGCTCGATGTAGACACGCCGGAAGACGGTGAAGGTGCTGAGCTCCTGCTCGCAGGGGCCCTTGAGCTTGTGCAGCGGGCACAGCATGGTCTTGTCCTTGAAGAACATGCACTTGGCCCGGATGGCGCAGGCGAAGTGGTAGACGCTGGGGCAGCGGATGCGGTTGCAGCTGTTGGTGGCGCCCGTCTTCTGGCACAGGGAGCACTTGGTGAGCAGCCCTCGGTGCAGCGCCCCCTCCACGTTGATCAGCGCCCCGCCCTGCGTCTCGTACACCTCGGTGGACCACAGGGCGCAGTTCAGGTGCACCCAGAGGTCCAGGTCAAGGTTGAGGAGGCGGGCGGGCCCGTCAGTGGCACCGTCCCCCTCCTCGTGGCAGAAACAGCATTTGCGCAGGTCCCGGGGCACCTTCTCGGGCCGCAGGGTGGTGCCCAGCTTCTCGATGAACTCGGAGATCTCCTTCTCGCCGTCCTGCTTGGCGCCGCCCTTCTGGATGGTGATGAGGAAGCGCAGCCGCTTCCACCGCACCCCCTTCCACTTCTTGAGCCGGGGCCGGGGCTCCTCTCCCTCCTCCGGGGGCCGCGAGCGCTGCTTGAGCTTGGGCGGCGAACGGGCCGCCTCCTCCTTGGAGGGCGGGGAGAGGGCGGGCGGGGAGGGGGGCGCGGGGGCCGCCTCGGGGGGCGCCTCAGGGATCCTGTCCCCAGGGGCGGGGCTGGCAGGGGAGGGGACGAGGGGGGACAGGGGTGGGGATGGCTCCTGGGGCAGGACGGAGAGCTGACGCACGTCCAGGTTGGAAACATTGTTCACGTAGCAGTGCTGCACGGCCTTCTCCAGCGCTGGGCTCTCCTGGGGGCACAGAGCAGGGCGGCTCAGAGCGCGGGCGCAGTGGGCCGGGCATGAGGGTGCTGGGCCCAGGACTTCCCAGCACCTTCCCTCCCACACGGAGCCAGACAGCCCCGCTGGGGAGACCGGGGGCTCGCCCAGGATATCAGCCCAGCCAGAGGCTGCCAAGCCAGGGTGCAGCTGGCCCTGGGATTTGTCCTTCAGAGCTGCCCCACATCCCCATTCTGGCCCCAGGCCAAGAAACACCTCCGCCCCCCGCCATGGGTCACTGACCTGTTTGAGCAGCGTCAGGATGTCCAGCTCATTCTTGAGGCTGTACCCCGGCAGCATGGCGTCAAACTGCTTCAGCCACTCCGTGCCAGCGTCGGGGGCTTTCCCTGCCAGCGCCGCCTTGGCCTTGCCGCCGAGCCCCCCTACGAGAGAGACGGGACCCCATGGCTCCGCTGCTGGCTCCCAGCGGGGGGATGGAGAAACCCTCTGCCCACAGGGCTCCTCCCGCCGGGGCTGCCCGATACTCACCAGCCCCGTCCGTCTCCACCTTCTTGGCCTCAGGCCCGGAGCCCCGCACTGGGCTCTCGGGGAACAGCACCTCGTAGGAGCTGGGGATCCTCATGCGCAGCAGCTCGGCCACGGCCACCATGACGCCGTTCAGGTTCTGGGGGGCGAGAGGCAGGGCTGGGTCAGAGACGCTGCTGCGGCCCCAGCCAGGGCAGGACCCTGCTCCTGAGCTCCCCAGGGGCAGGGCCCGGCGAGACGATGCCGGGGGCTCTCCACATGGGCTGAAGGGAGCCCTGGCCCTCCCCGCTCCCCCTGCACACGGCGCCTCCCCCACCTTAGCAGCCGCGGCCGAGACGGTCAGCATGACAGAGACTTCGCTGCCCTTCCCCTTCTCCCAGGCGATGCCCTGCGCCAGGGCCACTTTCCCGCCGTGCTCCCCGAAGGGCTCCCGTGCCTCGGGGGGCCTCGGGTCAGGGAACACTGAGAGCAGGAGAAAAGACAGGTTAGGTGCGTGCCGCGCCCGCCCCCAGCCCCGTGAAGGGACCCCGCCCCCAGGGTCCCCTCTGCACATGGCACCCAGCCCCACCCAGCCCACCCTCCAGGGCGTCCCCATACAGCCTTCACCCAGGCCGACCCAGCCCCACCCACCAGGGCCTCCCCATACACACTTCACCCACCACCCTCCAGGCCGACCCAGCCCCACCCACCAGGGCCTCCCCATACACACTGCACCCACCACCCTCCAGGCCGACCCAGCCCCACCCAGCCCCCCCTCCAGGCCGACCCAGCCCCACCCACCAGGGCCTCCCCATACACACTGCACCCACCACCCTCCAGGCCAACCCAGCCCCACCCACCAGGGCCTCCCCATACACACTGCACCCAGCCCCCAGGCCAACCCAGCCCCACCCACCAGGGCCTCCCCATACACCCTTCACCCAGGCCGACCCAGCCCCACCCTCCAGGGTGTCCCCATACACCCTTCACCCAGGCCGACCCAGCCCCACCCACCAGGGCCTCCCCATACACACTTCACCCACCACCCTCCAGGCCGACCCAGCCCCACCCAGCCCCCCCTCCAGGCCAACCCAGCCCCCCCTCCAGGGCCTCCCCATACACACTGCACCCAGCCCCCAGGCCGACCCAGCCCCACCCTCCAGGGCCTCCCCATACACACTGCACCCAGCCCACCCTCCAGGCCAACCCACCAGGGCCTCCCCATACACACTTTACCCAGCCCCCCCCCCCCCCCGACCCAGGCCAACCCAGCCCTTAAAGGGGCACTCACCCACCAGGATATCCCAGCCCACCTTCTCCCCCCAGGTACCCAGCCCACCCTACTGGGACCCTCACCCCCCGCCTGTGCCCACCTGGGATGCTGGCCCTGGGGATGATGGGGATGACTGGTGACAGCACCCGCTCCTGCAGCTCCGGCTTCGCCTCGGCCAGCAGGGGGAAGCGGGGCGGCTCCTCGCCCAGGACGCTCTCTGGGGACGAGGCGGGGACGATGCTGTCGGGGGAGTCGCTCTCCTCGTCGCTCTCCATCCTGAGGGGAGACGCTGGTGAGACCCCGCAGACCAGAGACCCCTCGGCCCCTCCTGCCATCACTGGTGAGAGCCCGGGGGGGGCCCTCGCCCTTCCCACACTGCACCCAGGAGGCCCCCCCCACCCCAGCACGGTGTTTGGCACGGCCAGAGGACACCCCCACCCTCCCCAAGAGAGCTGGGGAGGGGCAAAGCAACGGCACAGCCCAGGACGGGAGCCCTCCCCCGGCCCCTCACCTCACGTCCTCTGTCTGGTTGTGCGGGGGCGTAGGCAGGGCTGCCAGCAGGTCCAGGCTCTTCACTTCCACGGCGGGCGCGTCTGGGCGAGGGAAGGAGGGCGAGGGTCAGCAAGCACCAAGGCCTGGCGTGCGGAGCCAGACGCTACCTGCCATGGGCATGCCGCCCAGCACAGCAGCCCCGCCCCCAGCCCATCAGCCCCGCCCACCTCCCCCTCAGCCCCACTCGCCCTGGCAGAAGCTCCTCCCACATCCCATCAGTGCTGCTCCCGGGTTGGCCAGCAGGGGGCACCGGGGTACCCACACAACCCCCCACCAGAGCTCTCTGCTCCCCTGGGGAAGGGGTAGGTCGGCAGCTCCCCCCTGGGCCCCAGCTGTGGGGCTGGCTGCGCAGCCCTCGCGCGCCTTACCCTTCCGGCCTTCGGCTTCCCGGGCCTGGTCCGGCTCCTTGGGCTGCTCGGCCAGCTCCTCCGAGGAGGTGACGCCATTCACCATCTTCTGCTGCACGGAGGGGGGGCGGAGTGGGGGGCAGCGAGGAGGGTGGGGTGGGCGGGTTGCTCAGGTTGTTCTGCCGGGAGAGGATCCATCATGGATGGTCACTGTCAGGCAGCATCCCGCCCCCTCCCTGCACCCAATCCCTGCTCTCCCCGCCCCCTCCTCACCCCCCAATCCCAATCCCTGCTCTTCCTGCCTCCCCTCCCCAAAGCGGGTGGCTCAGCTCTGTTAGTTCACCCACAGATAGGGAGACTGAGGCACGGGGCCCTGCCCAGGCTGGGGCGGGCAGTACCTTGGTGAGCAGCTGGGTGTAGTAGTCGGGGACGCTGTCCAGCACGGCACTGCCGAATGCCCCCTTCAGCTGGCTCTTGCCGTTGATGGGGCTGCTGCCGAAGGGCGCAAAGAGGCTGAAGTTGGCCGTGATGGTGGGTTCCACCAGGGGCAGCAGGGAGAGCTCCTGTCGAGAGAGGGAGGCAGTCAGGAGGGGAAACCCCCAAAACTGCCCGAGGCATGAACGCGTGGGCAGCTTAACCCCTCTGGGCTGGTACAGGCGATAGGGTACCCCCCAGCGTTCCCTCTCAGTTTTTACATCCATGTGCGGAATGAATTTTGTTATGTGTACCCATATGGAGGTGATGTGTGGTGGGGCCGAGGGGTTTGAAATGTGGGAGGGGGCTCAGGGCTGGGGGGGGGAGAAGCGGGCTCTGGGGTGGGGCTGAGGGATGCGGGAGGAGGCTCAGGGCTGAGGCAGAGGGTTGGGGTGGGGGTGAGGGCTCTGGGGTGCAGTCTGCCCAGGGGCTGCGGTGGGGAGAGAGGACTCCCACCAGCCCTCCCCAGCTGCAGCAGGTCCATGCAGGGGCTGGCGGGGAGAGCCCCCCCCCACTGCAGCCCTGAGCCCCTGCGGGAGCACCCAGCTTAGAGGGAACTTGGCCCCCACCCCCAGATTGGGGCCCCCCGGTGTGCGACCTGACCAGACCAGGAAGCCTTGAGAGACCCACAGTCCCAGCCCCTGGAAACGGCAGGGCCAGGTTGGGCTGTGCGAGGTGCCGGGGGGCACGTGACGGTGGGGCGGGGCGACGGCGGTTACCTGCTTCAGCTGCTTCATTAGGGCCTCGCTGGATTTGAGCCCATCCTCCTTGCGCAGCTTCTTGCGGGAGGCGGCCACTCGCTCCCCGCTCTTCTGGGCCCGTTTGGGCTTTGGGGCCGGGGGCTTCTTGCTGGCGGAGGGATCCTGTGGGGAGAGGGTGAGTCACAGGGCTGCCTGCTGCCCCACCCCACCCACACTGCAGGGCAGGGGACGGGTGCGTGCTCTGCACACCATTGTATTTACCCCCCCCGCCGTACCCCGCCCCACACACCCGGCATGGCCCCTGCTCACCTCTCTGCCTGGGGGTGCTGCCTGCAGCCTCTGCTCCAGCCCCGAGAGCTTGCCGTCACTGTGCCCGTTGAGCTCGGACCGCAGCCCCTCGGCGGAGCGCTGCGACGCCAGCTGCACGTTCTTGGCCCGCAGCAGCTTCTGCAGCAGCAGGTGCCCAGCCTCAGACCTGGCGCCCGCCAGCAGCTGGCTACCCATCAGGAGCTTGTTGGCTGGGGTGGGCGCCGGCTCCCCGTTGGCCTCGCGTTTCACAGCCTGGCCCCCGCCCAGCACGCACGGCACCGTCTCCTCCTTGGGCTCCTGCTTGATGCAGACCCCAGGGGCCTCGGTTGGCAGGGCCCCCCCTTCCAGAGGAGAGGCCTGTGGGCCCGGCCTTTCTACCACCTGCCCGTTGACTTGACTCCCGGCCAGGCTGCGGTCCAGTGGCTTTCTCGATCCATCCATGGGCTCCATGCTGGGAGAGGAGTTGGGACCCTGCACTGCTGGCTCCCAGTGGCCAGGGGTCCCAGCAAAGGACTCCTCCCCTGTTTGGCTGGGGGGTGGCTTTGGGACAGCGGGCACCGGCTCCACCAGGAAGCTATTCTGGGTGGGCGTCAGCCTGTGCTCGGGCTGCGCCCCAGGGCTCTGTGCCACACTGGGCGGCCTGGCCAGGGTGGGCGGGGAGGCTTCCTTTGGCTCTTGGGGGCTCTGTTCCCGGCTGGGTGGGGGGTGCTGATGCACAGAGCCCAGGCTGACCATGCTCATGGGCGCCTGGACCGGGGTGGCCGCCGGCGGGGCCGAGAGTCTGAGCACCCCCTGCTGGGGACTACGCCCCACCAGTGCCGTGTGCACCAGTTCCGCCAGCGGCTGCTGGGGGGCGCTCAGCGGCACTCTCTGCTGGCCGGTGGTCGCCTGCTCCATGGCAAACCCTGGCTGCATCTGCTCTGCAGCAGCGGAGGGGCCGGCTGGCCGGACGTGGAACACCGTCCCCGGCTGCCTCGGTTGCTGGCGCACCACGGAGGCCTGCAGGGCCGAGGGAGGGTGCGGCCCCTGCTCCAGCGATGCCTGGGCCTGCCCCGGGAAGGGGCCGGCCTGCCTCAGTGCCTGGCTCTGCTGCAGCAGGCTCTGCTGGTGGCGCTGCACCAGGATGGCCTGCAGCTGCTGCTGCTGCTGCGGGGTGAGATGCCGCAGCTGCGGGCTTTTGGAGATGACGCCTTGCAGCTGAGCTCGGAATTGGCCCATCACTGGAGCGGACACCTGGCTCAGGATACTCTGTGCATGGGATGCCTGCGGGACTAGCAGGCTCTGCTGCGGCTGCCCCATCGGCCCAGCCTTGTGCTGCCCTGCTGGGCTGGGAAGCCGCTGGCCCACCGGCCCTTTCGGCTGCTGTTCTTGGCTTTGTGTCGGCGGCTGGCCTGCAATCCTTTGTGCCTGGCTCGTCATGCTCCCGGGCTGCTGTTGCTGTTCTGCCACCGAGCCCTGCGGGGCCAGCAAGTGAGGCCCCTGGGCAGGGTCCGAGTGCGGCTGCTCTTGCCTCATGGCGCCCCCCAGCTGCGCCAGCCCCCCGCTGTTCTGCAGCGGCGGATGAAGCAGGCTGCTTTGCTGCTGGCCCCCCTGCATTCGCTGCGGCTGCTGGAGCTGCAGGGAGCTCGCCATGGCCGGCTGCTGCCCCAGCTCAGGCTGGTGTTTCTGCAGCTGCTGCTCCTGGCTGGCCAGCGCCAGGGGACTGAGGTTCTGAATGCCCGGCTGCTCCTGAGGGCCCATGTGCGGCTGCCCCCCGAGGTCCTGGCTGCCCGGCCCACCCACGGCGGCGGTCAGCTGAACCTGATGCTGCCCCCTGCCCTCGGCACCCTCTGGGGGCAGCACAGCGCTCTCTGCCCCTCCCTGCTGCTCCTTGGCGGCCACGCCCTGCGGGGCTGGCTGACCTCCCTGACTCAAGTGTGGCATGGAGGGGGACTGACCCAGGGCCCCATGCTGTGGAAAGTGCGGTAGCTGCTGCTTGGCAGCCTGCCCCTGCCCCACGAGGCCCGGCTGGGCGGCCTGCCCCTGCCCCAGCAGGGCCTGATGCTGGGCGCGAGAGCTCTGCTGCTGTTGCATCAGCAAGGGCCGTGACTGGCCCAGAAGTCCGGCCTGCTGCTGCTGCGCCGGCGATAAAATCAGCCGGTGGCCCACGAGGCCCTGAGTTTGCTGCACCAGCTGAGGCGAGCCCAGCACCCTCTGCTGGTGGGGCGCTAACAGCACCTGCCTCGGGGGGTTCTGGCGGCCCGCCACGCCCTGATGCTGCAGCATGGACGCCTGGGAGTGCCCCATCATCCCTGGCTGCGGCTGCGGCGAGAGCTGCTGGACCAGGATGCCCTGCTGCTTCGGAACCATGGGCTGCCCCCCACCGCCCTGCTGGGGAGCAGGGGGCTGCTGCTGCTGCTGCTGCACCTGTCCCAGCATGCTCTGCGGCTGCGGCTGCGATGACGACACCTGTCCCAGCATGCTCTGCTGCTGCGACACCTGTCCCAGCATGCTCTGCTGCTGCGGCTGCGATGACGACACCTGTCCCAGCATGCTCTGCTGCTGCGGCTGCGATGACGACACCTGTCCCAGCATGCTTTGCTGCTGCTGCTGCGGCTGCAACACCTGTCCCAGCATGCTTTGCTGCTGCTGCTGCGATGACGACACCTGTCCCAGCATGCTTTGCTGCTGCTGCTGCGATGACGACACCTGTCCCAGCATGCTTTGCTGCTGCACCTGTCCCAGCATGCTTTGCTGCTGTTGCTGCGTCTGCGACACCTGTCCCAGCATGCTTTGCTGCTGCTGCACCTGTCCCAGCATGCTTTGCTGCTGCGGCTGCGGCGACGACACCTGTCCCAGCATGCTTTGCTGCTGCGGCTGCGACACCTGTCCCAGCATGCTTTGCTGCTGCGACACCTGTCCCAGCATGCTTTGCTGCTGCGGCTGCTGCAGCGACACCTGTCCCAGCATGCTTTGCTGCTGCTGCAACGACACCTGTCCCAGCATGCTTTGCTGCTGCTGCAGTTTCTGAGCCAGCTGCATCCTCTGCAACTGCCTCTCCTGCATCAGCCGGGTGTCGGCGGCCAGCCCCCGGAGCGCGGGACTCCCAGGGAAGAAGCTGCTGGACGTGCTGGGGACGGCGGCGTTGCCCAGGAAGGACAGGCCCTGCTGGACCGCCATGGAGACGCCGCCCTGGGGCAAGCGCACGCCGCCTGCTTGCCCTGCCAGCTGGTTGGGCTGCTGGCCCAGGCCTTGCGCCCCCACCATGGACCCCGTTTGCTGGGGGAGCTGTGGCTGGACACCGTGGGTGGCGAGCAGCTGCCCCGGGAGCTTGGCCAGGAGCCGGGGGCTCTGCGAGGGGCTGAGGGCCAGAGCGGCGGCACTCTGCTGGTGCTGCTGCTGCTTGTTGCGGTACTCGGCCATCAGGTTGGTGTGCTCCTTCTGCTGCTTCCGGACCTGCCGGGGAGAGCGCCGTCAGCCCGCCGGCCGGCCGGGGGGGGAGGGGGGGGCAGCGCAGCCGCCTGGCCCCCGCCCGCCACAGCCGAGCCCAGGGCGCCCCCCACCCCTCACACACCAGCCCGGCCAACCTCTAACCACAAACTCGCCCCACCTGCAGGTGAAGACTGCCCCCCGTGCACTGCCATTGTCTCCTCCAGCTGCTCTATCCCCAGGCTTTTCCTCCAGCACCCCCACCCCCCTTGGCACGCTTGCTCCACCTCCCCCAGTCCCCCACCTGGTCCAGCTGCTTCTGGATCTTGCTCTGCTGCTCTGTCACCAGCTTGAGCTTCTCAGCGTCGGCCTCGGGGAACTCACGGCCGGCCTTCTTGGCGGTGCGCTGCTTGGCGCACAGGGCCTTGCGGGACTTGCGGTGCACGCCGATCTGCTCCTCCAGCACCTTCAGCTGCATCTGCAGGAGCTGCTGGGTGTGGAAGAGCCACTCCTCGTACTGCCGCTGGTCGGCCTCGTCTGCAGAGAGGGGCACTGCGGTGAGACAGAGCCGTGGAGACGCTCCTCTCCCGCACTGCCCCTGGCCCCCCCGAGCTCGGTCACTGAGGCTCAGAGAAAATCCAGCATTTCCATTCACAGCCAAGCCCCACAGAGCACCAAGAAGGTGGGCAGCAGCCCAATGCCCAGGGCCAGCCCATACAACCCTCCAAGTGACCCCCCTCCTGGCAGGGGGCTCCCCCAGGCAGGGGGTTCCCCCAAACTTGCCCCCCAACACCAGCTACTTACTGATGACGCCCTGAGCGAAGGTGGGTGGGTTGGGGCGGGTCTGAGACGGGTCGCTGCCACTTCGCTCCTAGGAGAGATGGAGAATGTTTATGACCATGTGCACGCCCCCCACCCCAGCCCCCAGTACCACACACTGCCCCCTGCCCCTGCCCTCCCCAGTGCTGCCCCTCACACTGACACCCCCCCTTGCAGCCTCCACACACTCGGCCCGTCTGCGAGGGTGATTCCCGGTGACCCACCCAACTCATCTCACACACGAGCCCCAGAATGGTGGCGGAGACGCCCCGGTGCTGGGTATTTGCTGGGCAAGGCAGCACGGGGGGTCCAGACAGCCACGTGCTCACCTGTCCGCTCCCAGCTGGGACGTGGTTCTGCATTTCGGCCGTGGCCGTGGCTCCCGAGAGCCGCTGAGCCAGCAGGGACACCTGTTGCCTTTGGAACCAAATCAAGAGAGAAGAATGAACCAGGAACTGCTCCTGCCCTCAGCCGCCCGCCTGCCTGCCCCCCTCCCACACATGCCCCCCTCTTACCTGTTCATCCCAGGGGCCACCCCAATGCTTCCCTGAGCCATCACCTTCTTGATGCCCTTCAGCGCTACCATCTTGGCCTTGGCAATGGGGTCCATGATGTCCTCAGCCGCAAACTTATCCAGGTCTGCGTGGAGAGGGAGCGTCAGCTAGAGCCCGCTGCAGGGCTCCCACCCCTGGCAGACCCAGCTGCTTCCCCCGGCTAACGCCCACCAGGCTCCGAGACCACAGGAGGAACCGCCACCCCCTACGTGGGAGTCTCAGTGCCCCCAACCCAGAGAGGAGGGGCAGCTGACAACAGACGTGGCTAAAGGGTGCCAATTTCCAGAATCCATGTTTGGCGGGCCCAAGCGGGGATGGAGCTGCTCTCCACGGCCTGAGCAGGCAGTTGGCACAGGCCCCATCCACGCTCCTGTGGGGGGCAGGAAACAGGACGACTCCCCAGCATGCCCCACCCAGGTCGGACGGGGTCACCCCTCAGCTTTCCACTCTCGTTCAGTCCTTGGCTGGTCAGCTGTGGTCGCCCAGTGCCAAGGGAATGCTCCTCCACCGAGACCCCCCCAGCTCCCTTCAAATGGGGAGGGGTTTCCCCAGATGTGGGGCCAGATCTGAACTTGGGACCTCAAAAGTCTGCCATCCCTTTGCCCCCGCTGGCTCCTACCTGTGTCAGGGAAGAAGCTGTTGGCCAGCTGGTGCTGCTGCATGACAAGCTGCTGGGGTTTCATGCCCATGGGGGTCGGCTGCACCCCAGGTATCTGCTTCTGCACCAGCACCTGCTGCTGGTTTGGCTGCGGGGTCAGCGCCGGCTGGACGCCGTGCTGGGCGGCGAGGACGTGGGGCTGGGGCTGCGCCATGTGTGGGGCCAGCACCTGGCCCTGCTGGGGTCCCACCATCCGCTGCTGCTGCGTCATCAGCTGTTGGGTGGGCACCAGGTTCTGCTGCCTGGCGATGAGGCCCAGCTGCAGCTGTTGCTGGGGCCCCACCAGGCGGGGAGCCTGCCCGCCTGGGGGCTGGGCTGGCCCCGCAGGGTGAGCCAGAATGGAGTGCTGCTGCACAGTCTGGAGGTGCTGGGCGCCCCCCGGCAGGTGGGCCGACATCTGCTGCTTCTTCTGCAGCTCCTTCTTCTCGTGCTCCAGCAGGTCCTCAATGAGCAGGGGCAGCTCGCTGGCCACCAGGGAGCTCTCCATCTTCTCTAGGTCATCAGCCGGCGAGTGCTGGGCGTTGGCCAGACCCAAGGCCCCTCCATCCAGCTCCAGCAGGGCACTGCTCTGGCTGGCTGCCAGCCCGCGGCCCGGAGCAGCGTAGGAGCCCTTGTCTGAGCCAGAGGTGGCAGGTTGGCCGTTGTTTGGGAAGGGGGCTGTGCCGAGCCGCACGGGCCCCGCTCCGGGATTCAAGAGGTTCTGGCCAGGCTTGAGCGTCAGGCCTAGGGAGGCAGCCATTTTCTCGGCCCCCTGGAGGGCCTCCGACTTGATGGGGACCGGGAGGCGGTCAGAGGTGCCGGCGTTGAACTGGCAGGGGGATGTCTTCAGGCAGCCATCCTCCAGCTTGGGCTGGACGCTGGCCGGCAGGGAGGCTGGCTTGGCTTCCAGGATGCTGGCCTGGGCCTTGAAGGTCGGGTGGGGAGCCGGTGCCGTGCTGGAGGGGCAGGGGGCAGGCGCCAGCCCTTCCCTGGGGGGTGCCAGCTCCTTGGGCTCCCCAGGGCCCTTGGGGCAGGGCCCAGCTGGCTCCCTCTTGAGCAGGGCCTCACGCTCAGCCTTCTCGTTGGCCGACTCCACCAGGCGCAGGTGCTCGTTGAAGATGTCCTTCTTGTCGCCCGTGTCCAGCTCGGGGTCGGTGTAGGCCAGCAGGTCGAACTCGTCGCCATTCAGCAGGTCGTCCAGGTGGGGGTCGTTGGTCTCCAGGTTGTCCAGGTTGCCCAGGTCGTCGTCCCCCTTGGCCACGTCCGGGTCCAGGCTCAGGTTGGCCAGGTCGTCGTCCTCCAGGTCCTTGTGGGAGTCAAAGTCGTCGTCCAGGTCGGGCTCCCCCGGCACCTCGCACGGGAGCCGCCCGCCCTCCAGCGCCAGGTGGCTCTTGCTGGGAGCTGGAGCCGGGGCCGGAGCCAGCGGGGGCTCCATGGCAGGGCTGTCCTTGGGGCCCTCGGGGCGCAGGCTGGTGGACGACAGCGGGCGGGGCGGCCCGTGCTGCAGCTCCAGGCCGCTGGCAGGCGGGGGCAGCGGAGGGCCACTTTTGGGGGGAGGCTGGTGGCTCCGCTGAGCCCCCTGCGGGGAAGAAGCAGAGGGTGGCAGAGGGGCCGGCAGCTTCGGGGGCTGCAGGACCGGGGCTGCCAGAGGCATGACAGAGGCACGCAGGGCCTGGCTGGAGCTCTCGTCGCCGGGCAGGAAGAAGCGTGGCCTGGCCGGGGGGCCCTGCTGGACGAAGGGGGAGCCCATGCCCCCGGCTGCCCCCTTCTGGGAGTTGTGCCGCAGCTCAATGAACTGGGCCCCCATGGCGCCGGGCGAGGATGGGATCTGCTCGGCAGGGCCCGGCACGCGCCCAGCCAGGCCCCCCAGCGCCGGCCGGCCGAGCTCGTGGCCAGGCGGCTGCTGGAAGCGGGCCGGGCTGGGGAGCCGCACGGCTGCCTGCTGCTGCCACATCTGCTGCTGCTGCGGCGAGGGCCCCTGGAACATGCCGCGTGGGAAGAAGGTCTGGGGGGCTCCCACCGCCGGCCTGCAACACAGACAGGGAGGGTCAGGGAGCGGCCCCTTCCTCGGGCGCCCCAGGAGGTGCAGCTCCTGGCCCGCACAGGGTGCCTGTGCCACCATCCGCCCAAGGGCAGAGCCACAGCCAAGGAGCTCCCTCGCTCGCCCACCCCAGGGGCAGGTCAGCAGCAGCTGGGGCTTCTGGAAGCGGACACGGGCTGGCCACGCCCCAGCACGGCATCGCCCCGTTGAGGGGCTCCTGGCGGACAGGCTGAATCCCCAGCAGACCTGCCAACGGCTTTCCCCACCCACGTCTGATGTCAGGGGATGGGGGCTCAGTGACGGCACCCTGTCAACGGGGGCCGCCCCAGAAATCCCAGCCCCCCACTCCCCCAGTGGATTCCAGAGAGGGGAGCGAGGCTCTCTGACTAGCTGGGCCTGGGAGCAAGGTCTCCTCAGTTCTATTCCCAGCTCTGCCACAAACTCGCTGAGTACTCGTGGGCCTCAGTTTCCCCACGTGTAGATGAGGGCAGGGTCTGATGGGTAAGTGAAGTGCCGTGCCCTGCCCTCTCCCCGCTGTGAGTGCAGCAAGGCCAGAGCACTGCTCGCCTCCAGCACCTGTGGGGACACGCACCTGCCGTTGAGGTCCATGGAGGAGGGCGTGGCGGCAGGCGGCGGGCGAGAAAGCCGTTCGTCCGGTGCGAAGGCCACGGGCACCATAACTGGCCCAGAGAGTTTGCTGCTACCAGGGGCTGCGGGCAGATTCCCGAGGGCGCTCTTGTCCTGGGAAGGAAGGAAGAGCGACTCCACCTGTACCCCGACTCCTACAGATCACTCCCTCGCCTGCACCCTTCCCCTCCAGCTGTGAGGGATCCTGACTTCCCTCCTGACCCCAGCCTAGGCTCAAGCTTCTCTGCTGCAGGCAACGGGCAGCTCTAACTAGTGCACCTTGCTGCCCTTGTTCGGGACTAGCCCCAGCCCCATCCAAGTCTCCCCATGCGCTTTGTCTGGTGACACCCTGCAGCAGGGAGCTCCCCAGGTGACAGGCACTTCCAGATCTGTGCCCCCAGCCCCCGGCCCTCTGTCCCATTCAGAGGGGCCCTCGTGGGAGCGCGGGGCTTGTCGAAACGCTGTGTTCGTCAACGTGCAGAACCAAATCCACAGTGGCCGGCTCCGACTGCCCCTGGGGCCGGGCCGGGCCGGGCCAGGCCAGGCCAGCGGCCCTGGGGCCAGTACGACGTGGCCCATACGGCTACGGAGATGTTCATGTGGCCCCAGCCACGCCTGCCCTACCTGTGCTGGCTGGTAGGGTGCCAGGCCCCTGAGCTGCTCGAAGGCCGGGCTGCTGGCTTCGGCACTCCACGCTGCCTGGGAGGAGCTGGTGGCGGCAGCCGCACTCTCCTTCTCCTGCCGCAGGTTGTTCCTCTGGATCTGCTGGCGGATGAGGAGCTCGCGGAGTCTCTGGCGCTGGGAGATGAGGGATGCACCGTTACAGCAGGGCCTAGACTGCACCCTGGGAACTCACCTCCCTACCCCTGAGCATATGGGGGACGGAGCGGGGACAGGACATCCAGGGCAGCTTGGAGACTCTCTGCCTAAGTTGACTAGACTGACACAGGTGGGAGGGTAAACTGAGGCACGGAGAGGGAGAGGGCCTTGCCCAAGTCACCCAGCAAGTTAACGGCAGAGCCAGGAAGAGCACCCAAGCCCCAGTCCATGCAAGTAAAAGAGACTAGAGGGCAAAGAGCCATTCCCTGGGCTCCAGCTCTCCCTTGTATCCTCTAGGCGATGTCACGGTGTCCCTGGGCTCAGCCCCCACCAGCACTCACACATCCTGTGCCTGGCGCTGGGAGGGCAGCGGGGTGCAGTGGTTAGAGCAGGGGGGATTGGGAGCCAGCAGTCCCAGCTCGACCTCTGATTCGCCGTGCACCTGGTCTGTGCTCAAGGGTGCCCCGAGCCAGTGCCCCCAAAGCCAAGTCACCCCCAAGGGTTAAGGAGAAAGCGGAGCGCTCACCTGCCTCTGCTTCTCCAGCTCCGACTGGCTGATGCTGCCGAGGGTGCCCTCCTGGCTGACGGGCAGCTCAGGCAGCTCCCGGCTGGGGAGAGCAGAGATCCCCGACACCACCTCGTCCCGCTTGTCAGCTGGCAGCGCCATCCCGGCTCGGGGCAAGTAGGTCAGGGAGCTGTCCTGCTGCTGCTGGGGGTGGGGGGGTTGCTGTGGCAGCACCGAGGGGGGCCGCAGGGGAGAGAGGCTGTAGGTTTCAGCAGGGCAGTTGCCAGGCCCCAGGGGGCTACCGGCCTGGTGGAAGCCGGGCGAGGAGGCATAGTTGGTGCTTTGGGGCTTGCCCACGGACTGGCTAGAGGTGAAATGGCTGTTCATCCCGTGGGGTTGGTGGGAGGGGGAACCCTTGAGGGTCTCCGAGACAGCTGGGGGGAAGGTGAACCGCATCTGCGCCGGGGCGCCAGGGAAGACGCTGGCTCCAGGGGAGCGGGCAAAGGGGGGCTGCTGGCTTCCCGGCCCCTTGGAGTGAGGGTCACTGGGCTGGGCTGGAGGGAAGCCCCCACCAGCTGGGGGATTGTGGGAGACTGGGATCGATTTGAAGCCGGAGTCAGGCATTTGGGGCCGCGGGGGCTTGTGCAGGGGGGCAAAGGGGTCCCGGGACTGGGGGCGCGAGGGGGGTCTGGAGTAGGGGTCGGGGGACTGGAAGCGAGGGGTGACGGGTGACTGACAGCAAGCCTCATTGGAGAGTGGCCGGGGGTGAAGGGGGGACTGGGAGCTGGACTGGGACTGTGGGCTGGCGGGGACGCGGGAGAAGGGGTCAGAAGGCAAGGACCTGGGGGGCAGGGCACAGCAGCTCTCGGGGGGCTGTGGCCGGGGCGTCAGGGGGGGCTGGGCATAGGGATCCGAGTAGCAGGACACGGAGGGCGACTGCCTGTAGAGGTCGGGGTGGCTGGGAGGTGAGGGGGCCAGAGCCTGGGGATGCGGATGTGCGAGCCCTGGGCTCTGTGGCTCTACCTGAGAGACCCGTGGGGTCAGGGGGGCTTTGAACACGTCGGCCGCCTTCAGCTCGGCGGAGGAGAGGTGGGACGGGGAATCGGCGTAGCCCATGGCAGCCACGTAGCCAGGAGAACACACTCCCGGGCCCCCTTCCTCCTTCTTCACCTGCAGCCCCCCAGCCTCCAGGCTCCGCTTCTGCTCCCCGAACGGAGGGGGTGAGAGCAGCGGCTCGGGGGGCCTGGCCCCAGGGCTCCCTGGCACCGACAGGTTGTCCAGAGAGCCACTGAGGCAGCGAGGTTTCAGGAAGGGGTCTGGGGTGGAGGGCTGGTGCCGGGGGGGTCCAGGGGAGGTGGGGTGGAACTCCGGAGGCTGGGGGCCCAGGGCCGGCCGGGGAGTGGGCAGGAGCTGCTGCTGCTGTTGTGTGGGGAAGGGCTGAAAGGCAGCTCCGGCAGTGGGACTCTGGCCCAGGGGCGAGGGGAAGCGGGGCTCCAGCGGGTAGGTGGGGGCCATGCTGTAGGGGTCGTGCGAAGGCACTTGGGAAGGAAGCTTGAGGGAGAGCTCGCTGGACTCGGCCCCCGCTTCGGCGCCAGCAGGGGACTTCAGGAACCCGTCCGTGGAGCCAGGCAGGGCCAGCGGGCTGTTGATGTAGACAGGCTGCCCCGCAGCACCAGGCAGCGCCCCCTGCTGGGGCGGGATCCTCAGGTGCAGCGCGGGTCTCTCAGGCTTGCGCAGCACCTCCCCTTTGGTCTGCTTGTTGATCTGGCTCTCGGCCTGCTGCAGAGACAGCGCAGGATGGGGGTCAGCTTGCCAGGGGATCCTCTCTGCACTGCAGAGAGCCTGAGACGGCATCAGGTCAGATCCCCCGCCCTCACACCCACCCACCACCTTGGGCTGTGAAACGGGGATAGGGGCAGGGAAGGGAGGATCCGGCAGAGTCAGAGGAGGGGCCAGTTGCTCCAGTTCCTCCCTGGCCCAGTCTGGGTCCCCGAGAGGAAGAAAGGACAGAGAGGAGCCCCACAAGGCTTCTGCCCGCGTCCGGAACGCTCTCCCCCGGCACGTACCTTCTGCACCTTGTTGATGCGATGAGCCGCCCGGTTATCTTTGGCCTTTTGCTGCACAAAAAAACAATCAGTTCTCAGAGCTGGGCTGTGAGACTCCCTGTCGATCCCCCGCGAGCAGGTCACGCTCCCCGGCCACAGCCCGCAGTGGGGAGCGGGCCCACGCAGGAAACTCACCAAGTAGGGGGCTTTGTCCGGGGCAGGGACCTTTCTCCAGAGCTTCATGATCTGTTTGCAGCGGCTGGACCAGTCTGGGTGGGGGACAGAGACAGAGGTTACGATCGCCCCAAATCACTAGCCATGGCAGCCTCCGGCTGGAGTCTCTGGAGCATCCGGGGTTTAAGTCCCAAGCCCCAGCCGGGTCAGGGCAGGTGTGGGGACATCCCTCCAGCCTGGGCTCCCCAAGATGCATGACCAGGGGCTTCGTGAAGCCAATGGAGGCTCACGCCAGAGAGCTCTCTGGGTAAGGAGCTTCTTAGCCAACACAGAAGTTTCATGCCAAGAGGACTATGCGCAAGGAACTCTTCCCGCAATAGGAGAAAGGGCTCAGTGCCCTCATACCAGACAGGATTATGGGTAAGAGCCTTCACTCGGCCACTGAGATCCAGAGAGGCTGGTTACTGAGCATCCCTCCTTCCCGAAGGCGGCAGCCAGAGGGGCGAGAGCAGCTGCCTACCTGGGTAATCCTGCTTGAGGCTGGGGAAGTTCATGTTGGCATAGAGTACGGGCGAGATGGTGGACAGCTCGCCCAGCTCCTCATCCTTCTCCCAGCGCTGTAGGCTCCGCTGGTTGTAGGAGAGCCCATCCCCCTCACCCTCCGTGGTGGGGGTGGTGGGCGTGGAGGGGGTGGTGGCAGCCGAGCTGCTGGCCCAGGGGCTCTCGGGCTCGCAGTGGTCTGGGCTGAAGAAGCCACTTCTCTCCCTACACCGGGGAAAAAGCACATGGCCTGAGTCACCAGGGCTGCGGGCAAAGCCCAGGGCACATGCCAGCTGGGACAGATTCCAGCCCCTGGATTGAAGCAGCCCCCAGCGCCTTAGGGACCCGCATTCACCCCATCTCCTGAAGAAACCCGTGCCCTGCCTCTCCCAAGGGCACCAGCACTGCCCGCCTGGCACGCACCAACATACCTGTTATCGAGGAATGGGGACTGGCAGACTCCTGAGTAGGACTCCATGGGGACAGTGGAGGAGAGAGAGCCCAGAGAAACACTCCCTGTGAGGGAAGGCAAACCATGTGGCAGAGAGCTGGCAATGCGAGTCAGAGCCAGCCTCCCCATCCCCAACTCCCCCTCCCACCTGCCCCAAGAGGGCTCCTAGAGCCAAGCCAGGTGAATGCCTAGCTCCTAAAGAGTCCTAACACCACTCTCTCCTCCCCCAGGAATCACCCTATTTATTGCACATGGTGAAACAAAGGCACAAGAGGGGTGACCTTCCCACAGATCACACAACACATCGATGCAGGAAACAGAACCCAGGAGTCCGGTCCCGCAATGCTGTCCTCCAGCCCCTAGATGGTGCTGCCTCTGCTCAAACCAGGCTGCACAGCAAGGGGCTGGAAATGGGGCACGCCGAACACGCCCAGGTTTGCTCTCCTGTGTCCTGCCTGGCGTAACAGACAGCACCCCCGATGGCCCTCCCTCTCACAACCGGTCCCGAGAGCAGCCCTTTCACACCAGGAGTTTTTGGAAGGGGGTTGTAATTTATCAGCCACACTCGCCACACGGGACAGACAGGTCACCTTGCAGGAAGGGCCTCTGGGAGAGCTGTGCCCGGTTGGCGTCTCGCCCTCCCATGCTGGCCTCCATCCCTGCTGCCATGCAGCTCAGCTGCTGCTCCCGCTCGGCAGAGCCCAGCACGTCCTTGAAGAGCTGCTGGATGTCCTTGCTCTCCATCTTGGGCAATTCTGGGGGAAGAGGGACGATCAGAATGAGCACAGGGCTGGGGAGCTGCATGGCCTCATGCCCCGTGTGCGGATCCACCCCGTTCCAGACTCACCATCTTCCAGGGCGAAACTGAGGGACAAGACTTCCCCTCACGCAGCACGCCAGTTGCGCAGCTGGAAAAGGAACCCAGGAGTCCTGACTCTTGGGTCCCTTCTACTCTACTAGACCCCACCTCCTCTCAGAGCCTTTTTGAACCAGATAAAATGGCACCTGGTTCAGGCTGAGAAAACAGGGTCACCACCATCCTCTGCTTGATTGGCAGCTGTACTATGCAACAAGCTGCGGGAACTGGTCTCCTCGGACCACCAGGGGCTTCAGCAGAGGGGACCAAAGGGATCCCTCACAGGACTGAGCCACTAGCCTGGGAAGCTGGTCTTGGCAAGTCCCTTGCTTTGGGAATAGCCCATGTCACCCTCTGCGGGAGCTGGCACCAGGCTGTCGAGACCCGTTGTGGGCTCCAGCACATGTTTGCTATTTCCCAGCACATGTTTCCCATTTCACCCTAATGACAGGCATTTGGGAGGCCCCCTCAGCTTGGGGCCCTGGTTTAACTCTCCCGCTTCTGCCCTTCTCGCCAGCCCCGGCTGGCACCAGCACGGAACCGAGGGAGGTGTGAGGGGACGTCCGGCAGCCTGACCTTCTGTGGGGATCTTGTCAAGGTCGGAGCTGAGAGCACCCTCGCCGGGCGTCGCCGGCTTCTCGCTGTCCCCAGGATCCGGAGAACCTTTCGGCTCCTCTGCCCCTGGGAGACAAACGCACACGCCACCCACATCACCCCAGCTCAGCACCTGTGGCCAGGGGGTGTGCCGCTGCAGATATCTTCTTGCCCCACCCCACACACAATGGGGGCAGACATGCCATGGGGATGCTGGGTCGTGACCCCCACCCCCACCCCATCGGGGGCGGGCGTGCCAGGGTCGTGACCCCCACCCCCACCCCATCGGGGGCGGGCGTGCCAGGGTCGTGACCCCCACCCCCACCCCATCGGGGGCGGGCGTGCCAGGGTCGTGACCCCCACCCCCACCCCATCGGGGGCGGGCGTGCCAGGGTCGTGACCCCCACCCCCACCCCCACCCCATCGGGGGTGGGCGTGCCAGGGTCATGACCTGGGAGCTTGGGAGTCCATCCCCCCCTTTCAGCACCCTCCTTCCCTGAAAAGATTAGGAACTGAGGGTGATGTTCTAGGCTACATCTCTATGGTTCTGAAGGTGGGGGAATCACTCTAGGACTCCAAACCATAGAGACTCCGGAGTCCTCCAGGACTGACCATAGATGCACCCTGCCTAGATAATAGCCCACAGCCATAGAGCTGTAGCTAGAGTGCTTAGCCATGATGGATAGAGTGGCACAGCTCTATGGCCACGGGCCGGTTGGAGAGTACACTCTAGACAGGATCTCTATGGTCAGGGGAGTTGGTCAACAAGATGGGGAGCTCCAGGCATGGTGGAGGTTATACAAATGGAGTCCTGCATATTCAGATATTCAAATGAGAGGGTCACTCTATTTGCATAACCCCCCAGCTCTCTGTACCAGCCTGCCATAGTGCTGAGTCCCGTCCCCACAGGGAACACCCCCCAGCCACGGGCCGGACACCAGCCCCCCCCCAGCCCCTGCTCCCCACCCGCGGGCCAGCCCGGTGGGAGGTGCTCACCTGGGTCCTCGGCCTTCGCTTCCGCCCCTTTCGGGTCCTCCTCTTGGGCCACCAGGGTGCTGCTGTCCATGCTGCTGTCCCCTGGGGGGGGTGTCACAGGAGGGGGACGCTGAGCCAGCAGACGGCCCCTCCCTCCCGTGACGCCAGCCCCTTGGCAAGGGTGATCTCCGGCTCCTGGCACTACCCGCCCCCAGTCCAGGTGACCATGCCCAGCCCCTCAGATCCCTCCCCACCAAGCCAAGTCCCACCGGCCAGCCCTGCACCCTGCCAACCTCCGCCCAGAAGCCAAGGGCATCTCTGCAGCCCCCTTACCTTTCAGATGGGCAGGGGTCTCCTTCCCATCTCCGGGCGCCTTTTGGAGTGTGCCGGGCACCCCAGGGTCCACCCTTGGTCTGGGAGCACCCTGGCCAAAGGGGGGGGCAGGCAGCTCCATCCCCTACACCCCCCGCAGCCAGCAGGGCCTTCCGGCTCAGGTCCATGAGCGCCTTCCCGAAGAACGCTTCCTGCCGAAGGAGTGGGGAAGGGGACGGGAGGGGGCGGGAGGGAGCCAGGGGACACGTACCAGAGTTAACAGAGGAGCCAGACCCCATCCCCAGCTCTCTGCCCAATGAAGCTCCCCCACCCTCCCCTCCCCCTCCCCTCTGCCCACAGCAGCAGGGGCTGACATGGCCCTGTCCCGCCACAGCCTGGCTTACCTGGAGGTAGGCAGGGAACATATCCTCCAACTTGCTCTTCTTCCTGCCTCTGCGTTTCTTCTTCTCGTCCACCTCCGTGGCACCCTGCTCCGCAGCGCCCTCCGCTGGGATCTCCGCCGGCGCCACTGTGGACAGCAGCTTCTGTTACTTCCGGCCTCCCCAGGAGGGAGTAAAGGACCCCGGAGACCTGGGGCCCTCCTGGAAGGAGCCCTGCCTTGGGCAGGGATTTCCCCATCGCCTCCCCGCACAAGCTGTGGTGCAGCCCCACCTCCCTCCATGAGATCCCAGAACTCAGGGTTGGGGCGGGGGCTGTTCTGTCCCAGCTACACCCCACGACACAGAGGTTAATGCCAGAGGGCCAGGCACTGCCTGGGCGCACGCGGCTCCTACCGTCCTCCGGGTGCCCCTCGGCGCTCAGCACCTCGCGACATGCCTCCACCAGTGCCGCCGAGCCCTTCTTCAGCCGGGTGTGCGACTTCCGCTGCCGCACCATGAACCCGCCGATCCCTGTGGGGGAAGATGAGCATTGGGGGGTTACAGAGGGAGGCCTCAGCCCTGCTTAGCCGGTGGGTTTCACTGCACAGAGCCCAGGGCACAAGATGCTGGAACCGACACCCTCCAGCCCCAGCTCTGATGGGCTGGATTTGGCGGGACACCTCCGTCAGCCACCATGGACAAGGCCCGGAAGAGCCCAGCTGATTAGCCGTCCCCCTGTCACGGATTGGTGCAGGAGTACTCACCAGGGCGGTACGGCTTCCGCTTCCTCTTCTTGCACTCCTCCGAATCCTCCAGCCCCTTCCCCGAGTCCACGTCGGCGCCCCCGTCCCGGTCGGGGCTGGCAGCAGCTTCCAGCTTGATCTCACACTCCATGTGCTCCACACCCCCTGCGCGCGGGAGGGGGAGAGACGTTAGAGCGGGACTCCCTCATGCCCCCCAGTCCCACTATGGCAGAGGGAAAGTCAACTGACAATCCAGACCCCCTGAATCCCCCACTCCCACACCCAGCCCCACACATTGCTCGCCAAGCTGCGCCCCTTCTCCCCACGACACTGACCCTGGAGGAGCCAGTTCAGCCCATCAGCGACAGAGGGGTACCCCTCTCTCTGGTGCATCCTGCCCCACCAGCCATGGGCCCCTGAAAGCCAACAGCCACCCAGCTGGGCCCAGCAACATTCTCCCCACCCCACCCCACGCAGTTCTGCCAACGTGCCAACCCCTCCCTGAGCGCGTCCCTCTCTCTCACCTGCACCCCCCCCCCGCGCACACGCCCCTCCCTACACATGTATACGTCCCCCTTGCGCCCCAGTGCGGAGGATCCCAGCTGCAGCCACCTCCCACCCACCCACCCCAGCGCCAACGCCCTCAGGCACTGAGCCGAGACCTGCCCTCCCGGGCACGGCAAGAGCCCTCGGTTCGGTGGGCTTGAGGGGCTGACCAGGCCTGGCAACGAACCCTGGCATCTTGGCTCCTCTCCAGGCACAGTAAGGTGGCAGCCCAAGCAGCAGGCACCAGCATGCATGCGTCCCGCGCCAGCCGGCAGTGGGGAGCAGGGGCCACACGAGGGGAGCGCACCTTCACCCTTCAGCAGGTCGTCCGCGTCCAGATCCCCGTCCTTCTTCTCATCCGCACCCAGGGGGTCGCCGCCCTCCAGGCCCCCCTCCCCATTCAGGGGGCCCAGCCGGGTCTTGCGTTGCCTGCGTTTGTGCAGAGGGGACATGGACAGGTTCCGCAGCACGGCCATGCCCGTCTCCGTCAGCCAGACGCCCTCGAAGCGGAAATACTGGGGCTCTGTGGGGGGAAGGAGGCAGGGCCAGACAACAGAGTTACGGATCACACGCTCTCCACTTGCAGGCTGGCCCAGAAGTCAGGATGCCTGGGTTCTATTCCGGGCTCTGCACTGACCCACTAGGAGACCTTGGGCCAGTCCCTGAGCCTCTCTGTGCCCTTCGTCTAGCCCGTTCAGACTGTGAGCTCTTCAAGGCAAGAGAGACTCCTTGACCCCCTGCTCCAACTACTGGATTCCACAACCCTCCCCACCCCCACGAGCCAGGAACAGAACCCAGGAGTCCGGGCTCCCAGCCCTAACCGCGAGACCCCACTCTTCTCCCTGAGCCGGGAATGAACCCGGGAGCCTGGGCCTCTGCAGCACACCCCTCCCTGGGAAAAAGGTGATACAACCCTAGCGAGACCGACTCGTCCCAAGTGGGCGGCGAGTGCAGCTCGGTCACACGGAGTGGAGAGCGTGTCCCCTTCCCCACATACTTACCCGGCTCCTTGATCTTCACCGGGATGATCTCTGGGGGGGCGACGGGAACTGGGGAGGGAAACAGACAGCGGTGAGTCCACCTGAGTCCCCGGCCCACTCCCCCCCGCCCAGTCCCTCGGCCCCTCCCTGCTGCCCCAAGCACCTGCCTCCCGGCGCAGGGGAGGCATGGACGCACCGACTGGCTTGACCACGTAGGGCTGGCAGGAGCTGCAGTCGAAGCCCTCGTCTGCTGCCTGTTCCACCTCCTCCTCCGTGAAGAGATTGCTGCACACTGCGTGGATCCACCTGGGGGACAGGGACGGGTAAGGGACGGGGCGCAGCATGGGGCCCGGGGCCTCCCCAGGGGAAAGGCGCTTGGCTCAGGAACTCCCTTTGATTCTGCTCCCGGAGGCAGCCCCCGAGCGCTCCAGGGAACCCTCCCAAGCTGCCTGTCCTGGGGACGCCAAGGAACAAGCTGATCTCCACCGGGGGAACCCAGCCCCCAACAGGGAGCTGTGCAGGGACCCGTTCAATAAAATCAAGTCTGGTCTCTCGCTTAGACCCTCTTGCGGCAGGGGCAGGGCCCCGAGCACAGCCCCGTGTGCGTCCCCCGAGGCAGAACCCTGCTCCAGATCGGTTACATCTTTCTGGCCCTTATATTTTCAGAAACCTTTCAAAAAAATTAAAAAAAAATATGAGCCATCCAACAGCCTGCAGAGAGCCTGAAACAGTAACTCTTGGAGGCATGAACTGACCTGACTCCTCACCAAGGCTGTTGACTCTGAACCCTAATGGTGCCATATCGAGCTGAGAAGATGTGTGCCAGTGTGGATAAGATCCTGTCTCTAACCCAATAGCCCAAGGAGCAAGGATTAGGAGGGCTGTGTTGGCCATTTGCATGTTTCACTGGAAGCTGTCCCAGAATTCCCAGAGGCTGTTCCCAGGTCCAGGGACCAGCCGCAGATTGCATGAAGCAAGGGCTCCAGGGGGCAAACACCAGCTGGGGTGTCGGACCCCCTAGGACAGAGGTGGGCAAACTACAGCCCGCGGGACTGTCCTGTGCTCCCGGCCGGGGAGGCCGGCCCCCAGCCCCTCCCGCGCAGTGACACCGCTGCGCTCTGGCTCCAGCCGGGCAGCAAGCTCCTGCTGCTCTGACCAGCATGGTAAGGGGGCGGGGGGGTCCCGCAGGGCAGTCAGGGAGCAGAGGGAGGTTGGATGGAGCGGAGGATCTGTGGGGGCAGTCAGGGGACGGGGAACAGGGAGGAGTGGGAGTCCCGGGGGGCCTGTCAGGAGGCGGGGGTGTGGATAGGGGTTGGGGGGGCAGTCAAGGGACAGGGATGGTTGGATGATGGGATCCCAAGGGGCAGTCAGGGGTGGGGGGTCCCGGGAGAGGGCAGTCAGGGGATGAGGAGCAGAGGGTGGTTGGATAGGGGGTGCGAGTCCCGGGGGGTCTGTCAGGGGGCAGGTGTGTGGATAGGGGTTGGGGCAATCTGGGGACAGGGAGCGGAGCCCCAGGGGGCAGTTAGGGGCCGGGGTCTCGGGGGGGGGGGCAGTCAGGGGACAGGGAGCGGAGTCCCAGGGGGCAGTCAGGGGCAGGGGACAAGGAATGGGGGGGTTGGATGGGTTGGAGGTTCTGAGGGGGGCAGTCAGGGGGCGGGGTCCAGGCTGTTTGGGGAGGCCTTCCCTACCCGACCCTCCGTACAGTTTTGCAACCCCGATGTGGGCCGCGGGCCAAAACGTTTGCCCCCCGTTTGTGTGCAGCCCCGTGGCTAGCCCCCCCCCCCCCGACCTCCGCCAGGCAGAAAGGGGGCTGGGCCTCACCGGTCGCAGTCCCTGCACTGGATGAGCAGGTCGTCTTCCACGTACTTCGCCCGGCAGAGGGGGCAGGTCACGAGGCTGGCGCAGGGGGCGCAGTGCGTGGAGTTGTTCTGCCACTCACAGTGAAATCCGGGGGAGCCCGCCCCACACTGCACGCAGCACACGCACCTACCGGAGAGAGGGGTCAGCACCAGCCCCCGCTGCACCCCCCGGCGCCCCGAGAGCCCCCACGCACTGCCCGTCTCACGCCGCACTGCACCCCTACCCGCCTCTCCCGCCCCACCGAGAGCCCCCACGCACTGCCCGTCTCAGGCCGCACTGCACCCCTACCCGCCTCTCCCGCCCCACCGAGAGCCCCCCACGCACTGCCTGTCACACGCCGCACTGCACCCCTACCGGCCTGCTCCACCCCACCGAGAGCCCCCCACGCACTGCCCGTCTCACGCCGCACTGCACCCCTACCCGCCTCTCCCGCCCCACCGAGAGCCCCCACGCACTGCCCGTCTCACGCCGCACTGCACCCCTACCCGCCTCTCCCCCCCACCGAGCCCCCCACGCACTGCCCGTCTCAGGCCGCACTGCACCCCTACCGGCCTCTCCCGCCCCACCGAGAGCCCCCCACGCACTGCCCGTCTCATGCCGCACTGCACCCCTACCGGCCTCTCCCGCCCCACCGAGAGCCCCCACGCACTGCCCGTCTCACGCCGCACTGCACCCCTACCCGCCTGTCCCGCCCCACCGAGAGCCCCCCACGCACTGCCCATCTCACGCCGCACTGCGCCCCTACCCGCCTCTCCCGCCCCACCGAGAGCCCCCCACGCACTGCCCGTCTCACGCCGCACTGCACCCCTACCCGCCTGTCCCGCCCCACCGAGCCCCCCACGCACTGCCCGTCTCACGCCCTGCACCCCTACCCGCCTGTCCCGCCCCACCGAGACCCCCACGCACTCCCATCTCACGCCGCACTCCCCTACCCGCCTCCCCGCCCCACCGAGAGCCCCCACGCACTGCCCGTCTCACGCCGCACTGCACCCCTACCCGCCTGTCCCGCCCCACCGAGAGCCCCCCACGCACTGCCCGTCTCACGCCGCGCTGCACCCCTACCCGCCTGTCCCGCCCCACCGAGAGCCCCCACGCACTGCCCATCTCACGCCGCACTGCGCCCCTACCCGCCTCTCCCGCCCCACCGAGAGCCCCCCACGCACTGCCCGTCTCAGGCCGCACTGCACCCCTACCCGCCTCTCCCGCCCCACCGAGAGCCCCCCACGCACTGCCCGTCTCAGGCTGCACTGCACCCCTACCGGCCTGCCCCACCCCACCGAGAGCCCCCCACGCACTGCCCTTCTCACGCCGCACTGCACCCCTACCCGCCTCTCCCGCCCCACCGAGAGCCCCCACGCACTGCCCGTCTCACGCCGCACTGCACCCCTACCCGCCTCTCCCGCCCCACCGAGAGCCCCCCACGCACTGCCCGTCTCAGGCCGCACTGCACCCCCTACCGGCCTCTCCCGCCCCACCGAGAGCCCCCCACGCACTGCCCGTCTCACGCCGCACTGCACCCCTACCGCCTCTCCCGCCCCACCGAGAGCCCCCACGCACTGCCCGTCTCACGCCGCGCTGCACCCCTACCCGCCTGTCCCACCCCACCGAGAGCCCCCACGCACTGCCCATCTCACGCCGCACTGCGCCCCTACCCGCCTCTCCCGCCCCACCGAGAGCCCCCACGCACTGCCCGTCTCACGCCGCACTGCACCCCTACCCGCCTGTCCCGCCCCACCGAGAGCCCCCCACGCACTGCCCGTCTCAGGCCGCACTGCACCCCTACCGGCCTCTCCCGCCCCACCGAGAGCCCCCACGCACTGCCCGTCTCACGCCGCACTGCACCCCTACCGGCCTGTCCCGCCCCACCGAGAGCCCCCCCACGCACTGCCCGTCTCACGCCGCACTGCACCCCTACCCGCCTCTCCCGCCCCACCGAGAGCCCCCCACACACTGCCCGTCTCACGCCGCACTGCACCCCTACCGGCCTCTCCCGTCCCCCCAATAGCCTCCCACGCACTGCCCGTCTCACGCCGCACTGCACCCCTACCGGCCTGTCCCGCCCCACCGAGAGCCCCCCACGCACTGCCCGTCTCACGCCGCACTGCACCCCTACCGGCCTGTCCCGTCCCCTCAATAGCCCCCCACGCACTGCCCGTCTCAGGCCGCACTGCACCCCTACTGGCCTGCCCCACCCCACCGAGAGCCCCCCATGCACTGCCCGTCTCATGCCGCACTGCACCCCTACCCGCCTGCCCCACCCCACCGAGAGCCCCCCACGCACTGCCTGTCTCACGCCGCACTGCACCCCTACCCGCCTCTCTCGTCCCCCCAATAGCCCCCCACGCACTGTCCGTCTCATGCCGCACTGCACCCCACCCCAGGCCCAGGCCCCATTGCACACAGAGAGAGATGGATCAAGTCGGGGGTCAGAACAGGCTCCCCCCGCCCTCGGCAAGCCCCACGGCTGCCCTGGCTCCAGCCCAGCATCGCTGCTGCCCAGCAGGCTCCCCCGTGGCGCGGCTGGGTCGGGGCCCCGGCTCTGGCGCTCACCACTTGCACTTCCAGCCGCCCTTGGGCACGGTGTGCAGCGGTGGGTCCAGGCAGTAGGTGTGGTAGCTGATGTCGCAGTCGTCGCAAAGCAGCAGGCGCGAGGGGTCCGAGGCCTTGCCACACACCTCGCAGACGATGCACTCCACGCAGCGCCAGCCCTTCAGCAGCATCACCTTGGTGATCTGGGGAGCAGAGCGGGGCTGCACTGTGAGGGGGCAGGGAGGGGAGCCCCGCCCCCCGCAGGGCTGGCGCAGGGACGGGGAGGATCAATAGGCACAGAGGTCACACCCTTGCCCGTGGCACCGGACCCAGGTCAGAGCACTTCTGCTGGGGCAGAGAGGAAAGTGTCCAAGGGCCAGGCACGCAGCCTGTGGGACCAGCCGTAGGGACCCAGCCCCATGCTGGAAGGGGCCCAGTGGCACTGGGGCCCATGTGCAATGGCAGCTGACGGGAGAACCCGGGTGCAGGAGGAGAGCTGCTCCCAAAGGTGCACCAGGGCCATACTAGGGCTTGGGGGATCCAGCGCCTCCCACTCCACCTTACCTTGCTGTTGACGCAGTAGGGATGGTAGCACTGGGAGCACTGGGAGCAGGCCAGGAGGTGCCCCTCCGCCCCGCGCCCGAAGCTGCCGCACACCACGCACATGTCCTGCCGGGGAGAGACAGACGTCGGGGGGCTGGGCAGAGACACACAGAGCCCCCCAGCCGAGCCTGGAACCTGGCTCCTCCCCTCCCCAGAACCCCCTCCTTCCCCGGGGGGCCCATCTGCTCCCCCACCTGCATGAGAACGAACTTGTCCGTGTTGGAGAAAAGCACCACAGTGTTCTGCATGGTGTCGTCCTCCTCCTCGTCATCCTCCTTGCTGGGGGAGCTGTCGATATCCGCCAGCTGGGGGAGCAGGCGAGACAGGGTGAGAACACGTCACCGATGGAGCAGGCACGGACCCACCCCCGGACCGAGCCAGGCACCCCAAGGGCGCCGGTCAGTGCCAATCCGGCCAGCTGAGCCGGAGACGGAAGCACCAGGTTCCCCCTGCAAGGCTGGAGTGGGGCCTGGCTTAGACACTGGGGGAGAATGAGCAGAACAGCACAGTGTGCCGAAACCTGCGCTGCAGCCCCCCACAGCCCACGAGGGGAAAGGCCCTGTCCCCACTCCTACCCTGGAGCTCATCAGACCCAGAGCCCCCTGGAGGCATGTCCCCCCCGGCCAGCCAGTCTTCCCGGCCTGGGATCTGAGCCAGCCCCCACATACCCAACCAATCCCACCGACTGCCCGATGGAGAGGCTACCAGCTCTGGTTTAAGCCACGGGGAGGGGGAATCAGAGCCCACCAGCACAACGCTCCTAGGGGTCACTCGCCAAGCACAATGCTCCAGACATCGGGAGTGGCCTGGGCCCCCCACAGATCCCACCCTGGGGAGCAAGGGGCTCCACAGCAGCCACTTCCGAGGGCCGGGGGGGCAACGCAGGGATGCAGAACCACCCCCCCAGCCCAGCCTTACCGCGAGGGTCTCAATGGACGAGGTGGTCGACTTCAGCCGAGCTCGGCCCCGGCCCCGGCCCCCCTGGGTCCCGCCTCGGGGCCGCCTCCTCCCTGGGAAGCTGCTGCTGCGACCCTAGGGCCAAGGGGAGGGGGGGTTACAGCAACACCCAGGCTTCCCAGAGCCAGGGGACCTGCTCCAGCTGGCATGGCCCCCCGCCCACTCCAGGGGGCACCAGGAGATGGCACAGCCCCGGGACTCACGTGGGGGGGGGGCACACGGGACCCATGGGGGCTGCCCCATTCCCACTTGTCCCCCACCCTGCACCCCAGCAAAACGGCCAGCGGGGGATGGCGCTGACAGCAGAGAGGTGGGGTGCAGGGGCCAGCCTGACTCAGGATGGAGACAGTGCTCCCCTCCCTGCCCCACAGCTTGGCAGCGGGGTGTCAGACCAGGGTGGGGTGGCGCACAACGGGGGGCTGGAGGGAGCATGTGGTGAAGGGGTGCCCAGAGCCAGGCCCGATCCCAGCAGGGACAGTGAGAGAGCCCCCCATCCTGGTGCCCCTGCCACACCCTGTGCCCACGTCCCCCCTTACCTGCCCGTGCCCCGGTCCCCCCGTTACCTGCTTGACGCGGGAGCGCCCCGGGGAGCTGCGCCGACGCCCCTTCTCCCCCTCGCCCTTGGCCCCAGTGCCGGGCTCAAAGAGCAGCGAGTCATCCGTCTCAGCCAGCGAGTCGGTGCAGTGGGGCAGGGAGCCGGCGTCGTCCTTCTGCAGGCTGATGTCGGTGGAGGTCATGCCCAGCTCCATGGAGAGAGAGCCCCCGCCCTCAGGGTCTGGAGAGCCCAGCAGGGGCTCCGAGCCAGGAAAGCTGCTTCTGGTGTCGCCCTGGCTCAGGTTGGAGATCTCGTTGACGATGTCCGACTTGATGAGGGTGGGACGGGGCCGCAGGACGGGGGGCTCGGGGCCCCCCTCTTCCCCACGCTCCAGCAGCTTTCCGCCCGTCCCATACACCTCCATCGGGGTGGCCGGGCCCAGCTCCTCGGGCTCCAGCAGCATGGGGGACCCCTTAGGCTCGCTGGTGAAGCTGACCGGGGTCTGGCTGGACTCAGGGTCCCCCCCACCCCGGCTCTCCTCTAGCCCGTCCTCACTCAGTGGGGGAGAGCACCTCCCCCCGGCCCCCGCCTGCTCTGGCCCAGCGGCTCCCTCCTCCTCTTCCTGCTGTGCCAAGCCTGGGAACGGCCCCAGGGCCACAGCTGGGGTGGACTGGGCACCATCCCCGGCGGGGCTGGCCAGGGACCCCGCCTCGCCCCCTGCTGTGTCCATCCTCTCCTCCTCCCCACACTCCATCGTTTCCCTGGGCTGTGGGGGGCCCAGCTGGGGAGCAGGGGAGCCTGGCAGAGGGACTGTGGGGGGTGTCTCTGTCCGGGGTGGGGAGGCAGGCTCCTTGTCCATGGGGGGCTGGGAGCTGCCTGCAGGCTCCAGCGGGGCCGCGGTGATGGCAGGGGGTCCCGCTGGCTGCTTGGGGGCCGGTTCCTCTTTGGCATCCGGTGGCGGCTCCTCGGAGCGGGCGGGCGATGCGGCAACAGCGGGGTCTGGGGAGAGAATCAAGGGGGACAGTCACTCTCACGGGGGCGCAGAACACTCCGCCCCCAGCACCCGGAGGGTTAAAGGCGCCTCACTTCATTGGGCAGTTCGGAGCCTTCCAAGCAAAGGGCCCGACTCCCAGAATGCTCTGGGGCGGCCTCGGCCCGCATGCCCCCTCCCCACAGACGACGGCAGAGCTGGCAGACCCGCCCCCAGGGGTGTTCGTGGGGCACCCCCTCACCTGGAGGGGCCGGGGGCAGGGCTGGCGGTTCAGGGGCCATCTCGGGGGGTGTCGGCTCCATCGCCTCGTCCTTAGCAGGTGCTGCCGGGCCTGGCGCCTCCTCCGGCTCCGGAGCGGGACCTGGGGGACAGGATGGCTGGTTGGGGGGGTAGGAGGGGGAGCCCCCGATCCCCTGCCTCACCCACCTCCCTGGGTCAGCAGCAGCGCCCAGCAACCAGAGGCCAAGCAGCGCCACCTAGCAGGCAGCACAGGGCCACTGGGCTCGCCCCGGGGACGGGGGCCCAGCCTGGGGACACTCAACACAACACCCCACCTGTCCACGTTCCCTGGGCTCTCCCAAGCTCCAGCCTCTCGGCAGGGCCACCCAGACAGAGGCAAATACGACCGCTGGCTTAAAGAGGGGGAGAAACTGAGGCACGGGGTGGAGGGACTGGCTCAAAGTCACGCAGCAGGTCAGCGTTGGAGCTGGGAATAGACGTCAGGACTGTTGGCTCTCACCAGAGGGATCCTTCCTCCCAGCTGGTGGTGAGGAGGCAGGTGGAAACTCCTGGCACCAAGGGGTAATTCTCACAGGCCCACGCTGGGGCCAGGGCATCCCCAATGCTGTGGGGCCGGCGTGGGGCAGGGCATGCGCTCACCTAGTGGTTTGGCTTCACACCCCGAGGGCATCTCTTCCTGGGGCACGGCCCCATCCAGCTGCGGGTGTTTCTGCTGCCCTTGACACGCCGGGCAGGCGGAACCCCCTGCCGCATCACTGCTATCCGGGGGCAAGGGCCTGGGGGGGGGGATGAGCCACGTGAGGAGCGTCTGAGAGCCCCTGACCCATCCGGCCGGCCAGAGGTGCTGGAGGAGGAGGGATCCTGCCCTCTCCCCTAGCCCCAACACACCCTGGACCCCTGAACACCCACCCGGTGGTGCCCACGGCCCCTCCCCCGGTACCTGCAGCACTGGGCTCAGCAGCTTATAACGGGAGGGAGAGCGCTATCTGGCACGGCCAGGCCCAGACCCTCCTGCCCCCCCGGCAGGGACCCCCATGCAGGTGCCAGGGGGGACCCCTTTGCGACTCACTTCTGGCAGCTCTGGCAGCACCGGGCGGCATCGGTGCCTCCTGCCGCGCTCCGGTGCCGCTGGCATCCTTCGCACACCGAGTAGCTCTCATACCAGTGGCACCCGGGGTCGAGCGCTGCCGGCCGCGACCCACAGTCGGAGCACACCCGGCAGTTCTGCAGGGAGACAGACAGTCAGCGGGGCTGGCTGGCACAGGGGCCAGAGAATGGGGCATGGGGCCTTCCCCCTCTAGGAACGCTGGCTCTGATCTGGCCCCAGGAGAGAGGACTGGCTGGCTCAGTGGAGGGGGGAATGGGGCATTTCCCCTCTGGGTGGCCCCAGCTCTGACCTGGCCCCAGGGCTGGAGGTGGGGACTGGCTGGCTCAGGGTTGGTGCTGTGCAGAGATCTCTTCCCCTTGGGTTATGGGGGCTGTGGGCCTGGGAAAGCCTGGGGTCCCTGTCCTTCCCGCTGGGGACTCCGGCTGGGGTTGCTGGCATCAGGTGAAGCAAAGCAGGGCTTGCTCCGTGGGACGAGCTGCCAGGGCCCCAGAGCAGATGCCGCCCTGGCAGTCGGCCGGGCCCGGCCTCCCCGGGGCGCTCCCTGCAGGCGATGTAGGTGTGGAGCCCACCTTGCACTTCCAGGAGTCCGTGGGAAGGCTCTCAATGGCCGGCTTCAGGCAGAACGTGTGGTAGCCCTTATCACAGGCCTCGCACACCAGCATCATGGAGTCCGCGCCGGGCTGTCTGCAGGGAAGACGCTGCCCTCAGACAAGCCCCAGGCCCCTCATGGACCAAGCGCCGCCGCCCCGGCCTCCCCACAGAGAGGAGCGCCGCTCAGGATAGAACCCAGGAGTCCGGACTCCCAGCCCCCCTGCTCTAACCCACTAGACTCCCCTCCCAGAGCTGGGGATAGAACCCAGGAGTCCTGGCTCCCAGCCCCCCCACCACTCTAACCCACTCCCCTCCCAGAGCTGGGGATAGAACCCAGGAGTCCTGGCTCCCAGCCCCCCGCCACTCTAACCCACTCCCCTCCCAGAGCTGGGGATAGAACCCAGGAGTCCTGGCTCCCAGCCCCCCGCCACTCTAACCCACTCCCCTCCCAGAGCTGGGGATAGAACCCAGGAGTCCTGGCTCCCAGCCCCCACTCCCCAGACCAGGAAGGCTGGTGCGGTTCACACAGTGCCCATGCCCAGGGTTTTGCCACCTACCTGCACGTTTGGCAGACTTTGCACTCGGGGCACTGCCAGCCAGAGCGTTTGTGTGGCGTGACGGGGATGTCCAGGCAGGTGCCATGGTAGTGCAGGCCGCAGCTGGTGCAGAAGAGCAGGTCGCGCAGGTCCCCTGGCCCGTCGCACACCATGCATCGCGAGTCCTCTGGGCGTGGGGAGCAGGGAGTCAGGGAAACGAGCCCTCCTGCACCCACACTGCCCGATGCCCAGCCTCTTCCCCCCACCTCAAAGCCCTGTCCCACAGCCTCTGCCCCCAACCCCTGCACGTGCTCTGCCCACCCCCTAGGGCACCCCCGGCCAGCAGCATCCTCTGCCACCGCCCCAAGGATCTCACAGCACCTCACCAACATCCACTTGGACCCCCCAGCTCCACCATCACAGAAGTGACAGGTCCAGGAAGAGAACCCAGGAGTCCTGGCTCCCAGCCCCTTCCCACGCACTCTAACCAGTAGACCCCATTCCCCTACCTGAGTAGTGGCCCCCAGCCCCTGCTCTAACCACTAGACCCCATTCCCCTACCTGAGTCCTGGCCCCCAGCCCCTGCTCTTACCACTAGACCCCATTCCCCTACCTGAGTCCTGGCCCCCAGCCCCTGCTCTTACCACTAGACCCCATTCCCCTACCTGAGTCCTGGCCCCCAGCCCCTGCTCTTACCACTAGACCCCATTCCCCTACCTGAGTCCTGGCCCCCAACCCCTGCTCTTACCACTAGACCCCGCTCCCCCTAGCCCCTTAAGGTTCCCAGGAGTCCCTAGCCCCTCCAAAACTCCACCAACCAAGCGGCAGAGGTGTGCCCAAGCAGCCCCTGTCCCTGCCCTTCTTCACGTCCCGCAGCACCCGCTGCCCAGGGGCCCTGGCGGCACCTACCCATCTGCACCGCCTCGGCCACGTGCTCCGGGCACAGGAGCTGGAGGGTTTTCATGGACTGGAAGGCGCCGCTGGCCGCCGCGCACGGGAAGTGGTACTGCCGCGGACACCCCTCCGAGTGGCACTGAATGGTAGCACCCATCCTCCGACAGTGTTCACATTTCTGAAAGCAGCAGGGACCCCAGCGCGGGTTAGAGATGCGGCTGGACGGACGCTGTCGCGGCTCGGCTCCTCCGGGGCGATCCCCGAGAGCCCCCAGCCCCCATACGCAGCCCCGGGGTGGGGTGCAGCACCTGCTTAACAGCTACGAAGCAACATGAGGCAAGGATCCCTCAGCTGGGGCTGGGATGCAGCCACCCCGGGGTGGGGCACGGCAGCTGCTCGCACAGGGACCTCTCACTCAGCACAGATACGCAGACACCCCCAAAGGGGAGCAGGGCAGCTGATTCACAGCCTGGCAGTTTAGGACAGGAAGTGAAGGAGAAGCCCGTAGCCAGGCGCAGCCTGTGAGTGGGAAATCAGGGAGGTGAATGCAAACACCCCTTGGGTGTTTGTCCAGGAGGCCAGGGTTTGTGCCAAGAGCCCCAGGGGCAGGGCATCGCTTGAACACTTCTTCTGGAGGGCGGTGCCCGTGGCAGCACCGGGACCCCAGGGCTGGCAGGGGGGAATGTCCCCCACCCCCTGCTTCGAGCCCCAGACCTTCCTCAGAGGTCTCCCCTCCCAGGGGAGGCACTGGGTCGAGTCGGCTTAGGCAGACATCCCACAGCAGCGCAGCCCAAGGGGTCGCCTACCCGACCACAGCCGCCCCAATGCCAGGGGGCCTGCAGGCCCTCCCTCTCCCTCCCATTTGCTCACCCCCTTCCCCTCACCTGCGAGATCCCTGAGAAAACAGCTTTGCCCACGTCGCTCAGCCCGGCTCCGGCCTGCAGCTGCACCCCCACCGACCAGGCCGCACACCAGTGGTGGGCCCAGCAGTGCCCTGCGAGGGGAGGCAAGGGGTTAATGGGAGGAGGGGGTCAGGGTAGGAGCCCCCGCCCCCCCCCCAGCTCTCCCTCTCCAGAACTCTGCCCAGCGGGTGGGGAGCCCTCCCCCGAGCCATCTCGGGGGCCCCACAGGGCAGACAAAGCACCTGAAAAGGAAGGAGATGCCCGAGGTCCACAGCAGCCTTTGCACTTGTGTCCCTGGGCCGGGGGAGCATGGGCAGAAGGAGGGGGTGAGAGAGCCTAGGGCTGGGGGCGGGCAGCCCAGTGCTGGGGGCACCGGCGGAGCTGGGGACGGGCAGCCTAGGGCTGGGGGGGGGGGGCAGGGGTAGCAGCAGAGCTGGGGGGGCAGGAGGCAGCCTAGGGCTGGGGGGGCAGGGGTAGCAGGGCCACCCTTCTGCGAGGCCTGCTGAAGACGCTCGCCCCGCGCTGCTCACCCGTTGGCTCGAAGAGCTCCCCTGGTGACACCCCCTCCGCGAAGCCGATCAGGGACAGGTCGTCCCCAGTGCCCCGAGCCTCGCCAGGGCCCCTGCCGTCCGGCAGCTCGGAGAGACGCTTGTTCCAGTCGGGCGCCGGCTCGAAGCGCTGGAGCTCCCGCTGCCCATGCAAGCTCCACCCGCCGCAGTTGCAGAGGGCACAACGCCTGGGCAGGGCACTGGGGGCAGAGACGAGAGCAGAGTCAGTGGGGGCAGGGCTGGGGGGCTCCCAGAAACACGTTCCCCTCCCCCCTCCACGAAACTACCCTCTCCGCCACCCCAGTCACCTCCCCTCCCAACCCCTCCAATGTCCCCCTGCACCCTCCTTCCCGTGCCTGGGGGGCAGAGAGCATCCCCTGGGCTTTTGGGTCCCAGCACCAATCAGGCAGCTCCATTTGGCTTCCCTACAAGACAGGGGATCGGGGGCCTGAGCTCCAGGCTGGGCCCCTCGGGGGCATCACTTGAGTGGGGCGGACCCACTCCCCTCGTCTGCTCCCTGCCCTATATCACAGCACCCAACTCCTGGCTCTCAGCGTTGCAGGTGTCCCACCCCACAGCACTCACCCACAGGCCTGGGGAGGCTCCTTGGCTTCCGGTTCCGGGGCAGCGGGGGCCCCTTCCGGCGGCTTCAGGGGGTCTCCTTCCACGCCACCCCGCTCTTCTGAAGACGCGCCCCCGTCGGCTGCAACAGGGGAGCTGCCCCATCAGGATCCCAGCAGCGGAGGTGCCCAACCCCCAGGACACAGATTCCCCACCCCCACCGGCACAACTCCTGCCACAAACTGGGCCATGGCTCAGCGTGGCCCTTCTGTTTTCAGGGCACCGAGTGCATCCCCCTCACCCAGCAGAGGCCATTCCACTGGGGGATCCCTGTAACCGCACCCCATAGGACTCTGCACCAGGCGGCTGCCTGTCGTCCCCCCTTCAGCCACGGCAGCTGCCCGGGATGCACCACGGGGCCCCTAACAGGACTGTATAATGCCTAGTGAGACACCTGCTTCACCAGCCACATCCCCTACACGTCGTGGATCATTCATCCATCGGCCCCCTCCAGGCCCTTCACCCACAGCTCACCGCTGCCCCCTGGTTACTGCACTGGGCCAGTTTCAGACCCATTGCTCTGATGGGGAAACTGAGGCACTGGCCCAAGATCAAACAAGACAGCTGGGGATAGAACCCAGAAGTCCTGGCTCCCAGCCCCCCCAGATCTAACCTTTCGACCCCACTCTTTAGGGGAAGGAGTTTCAGGTAAGCCGGAGCCACATCGGAGCTGGCAATTCCCATGTAACAATGCCCCAAAACTCCAGGTAAAATGCAGCCAATTTGGCTGTTTCTGTGGGATGGAGGGGGGGACGTGTGGCCCCGAAACTCAACACCCCAGAGGGGTGTGACTCCATCTGGCCAGGCATGGGCCATACTCCTGTGCCATGCCACACTGCAGCCCTTGGCAATGGCTCGAGGCAGCCAACAGCCTCCAGGCCAGGCGGCTCCTGCAGGGAGCTGCAATGGGTGCTCCCAGCAAGGCCCCATCTGGCTCCACCCCCATGCCCCGGACTCACCTGGCACCTCACAGTCTTTGGCCTGGCTGGGCGGTTTCCGATCATCCATCCCGTCTCCTGCCGTCCCTCCCTGAGAGACCTGCAGCCGGGGAGGAGGGGACATGTCAGCTCATTAACACCGGCCGGGGCCTCACCCACCGTGCCCTTCGTTTGCCCCCAGCTCTGACCTAACCCCAGCCCCCCTTCCATTGGCACGCCAGACCCTCGGCTGCTGGCACAGACCCTGCGCCGTGAGATAGAGCCACTTGCCCCAGCCCTGAAGAGCAGCCGCAGGCGTCGCTCCCACCAGACAGCCGCTCGAGTGGGGTAGGTCTCAGCCCAGCTCCCTGCAGGAAAGGGCCCACGTCACAGAAACCAGCCCCACAGCCTCCAGCAGGCCAGGAACCTCTAGCCAAGCCCCCTCCCTGCTCCCACCCCACAGGGGTCAGCTCACAACCACCTGCAAACCCCAAGGCCTGCCTGGGGCAGTGCCACCCCACAAGCCTGGAGTCTGCAGTTCTCTGCTTAGCTAGAGGGAGTACAGCCAGGGCAGAGACATGACAGGCTTCCCAGCCACAAACATGGCCCCAACCCCTTCACTCGCCTGCCAAGAGCCAGCGGGGCTGTCCCCCACCCCCGCTGGGGCATTGTCAGCGCCAGACAAGGCCCAGAGAGACGCCCGTATGTGTACTGAGCCCTGGCAAACTCATGGTGCCCACTGGGCTCATCACATAACACCCACCCCCCATCAGAACCGACCCCGCGCATCAGCAGTCGGGCCATGGAGAGCAAGCTCCTCTCCCACCCCAGTGGGGGCTCTGCAGGGCCAGGCTGGCGGGGCAACTGGAGGCAGGACTCCGTCACCAGGGCGGTCAGACAGGCCCCCTGCCAGCATCACAAGAACGACCAGCGTGCGCCCTACGGAGGGTCTGTTCTGGGGAGGTCTGGCTTGTGCTAAAGTAAGCAGGACTAGACAAACTGGGGGGCGGGGGGGATCCCAGCATGCTTTGCTCCAAGCACACATTTCACAGGAACCTCGTTCCAACCGGACAGGCCTCCCACACTCCGAACCCCCTGCCTGCTCCCACAACCCCAGCTGCCCGCTTCTCCTACAATGCTACCCAAGGACAAACTGAACCGGGCCAGCTGCGGCCTGCACCCAGGTGCATGGTGGGAGATGTAGTTCTGCCAGTTTGCCACGGACGTGGGCCCAGGAACAGGAAGGGGTCGGCGCAGATTATCTGGGGCAGGGTGTTTGCAGGTGAGGCCGGTGGCATCTGTATGGACAGACCTCAATTAGAGCCACCGCAGGTGGTAGCAGCCAGCTTCCTTCCCAGCACAGCCTGCAAGAGTGGGCACCCCCAGCCGCCAGCTGGCTCATGGGTTCAGGGGGCCAGGCATTGCTGAGAAGCAGCTGGGGGCACCAGGCGATGCCACCTTACCCAGCACGCAACCGCTGGGTGAAGCCCAAAGCCCAGGGTGTGGGGACATGCTCAGGGTTCCTGGGCTCCACCCCTTGCCACTGTGGGATCTTGGACAAGCTTCCGCCACTCCGTGCCTCAGTTTCCCCATCAGTGTCGCAGGCTGATGCTGCTCTCCCCGGCACAGTCACTAATGAGCTCGTCAGATCAGAGGGCAGCATTTGTTTGACCTTGCTCCGGGCGCACAGACTCTTGTAAAATTGAAAGGGGATTGTTCCCTGCGAGCAGCCAGGGTTGAAGTGTTGGCCTGAAGACAGAGCTTCCTGGGGCAAGGTCCCCCAGGCACAATGGCAGAAGGGGAAGAGCACGCCCCCAAAAACATGTCAAGTTGCTCTGCACTGGTCTCCCATCTGGGCAGTGATCAGCCCTGACCAGGCTTAGCTTCTGAGATCCACTGAGCCCTCAGCTGGTGCTGGCTGCATGGACAGATCACCTGGGAGCTCCAGGGGATGGGGGGAGACATCACCTCCCCCATGGCCCAGACAGGTCTTCTTGTCCCTGGCCCTGGAGCAGCTGGCCCAGGCACAGTCAGAGATGGGGCACTGGGCTAGACGGCTCCAATCTGCTGGAGCCGCCCCTCTCACGACCCTGAGGGATGCTCTGTGAAACCTCCCCAGCCCAGCGCTCTTGGGAGGGGCACCTGCAGGTGGAGTGGGCCACGAGCCCTCTGACCCCCACATGGCCTTTGCCCCCGGACTCCTGGCAAGCCAAGCGCAGCTTTACCCAACCCACGCTGGGCATCGCCAGCCATGATGGTGGAAGAGGATGAGAACTAGGTCAAAGTATGGGGCTGGAGGGCTCCCCCCACCCACCCAGAGACAGCAGCTCCCACGTTAGCACGCTCCAGCTGCCACGTCTGTGTCTTGTGGGAAGCAGTATAGCCTAGTGTTCAGAGTAGGAGATTTGTCTGGGGTCTCTCCCTGGTTCTGGGAGGGGAACGGGGTCTGGTGGGTTAGAGACGGGTGGGCTGGGAGCCAGGACTCCTGGGTTCTCTCCCCGGCTCTGGGAGGGGTCTTGTGGCTGGATCAGGGGGGCTGGGAGCTGGAACACCTGGATTCTGTTTTGACTCCCTTTGTGACCTTGGACCAGTCACTTCTCAGCACCTCAGTCTCCTCCTCACTGCAGAAAGTGGGTAGATAGGGCATGACCCGGCAATCTGCCAAGCCACCTCCGCTCCCCACTGACCCCAGCAGGACCCAAGGAGCACTCAGCCCCCCAGGGCCAAGCCAGGCATTCACCAGTTGCTTTGAGGTCCCCTAAAAGAGAGTCACTGGAGAAAACGCCAGGTGGGACGGAACTGATGGCACCAGAGGTGGGACAAGGACGAGGGAGCCGTACTCCAGACTGGCAGGGCCCGGGTACACCCCTGCCAGCATCACCAACCTCTCGCTGGTGCCACCGTGGTCAGCAACGGACCTTCCCGGAAAACCGGGGCTGAGAACGAGACCTCTCGGCGCCATGGGGGGAGGGGAGAAAACGGACCGAACCATCACCGGCCTTTTCTCTGTCAGATGCAAAAGACCTCGAGGTCTCAGCGAGCAAAATCAGTGCAGACAAACACCTTGGGCCCCGATCCCACAGGCAGATCCCTGTGGGCAGATCCCAGCATCCACAGCGGCTCGGCAGGGGGGCAAGGGCTCAGCCCGCATGGAGCCAATTGCGGAAGGAGGGCCATATAGACAACCCCCCACCGAACCCTACACTGAAGGGCCTACTAGCCAAAAACCCAAACCCTCAAGATTCCCAGAGACAGGTTTCATTCCCGAGCAGCAGGACTTGCCACAACAACAAAGTTCTAGATTAAGAGGCAATTTGGGCAGCTCCGAGCTGGCACCAAAACTGAAATGTTTTCAAGGGATTGTGTCAGGGGCGGATTTCCTGTGACCCCCTCAGAGCATCACCCGCCCCCCCCGGTCCTTCTCCCATAGGGGTAGCATTCTAGTGCACGCGCCATAGGCCAGGGCCGGGGGGCTGTAATTTCATTGCATCACTGGGCCTCACCCCAAGGGGTTAGGCCCTGCAACACCTCACCCTAAAAAGACCATATCAGAGAAGGGGCCCCAGACCCCCTCGCAACACAGCAAAGTGGCTCCTGGGAGATGCATAGCCACACAGCCACACAGGGTGAAGGCCCTGGATGGAGCCAGGACTCCTGTGTTCTAGCAGCAGCTACGGGGGAGTGCTGTCAAGTGGTTGGAGCAAGGGCCTGGGCATCTGGTCAGCAAAACAGAGACATGAGGAGCCTGCCCACAAGAAGAGGGTTTTGGTAAAGACGGACCCAATAACAGGCTGTAGGTGGATTGTGACAGCAGGGACACAAAACGCTGCAGCCTGACCAGACCCGACACACGATCCCTTCCCTCCGACCCCTGCTCTGCCGGCGTAAACGCGGAGTAACAATGCCAGCAGAGCTGCTCCCGCTTTCCACGAGCGGGATGCAGATCAGAACCTGGTCTGCTGCAGTTTTAACCTGGTATTAATTTAAGCCACACATGGTGTCTTTTTATATTGATTGATTGATTGGGCAGGTCCGGGGGATTGCCCGGCCCCGGCCTCTGGAGGTGAAATGTGCAGTGAATTCATCCCATTAAATCTGAGCAAGCCTGGCCTTATTAAGCAGAACGCACGGCCCAGCTCCAGCCCTGACACCGCAGCCCTTGGGACTCCTGGCTGTTGTGTCTGTTTATAGGGGGGCAGATCCAGCATTACTCCCGCTGCGTGCCCTGCCCGCCCAACCCCCACCCCGCTATCCTCTCTTCCCCATGTGACAGGCGAGGCCGCAGGAGGTGGCACCCAGGGGGAACAGCTAGACCGCCAGCACAGACAGGGAGCGCAACAGGTGCAGCCCAGCCTGTCCTGAGAGCAGAGACAGAGAAAGTGTTTGTGGATTTGCTGGGGAAGAGGGTCCCCCCCCCCCCCCGTCTCCCCACTCACACACACTCTCATTCACGATTCCACCACACCAGGGAAGCTCAGACAGGAGCCGGATTTAACTGGGGGGAGAGGCGCAGAATCTGGGCCCCACGGTCTTCGGGGTTTGATGCCGGTGATGGGGGAGGGGTGGGAACTGCCTACCCAGGGCTGCTGGTTCTGTTCCCCTGAAGCTCAGGGATCAGAGACGCTGCTGGGGAACAAAAGCCTGGAAAGCCACATTTCTGCCTGGGAAAGGGGGAAAAAATAAGCAAGAGCTCTCCCCCGCCCCCCCCCCAAATCCCACCACTTTCTGTTTGAGTAAATCTCCTAGGGCTCCCTGCTAATCCGCTGGAGATTACACTCAGCCCAGGATAGCTGAAGGCCGCTAGGCCGCACTGAGGGTCGCTCTGTTTCTGGGGGGAACCACCCCCCAGCGTACACTTCCTAGTAAAGGGGCAGTGTGAGGAATTTAGGGGGGAGCAGCTGGAGGGGGGGAGCCCCATTCCCTCACCCCCAGTATGTTTACAGGAAGCAGTAGGGAAAACACAGCCAACAGCCTTGGAAAGGCAGGAGGGAAGGGGAAGGGAGTGAGCAGAGTTAGTCCCCCCCCACCAAATACCCCCCTGCACCCCCCTTCAGGCCAGGGGTCAGCCCCTCTTCACAGGCTCCAAATGCAGCAGAATTTGGGGGTGATACAGACAGGCCCTGCCCTATGGAGAGAAATCTCAAGCTAGGCCTACGATCAGGAATTGTACATAACAAAAAGCTCCCCCCAGGCCCCCCTGCAAAAAACAAACTCACCCCCCCATGCCCCCTCACCCCCCTCCTACCCTCACCACACCCCAATCTCCCCCCCTTTCCCCCCCCAGGCTCCTCCGCCAAGATCCACCGCTGTGCAAAGGGATCCCCAACTTAATCAGGGCCCTGGCTGGGGGGTGAGCCACGGAACCCCACACCGCCCCCCCGCCTGCCCCCCAACTCCTCCGGAAGCCGCAGGGGGGGCTGCGCCCCGCGGGGGGGCGGCGCTCGAACCGCTCCCGGCGCGGCGCAGAGGCCTAGGAGCAGAAGCTATTTCCAGTTTACTCCGCTCGCTTCCTCTCCGCCCCCCCCCGCCCCGGCCCCGGCCCCCCCCCCCCGCGCCCCGGGGAGAGGGGGCGCCAGGCCAAGGGGGTCCCACTTACCGCGTTACAAGGCCGTCCAGAAACCCGCACCCAGCGCCAGCCGCCGGCGGGCGGCCGCGGAGAACATTGTCCACGAAATAATTAAAACACCCCCCCAAAAAAGGGGGGGGTCTGATTTTCCTTCCCCCCCCCCCAAAAAAAAAAAACAAAGCGTCACCCGCAGCGGAATTCGGCGGTGTGGAAACGCGGCTAGCTCCAAATCCGGGGTCACACCGCGGGGAGTGGGGGGGGCAAGGGCCCAGCCCTCCTCGGCCCTGGCTGGGGGGGGGGCTGCACGGCCGCGGCCCCCTCGGGCGCCCCCCAGCCCGCGCGAGCGGGGCGCCGGATCCCGGGGCAGACACAAAGGGAGCTGCTCCGGCGTCGCCTTTGATCCGCATCCGACGGAGCCGGGCCTGGCCGCTCCCTCCGGGGGGGAAGGGTGTCGGGGGGGGGCGGACCGAGCCCGGCCCGGGGGGGGAGGCGGCGGCGGCGGCGCGGGGGGGGGCCGGGAAGTTTCTCGCCCCGGGGGAAGCGAGCGCCCGCCGCGGGCCTGGCTACATTGTAACCGCCCCGGAAGCGGACACGCAGCAGCCGCCGACCCCCCGCGCCGGCCCGGGGCGGCAGCAGGGGGGCAGGACGGGGGGGGGGAGTGTGGGGGGTGTGGAGTGCCCTCCCCCCCTCTCGTGGCCGGCCCCCCCCCGGCTCCTGCAGAGAGAGGGGGGGTTCAAAGGGGGCAAGGCGGGCGGCCCCCCCCCGCTGACGCCGCCGCCGCCCGGGCTTCAGGGAGCGGAGCGGAAAGTGCCCGCCGAGGCCGCCATTTTCGGAGAGGAAAGTAGTCCTGCTGGGGCCCCCCCCCGGCCAGGGGAGGGGGGATCCCGCGTGGGGCCCGGCCCCTGCCGCTGCCCCGGGGGCGACCCCGCGCGGGCGGGGGGGCGGGCTCGGGGCTGGGGGGGGCGCTCCACACCGGCCCCCTTCGCGGGGGGTGAGGGGGGGCGAGGCTCTATTTTTTGTGTTGGGCCCGGGCGGAGGGACACGCTCACGCAGCCCTCGGCAGCGAGGAAGTGGGCCTGTGACGGTACGGAACCGCAGCGCACGCTCGCCGGGATCCCTCCGCGCGGGTTAACCCTGCCCTGCCCGGGCCGGCTGGTGGCGAGCACGTGGGCCGAGCTCTGAGCGCTGCTCCCCCCCCACCTTGGAGCTGGGGGGGGGCGCTTTGGGGCTGCGCCCCCGCCCTACGCGGAGCACGGGGGCCAGGAGCGCCTCGCCCCCCGAGGCCCCGCAGCGTGCACAGATGGGTCCCGGAGGGGAGGGGGGCTGGTGAGCGCCCCCCCGCCCAGCGGTGCCGGTGCAATACCCCTGCACGGCCCAGGGGGGCGCCCTGCCCCCGGCACATGGCTCCGGACGCGGCAGACCCACAGCGCCCCCTGCGATGGGAGCCCGCCCCCTTGTCAGCTCTGCCCGCCGGGTGCCGCTTTCCCCTGCCCCCCCCCGCCGGGGTAATCCCCTGCCCCCCCGCCGGGGTAATCCCCTGCCCCCTGGGGCCCCTCTGCCCGCCTTGGTGCTGTTCAGGGCCCGGCCTCGCGCCCCCACGCACGCGCTGGCACGGGAGCCTTTGGAACAGGCGTGCCCCATAGGACGGAGACTGGGGTCAAGCCCGAGTGGGGGGGGGGCAGGAGATTTGTCCGTCCGGGCACGTCTCACTGTCTGAGCTGGGTTCTGTTCCCAGCTTGCTGTGCGAGCTCAGGAAAGCCGCTGTGCCGATCCGTGCCTCAGTTTCCCCACTTGTAAAACAGGGGACAGGGCCCCTGCAGAAGGGTGACGTGGCTTTTTTGGTGAATGTCTGTACTTCACAAACAAGGTGGGTGAGGTAATATCTTTTATTGGACCAGCTTCTGTGGGTGAAAGAGGCCAACTTTCGAGCTGCAGGGAGCTCTCCTTCAGATCCGGAGCAGGACAGAGTTTCCGCTGTGCCAAAAGCCCCAGCCCCTACCACTCCAGATGAAGGGGAATCCCCATCAAGCGTTAGCAGCATAGACCCTAGGATGCATGGTTGAGCAGTTCTGATTCCATCCCGTAGAGGGCAGGGCTGCTCAGGAACCAGCATGTTTTGGATTTTTTTAAGTCTTTTTTTTTAATTTATTTTCTGTTATCCTGTCTTCTGCAAGGCTGTAGCCTTATCTGTAGAAAATTTTAACTAAACTTTTTAAAGATTATATTGCTATGCACACCTGAAACCTGATTCCAGGGTAGGGGGGAAATACCTGATCCTCAACACATGGCTGAGCTTATGGCAGGGAACAAACCCCTTTGGGACTGCAGCAAGCCCCAGCTGTGTGGGTGGTGAGCACATTACCCCATCCCCACGGGGCACAGTGACACTGCTGAAAGGCAGGAGTGGGGCTGGAACTGGGATCTACCAGCTCCCAGGCCCCACCCCTCCAGCTCAGGGATCTTCATTTGCTGTGACCGGTGTAGGGCAGTGCACGGAATTGGCCAGTCTGATTCCCTCCAGGAGAGGGCGGCGGTGCCCAGTCAATTAGTGAGATCTATGCTCCCAGATGTTGGGGGGGTCTCTCCAAGCTCACACCTGTCTGTAATAGCATGGGGGGGCGTCAATAGCAGGTTGCTCTGCCTGTGGGAAGCAACGGTTCCTTCCCCAGCTTCCCAGGGCAGAGCAAACGCAATGCAATGGCTGGGAGACCCTGCCTCCACTTTGCAGAGAAGCAGGCAAGCCTCAGCCTTCTTCAAGAGGGGAGAGGGGCCTTGGGTCTCAGACTCCCCCCCCCCGCCCCATCCTGGGCCTCTCTGCTCAGCTGAGGGGGCCAGTTGGGGCCAAGATATTGGCGCTTATGGGAGGCTGTGAGCGCATTTCACTGAACAGCCATCACATGGGAGCAGCATTTAGCAGCTCCTGCTGCAGCCCCCAGCTGGGCTTTGCCCTGGCAATCCACCGGGGAAGAGCTGCGTGCCCCATGCAGACCCCCAGAGCACCCTCTGGCTGCAGAGGAGCAGAGCCCCAAGCCCACCTGAAGCTTTTGGCCAGATCCCCCACTCCCAGCCAAGCCTTCACCTGGTCACTTTGGCTCTCTCCTGCTGCTGGGTGGTGCAGCCCCCCCTGGCCTGCTCAATCCCCCCAACTCCATCCAACGGTCCCCTGGACAATCAGGTCCCAGCTCAGACCCCAGCTGGAGGGTCATGGAGAGCAAGCAGGAGGCTGGAGAGCGCTGCCCTACTGGGGGTGGAGCCGATGCTGGGTTGAGGCTGATCCGCTCCCCCAGCCCAGGGGAATAACCATGATCAAAACTACCCAATGAACGGACATATCAAAGGGAGCCGAGGCTGGAGCCTGAGCCTTGATCCCGACACTGCTCTGGGAGGAGGGGGAAGAGGGCCACACCCTGGGGCTGGAAGGGAGAAGGCAGCCCCGGCACACTCACCTGAGGCTACTGCCCCTTCTAGCCAGGCATTCCTTGGAGACCTGCAACCAGGGAGACATGAAACCCCAACTCTCCCAGCCAAGAGCAGTGACGGCCAAGGGAGTTTTATAATAGCGTGTAATAGTCCAGCTGGTTCTGTGCCCTCCTCAAGCAGCTTCTCAGTCACAGAGCTCAGAGCATGTCCCAAGGGAAGTAAACACCATGACCCCCATTTTACAGAGGGGGAAATTGAGGCATAGAGCAGAGATTTGCCTACACTCCCCCGATGAGTTGGGAATAGAAGCCAGAGTCCTGGCACCCAGTCCCCTGCACTAACCACTAGACCCCACTCCCTCCTAGGGACAGGAATCGAGCCACCGAGTCCTGACTCCAAATACTGGGACTCTAATCACTAACGCAGGCTGCTGCCCTACATTACAATGTGCTCTACGAACTTTCTCTTACAACCAATTTCCACAACAGTCGGATGTCTAACCTCATGCCCTGGGGCTTTGCTTGACACTGGGTCAGGGCACCACTAGCTGCATCTGTTCTTAAACAGAGAGTGGGGGAGAAAAGGAAAAGCCAATAGGAAGGAAATTCCTAAACCCAGTCTGGTGCTGTACATAGGAATTTCTCCACCAACCACTGAAATGCAGCCACCTCTGGGGTGGAACAGGCAGCTGCTTGACAGCCACACTATGCGATGGTTTAAAACAGGAAGTGATGTATCATCCTGTATCCCACTGAAACTACAGAGGGAGTAGAGAGATCAGAGCCCAGGGGATGGGCGCCAGGAGAGATTAGATAGGGTGTGTGGGACAGACAAATTAGATGGTGTGGATGTAGGAGTTGAACCGGGGAAACAACAGTAAATACTTTTCCAAGCCCCACCCACTAAACAACTTCGCCTAGTTAAGATGCCAGACAAGGGCCCAAGTAGATTGTGAAGATGTTCCAAGTACAATTCGATCTCGCCAGCTTGGGCTCCTTGTGTTTAGCACCATAGTGGGAGCTCAGATGCCCAAGGCTCCTGCTTGACTGGAGGGAAAACATAAGAGTTTGGTGGTATCCAAAGCCCCTCCCCTTCCCCGAGGTTGAGCAGTTACCCAAACTAGACTGTGCAGTTCCTCATAGTCTGATCCTGCTCCTAATCACTCACCAGAGGCTTAGAGGGGCAGTGGGCTAGATAACAGTCATACTGAAAGGATCATCTTTGACATTGGAGTGAGCAGGGACTGGGTTGAACAGGGCAGTTCACAGCTAGGGTTTCAGGCTCTCTGCAAACTCAAGCAGCCATTGCTGCCCCACTACACCTGAGTCACGGTTCCCAGGGGAGCCACGACGGCTAGAAATCTCATAAACGGAAGCTGAGATTGTGGAGAACAACGGCAGTTTGGGAAAGGCGCTGATCCACGGTGCAGGCATGCACTGGCCCAGTTCGAGCCCTGGCTGGACAGACAGACAGTGGCTGAAATGGTGAGGGACAATCCAACCAGTCAGAGAATCACTACCAATAAGATGCAGTGTAAATCGCTCCCGGGAGCAGAAGCCCAGCTTAAGGACTCAGCCTGGGACTTTCCACTTGGCTGCAGCACAGTGCCACAGACGGATGGACAGAGCCGTGGATTTCAGCGAGAGACCCAGGGAAAAGCAAACACAGAGCACGGGGCTCAGGGGCCAGGGAGAGCCGCAGGCCTGGGGCTGAGCAGGGAGCTGCCCTGAGCCACAGCCAGAGCCCGGATTAGCGCCTGCAGCCAGCTCCCCTCTCCCCACCAGCCTCCTGGGCTCTGCAGAGTGGGATTAGCACAGCCTCCATCTGCCGATCCTGTGGCACTGAGATTTCCAGCCCCAGGAGTGGATCCCAGCGGGCCTGGCGCCCTGCTCCTGTTGGGGATGAGACCCTGGCTCCCACAGTCCATGGCTGCCTGCCCTGTTGCTGCCCCATTGGAGTGTCTGATCCGCCCCCCCAGCTCCCCCGTTCTACTGCAGGCAGGCTCCCGTGTGATCATCTCCCACCCACGGGCTCTGGCTCTCCTCCCCACAGCCCCACTGGGACAGCTTCTGCTGGGAGGCCCCCAGCTGTGCCCAGGGAGGGGGCTGTTAATACACAGCTCCCCACTTTCCTGACCAGGGGGGTCAGAGTGGGAACCAGGACCTCTGGGTTCTAGTCCCAGCTTGAGCAGGTGAGCGGAGTCCAGCTGCCAGAGAGGGAGGCCTGGGAAGCAGGACCCCGGCCTTCCATTTCCAGCTTGGGGGAGGGGTTACAGCAGCAGACTGGCCAGGACTCCTGGGTTCCATCCCTGGCTTTGCCATTGACTCACTGCATCACCTTGGGTGAGCCTCTGCCCCCCTCTGTGCCTCCATTTTTGCATCTGCAAAACAGGGGTGATGCCCCCCCCCACCCTCAAACGATGTCAGCTATTAACAAGGCTGCGTAGTGCCCAACACCTTCCTCCCTCCTTCCAACCTCCTACAAATTTCTCCTCCCCTGGCTGCCTCACCTGGGGAAGTAAAACAACCCCCTCCCCCGTTAGACCCCCTCCTGCCCTAGAGGAGGGGTCTGAGGCGACTAAACGTGGGCTGGTTCATTTCCATGACAATTTTGCATGGCCAAGAAAGCCAGCAGCTCTGGTGCAGAAACTCTGTGTGGTGAGTTGCTCCAGGGGTCCTATCTCCGAGAAGGAACGGGCCTGCATTATTAGTTAACACCATGAAACCTCCAGGGGTACAAAAAAGCCCTTCCTAGCTAGCCTAACTGTAACTGTTCCTATTATCCCTCTACATGCCCAAGACGGATTTTGAATCCAGCTAAGCGCCTGGCCTTGGGATCCTGTGGCAGTGAGTTCCACAGGTTGTTTTCGCACTGAATAATCTTTTATGACTTGTCAGTGTGTTACCCTTTATGTTTTTTTCATCCCAGGTAGTTCCCTTATACTGATCTCACAACACTTGATGACCAGATTCTCCCACCTGCCCCAGCAAGCAGCTTGGCGTGAGCCCTGTTTTCCAGCCCAGTCGTGCTGCAATGCACAGAGAGGGGGTGTTTCCATAGGGAATAGAGGCGGGAAGGCACCAAGCTCCCCGGGGGGAAAAGCCTCCTCCCCACTCTACAGCTCAGGATTTGCAGAGGCCTGTGGCACTGAGGAGCGGCTGGATGCTGGGACGTGGAGCTGGCCCCCGCAACAAGGGGGGGCTGTACCCATAGCCGAGGGGAGCAGTGCACAGCGCAACAAGCTGTTGGCTGCACTTCCGTTGCAGCAGCACCCAGAGGCCCTGCCCAGCATCAGGACCCCGTCCTGCCCCAGCCTGGGCAGCTGCTTCCAAGACCTTGTCTAGACTGGCGGAAAATCAAACTTGCACCAGGGTGAGCCGCACTAGTGCAAAGCCCGTCTCTTACTCGTGCTGCGTTCGCGGCCGAATCCACACAGCCCCCTGGGGCTCGAGTCCAGGGCTCCCGCTTTGCAGAGCAAATTGCCCAGGCACCCTGGTCAGTGTCAACCTAGGCGGGGCTGCTGATGCCCCAGCACTGCCCGCGCCCCGGCTCTCGGGCTGAGCCACGTCCCATCTTACCCCTGCCCTCTTGTAGCATGTTAACTCTGCTGCTTTAACAGAGCGCCGAGCACAGGCCTGAAAGCCTCAAGTGAACCCCTGCCCCATGCCACCCCTCGAGACGTCACCCCAGGCCAGAGCTCTAGCAGGCAAGACGGCGTGTGGGCTGGGGATCATAGAATCTCAGGGTTGGAAGGGACCTCAGGAGGTCATCTAGTCCAACCCCCTGCTCAAAGCAGGACCAATCCCCAATTTTTTTTGCCCCAGATCCCTGCCTAAATGGCCCCCTCAAGGACTGAACTCACAACCCTGAGTTTAGCAGGCCAATGCTCAAACCACTGAGCTATCCGTCCCCGGTGTCCAGGATCAGGCCACCTGGGTTCAAAAAGCCCTACCCAAGACCAAGACCCCTGTTCCCTCTAAGCTGGGTGCACACAGATCCTCAACCCCGCGCACACGGCGAAACCCTGCACACACAACAATTTGCACAGAAGAAATTTTTTGCGCACAAAGCCTGTCAAAAACCAGAAGGAACATTGACCCAGACTTCTTGTTCGATGCCTCAGTGCCTCTCTCTGTGCCCAGTTCCCCCTCCGTGGTGAGTTTTTCCTTTCTCCCCTCTTGCCGCTGGCAACTGGGGGGCTCAGCAGCGTAACACAAACAGGATCAGCCCCTAACACAGCCCAGATACGAGGGTGAACAGCTACAGGTCAGCCACGAGAGGGCAGAGTTTCCATGCCGAATTCCCTCGCTCAGCCGTTTGAGAGGCCTGCGCCCCACATCCCTTTAGCTAAGTGCTCACTCTCCGGGGGGATCCAGGTCCCAGCCCCCAGGAATCGAGGAGGGAGAGCCTTCCAACATGTGACCTGCTCACGGTGCAGCTGGTTCTGGAAGCCAGCTCCGAACACAGACAACAGCCCTGGGGGAATGGGCACAGCCAGTGGGCTGTTCCTAACAGAGATGATCCACCACCCCCGCTTCACCCACCTCTGGGTGCAGCACAATAGAATCATAGACTCTCAGAGTTGGAAGGGACCTCAGGAGGTCATCTAGTCCAACCCCTGCTCAAAGCAGGACCAATCCCCAACTAACGGGACCAATCCCCCAGAGACCACCCACCCACCCCTGAGATGCAGCCACAGCTAGGGTGGAGTGCAGCAGCTGTTTAACACCTGTACAGCAACGTTTAGGAGGAAGATCCCTCTTCTGAGGAATTTTAAAGGGAACGGGACCGTGGCCACTCCAGCGGGAATTTGGCCAGGTCAGCGGAAAGCTGTTTCACATTTTAAAATACATACAGACATGTTCACCACAGCTCAGAAGGGCAGAGCTCTTCCCAGGCAGGAATGAGTTACACCTCCCTATGCTGTGGGAGATGGGGACTCGCCCGCTCCAACAAGAAAGGAAACTGAGGCACGCAGTGTGGGAGTGACGCCCGCAGGAGCCAGGCATAGAACCCTGCTGCCGCCATCAGCTCCCAGTGCCCTGGGACATTCACCCGGGGGAGCCTGCTGACGCTGATTCACAGAGGGCCCCTTGCTCACAGCAGCCAAACCCTATCACGGCCATCAGCCATGAAGCAGCAGTTTAGTTCCAGCCAGAACAGAGACAGCAGCTCTGGGGGGCAGAAAAGGCTTCACCCCTGTCACCCCAACACCAGTCCAGCATCTGCTCCTATTGCCCTAGGCTGGTCCCTCTCCCTGTAGAGGGCAGCCACGCACTGGCTGTAGGCCTCTTTGCTTCCAATAATCTCACAGCAGGTTGAGACGTTTCGGTCCATATTCTTTATGAAAATATGCTTAGAAGATGGATCTGACGTAAGTGAGATGTACTCTAGGCCAGATAGCCCGTGGGAGGTATCGGGGCAAGGTTCTGATTTACTGCAGGCCATTATCCAGTGTGCGTGCCTGTATCCTTTCTGGAGCTGAAGTTAGGAACGTTAACTATGTACCTGGGTTACTTTGGGCATCACCCCCACCTAGCCCTTCCGTACAACAATGGAGAAGCCAGACAGGGCTAATGGGCCATTAGCAGAGACAAGGGAGGGTGAAAGAGCTCAGCCTTCCTGTGGCCCCTCAGGCAGCCTCTGTGCCACGGCTGCCACAACCCTGCAGAGACATGGGCGTGAGGCACTTGGGACTGGACCCACCCCTCGCACTGCCAATGTACACCAATAGCCTGGCTCAGCAAGACAGGTAAAAAGGGGGCCCAGGCTGGCAGGACAGGCAGGCCGAGTGGTATCTCAGCACATCAGGTGGCATCCTAAGGGGGGCAGATTTCCCAGGCAGGGCCCCCCGTTACTGCCTCTTGGTAACAATGGGATGGGTGTAATTAGCTATGGAGATGTGCAGTGCTTGGAACACCAAGGGATTGTCCCCTCCACAGGAACTGTCTGCCCCCCTCCCCGCTCCTCCTCTGCGCCCCCTTCAACACCTCTCAGTTCCTGGCACTGGGAACCACCCCCATGCACCCTGCGCAGAGCCTGGCCCTCTCTGGGTTGGGGCAGGCCCCTCCCCACACATTTATGGGACTAGTTAACCTAGAAACAGTCCAGGCAATTGCTTTCACCTTTTGAACCTTTATTTCCTAGTTCCTGTTCCCCTTCCCCCACTGCCTTCGCCAGACCCCCCAGCGCACCACACAAGAAGGGGGGAGGTTCCTGTGCAGCCAGCAGGGCACCGTCTACACCAGCGGCCGCAATCCACGGAGCCGGAGACCCTCCAGCCCCGCTCACAAGGAGTCGCAGCAAAAAGCCGCCAGGCCGAACGGGGCCAATCCTGTGAGACCCAGAGATGGTGTCGCTGCCCAGCCCCTCTTTAGCAGGGCAGAGACGAGGTGCCCCCCACAGCAAAGGCTCTGCCTGCTCCTTTGCGGCTTGTCCCAGCCCTGGGGGCTCAGGAACTCAACAGCGTGAATCAGGGAGAACCAAACCTTCCTTCCCTTCATTCTTCAGACAAGCTGAGGCAGAGCAGGGGCACCAGGACACCTGGGTTCCAATCTAGGCAGCGTGTTCCCAAGCAGGTCACTTACTCCTTCTAACTCATTTTCCCCAAAACTAGAAATAATTCTGACCTACCCCTCCAAGGGCTGGCTCAGTTCTTCCAAAGCATTGTAAGATCTGCTGACAGGACTATGTGCATGCAGAGTGTTAATCCAGGCCCAGTGAACGTTGACTCGGAAACCTAATGATAACACCATTTCGTTGCTGATCTTTTTTGCAGCTGCTCTGAGATGGTGGGTGACGCACACCACCAATTATTCCCCCTCCCCCGACTACCCTAAGGTTTTAATATACAGTACCCTGGTCTCAGAGTGCTGCCCTGCTTCGGCGGATGCTCCCCATGCCCCCCATTCTCTCTCTCAGACCTTGAGCACAAAGACTCCAGGAAATTCATTTTGCATACAAAACAAAGTTTAATTGATCCAGCCACCCCCACCCCCAGCTCCCACCCACGAGTGCTGCCCTTCCAACAGGGCTTGGGGAAGAAACTCCCCCCCCCCCAGAAAAGAATCCACATTAACATCCCCTTTGCGACTTGAAATTCACAACAGTTTCTTGGTTTTAAGGAGAACTAAGGCAACAGATGGCGAGGCAGGAGGGTGGGTGGAACCCTGGCCAGATCAGAATTCGGCTGTGGCCAGTGGCATCTGAACCGAGACCAGACCAGGTCTTGGAAGGGCTGGAAAACTGATTCCAGTTCCAGCAGCGGTAGAAAAAAAAGGGAGTCCCAGTCTGCCCCAGAGGCCCAGCCAAGGGGAACTGAGCCCATGCTGGGGACCGGGACAGAGACTGCCGTAAACATATGGGTGCAGGCTTAGACATCGGCTATAAATATCCAAAGCCCCCCACCCCACCCCACAAAACATAAATACATTCGGTAAGAAGAGCCCCTTCTATAAACGCAGAGTGCCCGATACACACAGATTGCTTCCAGCCTGGGAATGTGCAAACGCAGGCCCTGCCCCCCGGGGAGCCCCGGAGGGGCCAGGCAGTGAGGTACAGTGTGGTTGTGGGTTACCCGTAACAATGCCAGGCCAGGTGCCTCTGGTGGTGTCTAGCCCCCGATTCCACCAGTCCCGGGGCTGCAAGGAAACTTCTAGGTAGAGGCGGGGAGGTGGCCACCCTCCCCACCCCGCCTCTCGAGGCAACAGCGCTCACATCAGGAGGCAGCTGCGCTCGGTGCCGTAGGAGTTGTCCACCCGGTCGATCTCCTCTATAATCTTGGTGAAGATTCCCCGGGTCATCTGCGGGGACGGAGCCAGGGAGGGGTGCTTGAGTGACAGCCGGGAGGGCTGGGATGGGATAACTGGGGCGCCCCCTTGGGGCAGGTCCTGAAGGAATCCACCCGCCCAGTGCTTCAGGCATGGGGCTCTTGATCCCCAGCATCTGCGGCCCCCCCGTGTCTCCCCACGGAGCGCCTCTCTTTCGGCGGCAGCTGCAGAGCTGCACCAGGCTGCGCTCTTGGGGAATCCAGTCACTCCTGTCTCCGCAGTGCATGGACCTTACCCCTCTGTGCAGCCCCCTGCCCTCCCCACAACCCCTGAGCTCTGCTGGAAAGGGCAGATTCTCCCCCCCACCCCCCAAGCCTGCAGGTACCAGGAGATGCTGCAGAGACGGGCTGTAGGCTCCCAGAGCAATTCAGCATCTCACTCCCCCCGGCGCCCCCGAGAGTCAGGACCAAGAGGGGAAATATACCAGACCTGGTTCTCTTTGGCCGACGACTCCAGGAACACGGCCCCCCAGGTATCCGCCAGCTTCTTACCCTCGTCGGTCTTCACCTCCCGGCTAGAGACACGACAGGGGGTTGAATGGGAGCTGGATGAGGAGCGAAGACCCCTTAGACCAGAGCTGCCCAACCCCCAGGAACGCGAGGGAGGGGCAGCGGGCTGGAGCTCAGCAGGGAGCTCTAGAGAGGTGGGGTGCAGGGAGGAATGAGTGACAGACCACCGGGCCTCGCCACCCCAGAGCCACTTCTTACCTCTCCAAGGAGAGATCGGCCTTGTTCCCGACCAGCACCACCGGCATCCTGCGGAGGGGGGAAGAGTCAGAAGAGCAGAGTGAGCTGGTGGCATCCAGCCACCTCCGGCCCCCGCCTCCCCAACTCCAGTGGGCCATGGCCCATTCACACCCAGCAGGCCAGGTGTCCAGCCCTGCCTCGGGAGGCCTCCCAAGGCCACGGCCCATTCAGTCAAGAGGCCCAGTTAGCACCCACAGCCTCGGTGGGTTGAGACGCAGGCACACGCCCCATTGGAGTCCGACGGCTGGGGATGGAGTAGATCCACCCAGTGCAGCTGCAGACCCAGCCTCTCCCCGAGAGCCCCCTTGTTGGGACAGACCGGGCCCCGGACAGGGGAGGGGAACTCTTACCGGGTTTTCCCTCTGCTTTCGTACAGCCTGTTGTGAAGGGTCTTAACCACCTGGAAGCTGCAGAGGGGAGACGGGGAGCGGTCTCTAAGGAGAAGCCAGGGAGCTGCAGACGCGCTGCTCCGCCGCCAGGCGTGGCCCAGAATGGCCCAGCAACCCTGATGACGGGATCCGGGGCCAACACCAGGGCTGGGCAGGTTCTGCTCCAACCTGGCCCCTCTGGACTCTGCCTATCCCCGGGTGGAGCCAGGGTGGGCCCGATCGCCCTCAGAGCCGGCTGGATCCCAGCCTGGAGCTGGCTGAGCTGGGTCTAGGGTCACCGTCATCGATTAGCCTAGCCAGCAGCTCCACCACAACTGGGGGGCACAACCCTGGGGGGGGCCCCAGCCGCTGTACTGCTGGTGACAACACATGAGCCTGGAAGGGCCCCTCCAGACCTGCTACCCCAGGGGCAGTTTGCTGGGACAGTTGGGAGAACAGCCCCCACTCTGATCCGGAGTCATGGCCCAGGACACGGGGCTGGCTGCAGCGTGGGGGCTCACTGAGCTCCCAGCCCCACCGCAGGGCACATCCCCTCCCCGGTGCTGGAGCCAAACCCCTGCCCTGCACCCCCGGGGGGGGGGACCCTCACCTTCTGAGCGAGGTGACCGAATAGACCAGCAGGTATCCGTGGATCCCGATGCTGAAGGAGGGGGGCAGGATGGTGTACTCGTCCTGGTGAACCCGGGCACAGCGTCGGGTGAGAAAAAGATAGAAAAGATCGCCCCCCCTTCATTACGGGACCCCACCCCACTGAGACACAGGCGCCCAGCCCAGGGGCAGCAGAATCGAGTCAGGCCAGCAGGCGGATGGGAGACCCCCAGCAGGTGTTTCATGAATGCCCCCTCCTGCCCCAGCACCATGCTAAGGGACAGCGTTGCTGCTGGAGATTCATTCCTTTGGAAACACCGAACCTTTCACAATGGGTTATTTTGGGAGGGGGAAGGGCCTGACCAAATCCCCCCCCTCCCTAAACTCCCTCTGGTCATCAGACATGATTTCCCCCTTGCTGACCTAAACTGCTGCCTTGATAGGTGATGGGTTCCGCCCCAGAGATGGCTGCATCACATATCAGTTTTGGGGGTGGAAAGGGAAGACCCATCAGGACAAGGTACCAAGGGGAAAAGCTACAGCTAGTCCCTCCTGGCTGCCCCAAGGCCTTACCTGCCCTGCAGTATCCACTAGCTGGAGGTGAAATTCATCCTTTCCCACCATCAGCATTTTGTTGTAGGCTGGAGGGAATCAACGGCGCACGAGTCAATTATGGGGTGTGGCCCTCTGCACACAGCCCCACGGCTCCCTGCTGCCCTCTGGTGGCTGGTTTATGAGTCCGCTACTGACCCATAGCGAACGGGCCTGGTCCTTTGGCCTTGGATGTCCCCTCCCGCCCCCAGGTTCCGGGTGCTGAAGAAGACGAGGCCCCTGGAGCCGCAGGGAAGACGTTGGAAGCTTCTGGAGCTCAGCTGAAATCAGCTCCCGTTGGCCACGGCTTCCCGTCCTGCCCAGCCAGCTCCACACAACAGAACCAGAGCCGAGCCCGGAGACATTTGAGCTGGAGGGACCCCAGTGGCTCTGGCAGCCCTCCCCCATCCCCCTGGATGTTCAGTCGATGATGGATTTGAGCCCAAAGCCTGATGCAGCCCGGGGCGGGCCAGAGTGGCTCCACGGTGAGCTAAGGACCGGAGCAGGGCTGAGCGTTTGACCCCCCCTGCGACTGGAGCATGTCCAGCAGGTCTCCTGCGATTGCACACACAGGACTAGCTGCTCCGGACACACTTAGCCCGAGGAATTGCTATGTTTCCTGACAAAGGCAGGCCTGAGTAAAGGGCCACCCAACCGCCTCGCTATTGGCGGGGCTGAGGTCTTCTGAAAAGCAGGAAGGGGCTGGAAACAGCCCAGGGCAGGAAGGAGGGAGGGGTCACGACAAAAGCAAAAGGAAACATCCCCATCCCCCCTCCCCCCCGCACAGCACGTGGCCTTTCAGCTTAAAGGCCCCTTGTCTTTTTATTCTGAGCCGGATTCTCGCCCTGGGTCGAGATCTATTTGAGTGAAACCCCAAGCAGAGCTCAAGTGGTTTCCATTCATACTAGGCAAAAGAAACTAACCGATCGCTTTAGCGAGCCGGTGACAGAGCCCTGATGGATACCTCGCCCCGGGCCCCTCCCTGCCCCCTGCAGAAGGCTCTGGATTCCAGGCAGGGAAGCCACCTTCTCCCCACATTCCCTTCCCAACGGCTGGCGTCCTGGCTGGTGTTTGTTTTAACACATGTGCGAGTTGTAGCATGGACACCGCACATTCCTAGTCCCATCCAAGAACAGCAACGTGTGGATCCTGTAGCCTGGTCGAGCGGGTCGGTTCTGTCCCTGACTCTGCCACTTCACTTTGCCAAGTCTCCTCCCCTCCCGTCCTTCTTCGGTGCCCCCCCACCCCACCTTTAAACAATGGGGCGGGGGAACTCCATAGCACCTCCAGTGGAGACTGGTTTTGGTGAGGCCTCTAGACACTAGGGGGGTAAATAATGTGCGAAGACAACTACAATCCCCAAGGTAGAGATGCCCGCTATGGATTTAATCAGGCCTCCAAGGGCCCTGCACTCACTGCTTTCCACTGTAGGGTCGTAGCACTCCAGGAATTCCCCGTCAACGAACTGATGAGCCAGGGAAGTTTTACCTAGAGGGAAGAGATTTGAAAGTTCGCTGTTGTGGATGCCGCAAGTCTCTTAGCGTACGTCTACACTGCAGTCAGACACCCGGTGATGGCCCATGCCGGCTGACTAGGGCCAAGAGGCTATCTAATTGCGGTGGGAACCAGGGGCTAGAGCCTAGGGCTCCAGCCTGAGCCCAAACAGCTGCACCACAACTAAACAAGCCCCTTCGCCCAAGCCAGCCCGGCACGGGCCAGCCGCGGGTGTCTGACTGCAGCGTGGACGTAACCCTTAAAGCCTGCTTTGTCCGCTGCTACGAGCCACCCACAGAGACAACCGGGCGAGGCCTGCCAAGTTCACAACCGTGTCCAGGTTCGCGGGGGACGTCCAAATGCGCACCCGGGCCAAGGGCGGCCTTTCTGCTGTGGCGCGGGGGATCAGCCCCCACGGGTGGGTGTTTTTAGGCAACAGCTGATCTGAGTGATTCGAACCCACCCTCCCAGACCCCATTCTGCCATGGCCCCTGGGGGGGGGGGGGGGGGGGGGGGGGAGAACGTCAGATACACACACACCCTGCGCGGGCAGGCCCCCTGGCTGGACACCCGCACACACAAACACCTGAAAGTGATAAACGAGATCTAAGGAAACGAGTCTGACTCCAGGTCATTTCCTCCCTCCCCTCGCCTGCCATGTGGCTCAATGGCAAACTGACCCCGCATGACCTCTCCCCCCCAGCCCCTCTGGGGTCGGAGCTGGGGGGGGGGGGTCCAGCAGAGACACACGGAGCAGCACACCCCAGAACGTGGCCATAACCCCGGCCCCCGCCCTGGGGCGCGCCTGGGGGCGGGTGGGAAGGACCCCTTTCTCCCAGCCCCCCAACCCCCCCGCAGATGCGGCGGGGCAGCTCGAAGCGTGCGGGAGCTGGGCCGGGAAGCAGCAGGAAACCCGCAGCGCAGCCGGGCCCGTCCCCTCCTCACAGGAGCAGCAGCCCCCACCGCCTCTGCAGCCCCTCGCCCCCCCAGCAGACCCCCCACCTGCTCCGTGCAGAGCCCCCCGTGCCCCCACGCCCCAGACCCCGCATGCACCCTGCGCCCCGCCCCGCCGGCTCCGTGCACCCTCCCCCCGCTCCTGCAGGGAGCCCCGCCCCGCCCCGCCCGACTCACCCACGGAGCGGTACCCCAGGATCACCACCTTCCGGTAGCGCACCAGCGGCATGGCCCGCGCGGACAGCACCCGCGCCGCTGAGCCCGGGGGCGGCAGGACGGGGGAGAGCGACGCGGGCGGGCCCGGCAACCTGAGCGATAAGAGCCCGCCCGGGCGGGGCCGCCACCGCAACCACAACACCCGGCCTCCCACGTGCCCACAACACTGCGAAAGCCGCCGCTGCTATTGGCCGGCCACCCGGCCGGAGGGGCGGAGCCTCCCCCGAGGAGGGCGGGGAGGGGGGGGAGGGCGGAGGGCGCATGCGCGCTGATAGGGCAGGCTCCATTCATGAAAACGGAGGCTCGGAAACTGGACCACGTGGTTTTACACACACACAGGCACAGAGCATGTGGGGGGAGGGCTGTTTGCACAGCCTGACTCCCCCCCGGAATTGACCCCCCCCACTTCCAGAGCTGCTTCCACACACTAACTGCCCCCCCACGCCCGTGCTGTGCATCTGCCCCCTTCTGCTCCCCCCCCGGCTCTGGTCCCCCTCTCTGCCCCACAGGGACCAACCTCCTCCTTGCAGTCCTGTCGCCTTGTCGTCCCCCCCCCGCTATTCCACCTCTGCCCCCCCGCCCGACTTCTGCACCCGGAACCTTGGCACGGCCAGGCTGGCTCAGACCAATGGTCCATCGACCCAGCGTCCTGTCTGCCCGCAGCGGGTGCCAGGGGCCCCAGGGGGAGTGAACAGAACAGGGCAATTACGGAGTGATCCACCCCGTGTTGCCCATTCCCAGCTCTTGCAGTCAGAGGTTTAGGGACACTCGGAGCATCGGGCAAGGTTCCCTGCCCAGCTGGCTGATAGTCCTTGATGGCCCCGTCCTCCAGGAACTGATCTGTCTTTTTGTACTTTTGGCCCTCACCCCATCCCCTGGCAACCAGTTCCACTGGTGACTGAGCGCTGTGTGAAGCCGAAATTCCTTTTGTTTGTTTTAAACCTGCTGCCCGTTAATTTCACCGGGTGGCCCCTGCTTCGTGTGTTAGGTGGAGGGGTAAATAACACGTCCTGAGTCACCGTTTCCAAACCCGTCATGATTTTACAGGCCTCCCTCATCTCCCCCCTCAGTCATCACGTTTCCAAGCTGGACGGTCCCAGTCCTTTTCATCTCGCCTGAGATGGAAACTGTTCCATTTCCCTAAGCATTTTTGTTGCCCTTCTCAGTACTTCCGTCACTTCTAATATATCTTCTTTGAGATGGGGCAGCCAGCACTGCAGGCAGTGTTCAAGCTGTGGGCGTACGAGGGATTTATATAGTGTCATTATGATGTTTCCTGTCTTGTTATCTATCGCTCTCCTAACGGTTCCTAACATTCTATTCACCTTTCTGACGGCCGCTGCGCACTGAGAGATGCTTTCAGAGAACTATCCACAGCGACTCCAAGATCTTGTTCCTGAATGCTAACAGCCAGTTTAGACCCCATCACTTCATATGGATAATTGTGACTGTGTTTTCCAGTGTGCATTACTTCGCATTTATCTACATCAAATTTCATCTGGCATTTTCTTGCCTAGTCACCCAGTTTTGTGAGATCCCCTTTGCGGTCTGCTTTGGGCATAACTAATTACGTATCTGCAAACTTTGCCATTTCACTGTTCACCCCTTTCTCCAGCTCGTTTATGAATCTGTCGAACAGCACTGATCCCAGTACCGCTCCATGGAAGACCCGGCTATCTCTCTCTGCTGTGAAAACTGGCCATTTATTCCTACCCTTTGTTTCCTATCTTTTAACCAGTTACTGAACCATGAGAGGACCTTCCCTCTTATCCCTTGACTGCTTACTTTGCTTAAGAGCCTTTGATGAGGGACCTTATCCACCTTGTCCACATGTTTGTTGACCACTTCTCTTCCCAGAGAATTCTAATAGATTGGTGAGGCATGATTTCCCTTTACAAAAGCCATGTTGACTCTTCCCCAACAAATCATGTTAATCTGTGTGGCTGATAACTCTGTTCTTTACCACAGTTTCAAACAATTTGACTGGTCCTGGTACCCTGCCAGCTCAATACCCTCCCCCCTTTCTGTAGGTCCTCTGGTCTCCATGCTAATAGGATGGGCATGGCTGGCCACAGAGACCATGAACAGCCCTCGCAGATATTCTAGGGAGAGGGTGGATTGCCATCTCAATGGGGAGAGACAGCCCCAGTATTCAGGGATTCCCAGCCCAGAGTGGAGTTGGGACTTGCCCATGTTGGGATGGAAACATCCCAAGCTGTTCTGTTACAGTTAGCTGCCCTGAGCCTGGCCTGGGTGGGGGTGTAATAAATTAACTTCCCCTGTAAATAAACCGCAAGCCAGATAAGACTGGGGCAGGTGGGAGTCTGTTTTGCTCTTTCCAAAGCAGGCAGTTGGGGGGGTGGGGGGTGGGCACAGGGAGGGGAAAATAGGTGGAGGTGGTGGAAGAATTTTGCTTGTAAACAAGTGTAAAGGTCCTGGCTGGAGCCTGCCGCCTGGGGCTGGGTCCTTCCTCGGGGAAGTGTCTGAGCACATCAGCGCCTGCTGGGCCTGTCTGCCGCAATCAGCCTTGTTTACTGCAAACCCAGCGGGAAGCTTCAGGGCCTGTCTACACTGCAGTTGTCAGCGGGCTTGGGCTGGGGAGGGCTTGGGACAAGGGGCTGTTTAACCCTCCCCCCCCCCCCCCCCGCGCAGGATCCCAGAGCCCAGGCTCCAGCCTGAATGTCTTCACCTCAGTTAAACAGCTCCTTAACCCAAGCTCCACGAGCTTGAGTCAGCTGGCCTGGGCCAGCCGCGGGGGTGTGACTGCAGTGTAGACAGACCCATGGAACAGTGTTCGGCTGTCCCATTGTCAGGGCGGGTTGGGACAGGGAGGAAAGCAGCTGTGGTGGGCTCAGGGTGGGGAAGGGGGTGTCCTTATCCGGTGTCCCCTTTTAGTCTGTATCAGACTGAAACATGCCTCTCACCTGGGACAGCCACAGCCCCCCCACGACTTAGGGGCCAGGGCTGGGGGAGCTCTTGGTCTTGCCCTGTTGTGTAACCAGAGGGGCCCAGGCAGGAAACCAGGGTCTCTCTCCAGCAGGGCAGGGATCCCTGAGGTCTGTGGCACCGGTGTCAGGAGCCTTGAGTGGGCCCCGCAGCTCCCAGCCCCAGGGCCCCGCTCTGCCTTTCCCCCGGTGACATGCGCTCAGCAGAGGGCCATGCATGCACTACAGGGCAGCAATCCTGGGCTAGTTCCCTGCCTGTGTGCTGGTCCCTCGTGGCCTCCTGGGCACCCTGACAGCAGGGTGGGGGTGGGGCCTGGAGGGGAGAATCCTGCCCCACCGTGCCGGGCCTGGCTCTGTGTGGGGATCCCAGCCACGGAGATTGAACCCGTCTTGCTTCTGCCCCCTTTGCCCAGGACAAAGGAGGGGTGAGGTCCCAGGGCCCTTCCTGGGCTCAGCTCCGGGCCAGGGCCATGCAGGGGCCCACTGCCTCCAGCTGCCGGCCAGTCTCCTGCACGGTTCTGCTGGGACACTAGGGGGCAGCCCACACCAGCTCAGCCATATCTGTGTCTCAAAATACCTGTATGCCCCCCCAGCCCCTCCCCACCCCCAGGGAACCGGGTGACAGATGGGAGCTGGCCAAACCTGGGAGATGCTGGGGGGAGAATGGACCCTTCCACCTCTGGGCCGCCTGTTCGAACCCAGCGCCTGGCCGTAGCGCTGGTGTGCGGCCGCTCATACGGGAGATGAGTCTGGGGAGTTCTCAGCCCAGCTCCCACGGGGCAGCCCCGTCACAGAGACATGAAGGAAGGTCTGGGTTGTGCCAGGCTGACAGCATGGGGGAGGGGCTGAAATGGGCAGGCTGGGGTGGGGGGGTGATATGAGGAGGGATGAGACTGCAGCGGTGCAGGGGGCTTGGGCAGAACCAGGTGAATGGGGGGTGCTGGGAAAAGGGGAAGATGGGGCAGTGGGGGCAGGGGAGGTTCTGCCTGTCTTATCCCAATTCCTGCACAACTTAGCCTCCCACCCTCCCCTCTTACCAGCCCTGCCCGTCTCCCGGGGGATGGCGCTGGGGACAGAGGCTGGAGGGGCTGCTCGCCAGAGGAACCATTCCTCTCATGAGTAAGGCCTTGCTTGGTTTTGGTTGGGGCAGGGGTCAGACAGCAAATGGTGGGGAAGGGGGTTGATTATGCAAAGGTGCCCACAGTGATCATGGGGGGGGGTCCCAGTGTGTGGGGGGTGGGATCTGCTAATTCCTGCTGGGCTCCTGCCACCTGGGAGGGGTGTGGGTTGAGATTAGACCTGAATCTGGGTCAGTTCCCCCCCCCCAATATTTTCCTGCATCATTTCCTCAAAGGGGCTCAGTGCAAAAGATTCTGGTGTTTGGGGTTGAGGAGGGGGCATTTCCCCTCTGCACACAGTCCCTGGCCCTCCAAATTCAACCCCCCAGGAAGCCCCCTTCTCTCCGGGCCTAGAATCCCCCCCGCCCCAACCTGCCTTGCTCCCAAGAGTCTCCACACTTCATTTTGGCTCAGAAGCCAAAAAGCTCCGGGCTTGGTCCTTTCCGGGTCTCCCAGCAGGAGTCACCCCCTTCCCCCTGCCGATGGGTTGTGCTGGGGGCTCAGGAGGGGGCTGCAGGGCCCATCTCCCCCAGTGCTGGGGGGGGGTCAATGCAAGAGAGAAAAAGGCCTGTGTTCTTGTGCCTGGGGCAGAATGGGAGCTGCTGGATGCCAGCTGGGGAGGGCTGGGGGAGGAGCTGTTCCTCCAATGATGCCTCCTCCCCCCCGCCAAAAGCAAGCTGGGAGGCAGGTCTGCTGGCAGCAGGTCCCTGGGGTGCTGAGCCATGTGCTCGCCCCAGGAGAGGAGCCAGAAGGGAGCAGGCCTGCCCGGGGGGCCCAGCCTGCCTCCCTCTGAGCAAACACTGGCTGTTCTCACAGCCTTGCGCCCACTTGACCTTTGCTATGCAAACGTGAAGCAAGGAATGTGCAGTGGGATTGGGGTGGCGCGGAGTGGGAGAGCGGGGCTGGGGGTGGCAATGTGGGGCCCAGCCATCCCACGGGAGACGTGGAGAAAGGGGCTTGCTGCTAAGCATGGGGCGTGTCCTGCCTGTGGCTAGGCACCTGGTGCTTCCCCTAAGCAGCACTGGGCCTGACCAAGGGTGGGATGGGAGACCTGGGGATGCAGATGGTGTTAGAGCTGGGGGGGGTCACCTGTGCTGAGCCTCAGGAGCCAGGCACCAGGTGAGACATGGAAAACCAAGGCCTGAGGTGCCCCTAGGGCTATCCCCAGCCATGGCGGGAGGGGGCAATCTGGGCAATTCCAGCTTCCCCCACCCCCCACGGGCTGGAGAGGAGAAAGAGGGACTAGCCATATGGAGGGGGTCTAAGCAGCTGTGGGGGTAGGACACAGGTACAGCCCGTTAGCAGCCTCTCTCCAGCACCAGACGACACAATCTCTTAATTAACAAAAATTAAATATTATTTTTTAAAAACTCAAACAGTTAAAACAGCTTTAACCCTCCCCTGCACCCTGCCACCCCCCGTGTGCAGCAGAGGTAGCCCGGGGAGAGAGGAACAGCATATACCATTATATTACCCTTTCTAAATATAAAAATAAAACTTTTAAGCCAGGGGTGGGGGGCAAGGTTAGGGGGTTAGAGTGACAGGGCCCAGCAGTGCAGAGTTAACCGGTTACCAAGATACACGTCCCCCCACTCGCCTCCCCTGCATGAGACAGAGCGGGGGAGTAGCCCCCCGCACCGATTAGCACTCCCCCCCCACCCCGAGTTCAGTGGAACGACTTGCCCCTGTACGCGGGACCTGCCCCTGCTGCTGACTGGCCTTGCGGCTAGGAGAGAGAATCCCATCCCCCGACGTGGCACTGCCCGCATGGTCCAGCACAAGTCAGCCTAGAACAGGCTGGCAAGGAAGCCGGGCACTTACCCTTGCCGGGCAGGACACACTAACACGTGAGCGTCACTGTGCCGCCCTCACAGAGCCAAGAAAAGCACCCAGGAGTCATGCACCCCCCGCCCCAGTGTGAACGCTAGCCCGGACTCCCCTCCTGGAGCCTGCAATAGAAGCCAGGGGTCCTGATGCCCACCCCCCTCCTCCAGCCACTAGCCCACACTAGCGCTTGGCTCCCACAGTTTCCAAGAGAGCATGGCCAGGGTCTGGCTTTTCAAGCCAATGAGTGACCCCCACACAAGGGAACCCCTCTGACTTCAAAGCTCAGGGGCCCTCTGCCACCCTATTCCTGCCCCAGTTGTGGGGTGGCTGGGCCAGAGAGCCTACCCGGACCCTCCCCCCTTCCCGGGGAGCTCATTCCCTCTGAGCCCTGCTTTGGAGGAATGCGGGGGAGGCCCACCCAGCCCAGAGCCCGGCAGAGCATGGCTTCCCGCATGGCCAAGAACCGCAGCTGGGCAGAGGGTCTTGGGGTGATGATGCAGCCTCGGAGCCTCCTGCGGGAGCGTGACTGTGTGCATGGCACCCCACCATCCCCAGTGGGATCTGGGCTCAGGGGCCCTGCCTCCGTTCCTCCTTCCAAGGACCCCGAGGCAGCCACTGTGCAACCCCTCCCCTGCACGAACTCCTTGGCGGGGCACGAACTGGGCCCAGCGCCGCCAATCCCTCCTCCCGAGGGTGCAAAGGGGGCGGCCGTGCCAGCTGGCTGCTGGCGATGACCATTCCGAGGATCTCCCAGGCACTGTGGGCCGGGGCAGAATCCCTCGATGAACACTTCAGGGGGACACGAGGAGGGCGGGCAGGTGGGTGCCGTGCCCAAGGAGAAGCGTGGCGGGGGGGTCATGCCAGGATGGGGGGGTGGCTGCAGGGTGAGGGCAGGGGGGCAGGGGCCTGGCAGGAGCATTAGTAACAGGAGGGAGGGATGGCCCAGATCTGAGCTGCTGCATTCGGTGGAATCACAGCTGGGGAGCGCAGCAGAGAACCCAGCCTGGGGCTGGCACATGCCCAAAGCCATGGGCTGGGCTGGGCCTGCAAACCCTCCAGGCCCAATTCTGCCCCTGGGTCAGCCCGGGTGGGCACCACCCCAAAACCAGCCTCGGGATTTCATCTCGAGCAGGGAAAGCAGCAAGCCAAGGCCCAGTCATGCTGGTTAAGTGAAGCAACAAACACAGGGACTGGGGAGAGGTGCCCCAACAGGAGTGTGGTTTGGGGCTTACCCACCCCCTCCGGACAGGGTCACCCCAGGAGTGCCACAAAGCATGAACAGATACCGAGGGGCGGCGTCGGCTCCAGGCGGCAGGGGCCAGACGCCCTGCAGGGGCGTGGTTACGGAGCCAGTCACACCGGCCGGAGCACCAGGAGCAGGTGCCAGAGTGCACCCACCCACATGGGGCTGGCCCCCCTCATCAGCGTGAACACCCCCTGGGACACTGTAACAAGGAACCCAGTACCCCCTCGCCCCCCCGTCAGCGTGAACACCCCCTGGGACACTGTAACAAGGAACCCAGTACCCCCTCGCCCCCCTCATCAGCGTGAACACCCCCTGGGACACTGTAACAAGGAACCCAGTACCCCCTCGCCCCCCCTCATCAGCGTGAACACACCCTGGGACACTGTAACAAGGAACCCGGTACCCCCTCGCCCCCCCGTCGGCGTGAACACCCCCTGGGACGCTGTAACAAGGAACCCAGTACCCCCTCGCCCCCCCGTCGGCGTGAACACCTCCTGGGACGCTGTAACAAGGAACCCAGTACCCCCTCGCCCCCCCGTCAGCGTGAACACCCCCTGGGTCGCTGTAACAAGGAACCCAGTACCCCCTCGCCCCCCCGTCAGCGTGAACACCTCCTGGGTCGCTGTAACAAGGAACCCAGTACCCCCTCGCTCCCCTGCTGGGGGCCCGGGTTCCCATCCCCTCCCCCCTCCCTGCCCCCAAGGCTTGCAGGGATCCCAAGGCACTTGCAGTAAAGCTTGGAAGCCACTCGGGGCCCAGAGCCTCCCTGCTTCCCGTTTGTTACATCAACTTTGTCCGAGTCAGTGATTGTAACGCGGCCGCTAGGCCTGGAGGGAGTCCTGGCCCAGCACCCCCCACGCCAGTTGGTAGAGCAGCCGCGAGTACCAGTGCAGGCCCGTCTCTGGCACACTGCAGTTCTTGCCCTCGCCACTCAGGGGCAGCAGTGAGAGGAGGCCGTGGAGGAGCCGGAGTGGGGCGAAGGCGCGGTGGGCCCAGTGGTGGTTCTCCAGGACGGCGTAGCAGGAGGCTAGCACCCCGTTGACCAGGAGAGTCCCATGTGACGTCAGCGGGGCGAACACCCCCATGCCCTCCTCCTGCGACACCCGCAGCACCCGGACCGGCTGCAGCCCGCGTCCGCCAGCGTGGTGGGCCAGCACCGAGTCACCCGCCCGCACCCGCCTGGCGAAGATGGGCACAAAGCTGGCCGTGCCGTTGGCCGGGGCCTGGGCAGCGAACACCAGGTGGGAGGGCGTGAGCAGCAGCCGGTGGGCAGGGCTCTCCGTCTCGATGGCCACGAAGGACACACGCCGGCGCAGGTCGCGGTCCAGGAAAAGCAGCACCTCAGTGGGGACCACCTGGCCGCTCCGGTCCACGGCCAGCACCCAGTCACCACGGCGCAGCTCCGACAGCCCCTTCCGCTCGCCGCTCCGCAGCGTCACCATGGCGTGGCCCGGGAAGCAGCCGCCGGCCCGGCTGGCCAGGGAGTTCTCTGCGGAAAGACAGAGGGTCCTGTCAGCACGGTGGCACGCGTGGGCCAGAAAACACCGCGATGGAGGTACGGAGCGGGCGGGCAGGCGTGGGGGATATTTGCACCCGCCTCGCTCCTACGGTGCCAGCCCTCCCCCGAGCAGAGGTGGTGGACCAGGTGAAAACAGGGCTAGCACCTGGGCAGTTTAAATCCAGCACAAGGCCTGGCTCACACGCACTGGAGCAGAGAGACTAGTGCCCGGCACAGACAGACCCGGGCTTGTGAGGCCTGCCCGTGCCCGCACCGGGGCTGAGCAGCTCCCGAGAAGCGCCGCGGGCTCTCGGCCACCAGCGAAGGCAGCGGGAGCCGTGGGCAACTCCCGTGTCTGGAGCCTCTTCGTTCTGCCGTCTGGCTTGGCCATGGTTCTAGGGAGGGCAAGAGCTTGCACCTGACGGGCTCAACCTAGAAACAAACCAACAGGGCCTGGTGCTTGGGAAGGCCCCGTTTACCAGGGGACTTCAAGAGGGATCCCGAGAGACAGCTTCTTTTCCCCTCCCACCTGAAAGTGCTATTGCCTGGTGAGGAACCCTAGAGACGTACCCACCTCCCCCAGCTCTGTCACTGGGAGGTTAAACCCAAAGGGCCTGATTGTGCTGCCCCTTGGGGGTGTTGGCCACACCGGTGCACAACCCTCCCCTGTGAGCTGCTGCTCTTTCACCCCCACTTTGCATCAGCAGAGCCAACAATGCAAGGTGCAGAGAATCAGGCCCCAAACCACAGCCCCTGGTTACGTAGGCCCTGCGGGATTTTGTCTGCTGCCTGCAGGGAGCACAGGTGAACTGGACAGTGAGTGTGGAAAGATACTATAGATCTGACAAAGAGAGGGGCGGTTTGAACTGCGCTTCGACGTGAAGCAAACACAAACTAGCTCTCAAGAGACACGGCATGTGTTTACAACAACAACAGGCAGGACACAGCACGCAGAGTCTCTCTACGCATGTCACTAACCACACAGGAAATCATTCACACTCAAACCGAGTCTTCGAATCTTGAGGACTCTTCAGCGCTGTCATGCTTTGTTTTACTGCTCACCCCGGGCTGGCTCGGGGACAAGGACTAGCCTGGCCAGGTTCACGTATTGTTTCTTCTCAGTTTGGCTTGTGCACCAGTGCACACCCGGGGCTTTCTGGGGCTGCTGGAAGGGGTGTGGGAGGGAAGATGGGATTTTTAAAAAAATATTCTTAGCTAGTATTACTAATTATTTAGTTAGTAATTAGCAGTTAGTTAGTATTACTACAATAATTACTAACTAAGAACCCTCTCTGCACTGCATTTCTTTTCAAAAGCCATAAGAACAATTCTCTTCATGTTAGATTTTTGTGAAATCCTTAATGCTAACGGGGTGAGTAAGGAATTCTGCTGCTACCATTATGGCAGTGCCAAGAAGCACCCCAAAAATCGGGGCCCCGCTGTGCCAGGAGCTGCACAGCACTACCGTGAGAGGCGGGGCTTGCCCCAAAGAGCTGACAGTCTGTATAGGCAACAGGTGGGAGGGGAAGCTGAGGCATGGACCTGGGAAGAGACTCATCCAAGGTCACAAAGCAGGTCATTGGCAGAGATGGGACTAGAACCCAGGAGTCCACAGTCCCAGCCTAGTGCTCTGCCCACCAGGGGTATTGGGCGGGGGCATAAAAGCAATCAAGAGGGTCGTGAGGTGTTGAAAATTTTATTTCAGATGAAGGTAAAGAAAATCTGTCCCCTCCCGCTCCCCACACACTCTCCGGCGCTGCTTCCCACTCTCAGAACACCCCCCCCACCCCCCCCGAGCAATCACACAGCTGAGAATCAGTGACACATTTTTTACTCTTCCACGTGAACAGAAGCAAACTTCTGAATTCAAACAAGGAGTGGCCAACCTGAAGAAGTCAAGGAACACATGCCACCCGGCACGGTGGCAAAGCCAGGGTCTCTGTCCCCCACGTCATCACCCTGCTTCCCGTTACCTGCTTTCACCGACACATGGATGTGGGCCTTGGACTCGTAGTAGACCCAGTCAAAGCCGGCCTCCACGGCAAGGCGCGCCAGCATGCCGTACTTCTCCCTGTCCCGGTCAGACGTGGTGATGTCCAGCGCCCGCCCCTCGTAGTGCAGCGAGTCGGGCAGGTGATGCCCATCTTCGTCCCAGCCTTCCGTCACCCGCAGCTTCACGCCGGGCCACATGTTCATCACGGCGATGGCCAGCGCGTTCACACGGTCCTTGCAGCGCTGGCAAGGGAGAGCATGAACATAAGTACATAAGAACGGCCAGACTGGGTCAGACCATGGGTCCATCTAGCCCCGTATCCTGTCTGCCAACAGTGGCCAGTGCCAGGTGCCCCAGAGGGAATGAACAGAACAGGGAATCACCAGGTGATCCATCCCCTGTCACCCATTCCCAGCTCCTGGCAAACAGAGGCTAGGGACACCATCCCTGCCCATCCTGGCTAAAAGCCACTGATGGACCTATCCTCCATGAATTTATCTAGTTCTTTTTAGAACCCTGTTATAGTCTTGGCCTTCACAACATCCTCTGGCAAGGAGTTCCACAGGTTGACAGTGTGTTGTGTAAAAAAAATACTTCCTTTGGTTCATTTTAAACCTGCTGCCTATTCATTTCATATGGTGGCCCCTAGTTCTTGTATTATGAGAAGGAGTAAATACCACTTATTTACTTTCTCCCCACCAGTCATGATTTTATAGACCTCTATCACATCCCCCCTTAGTCGTCACTTTTCCAAGCTGAGAAGTCCCAGTCTGATTAATCGCTCCTCACACATTAACCCTTACTGCTCCGGGGGCGCGGGGGATGCAGTGGGGCAGACGGAAGGGAGCTGCATTACAGGAAGAGAATGCACAGCTTGCCGGGGGGCTGCAAGGAGAGGGGACCCTGACATCAGAGCAGGAACGGTCAGACAGGGGTTCTCAAACTTTTGTACTGGTGACCCCTTTCACACAGCTAGCCTCTGAGTGTGACCCCCCCTTATAAATTAAAAACACGTTTTTATATGTTTAACACCATTATGAATGCTGGATGCAAAGCGGGGTTTGGGGTGGAGGTTGACAGCTCGCAACCCCCTGTGTAATAACCTCGTGACCCCCTGATGGGTCCCGACCCCCAGTTTGAGATTTGTGCTAAGAGATTTGGACAGCCCTGCCCTGCCCTGGGGTGCTGCGGGGGGCACCCAGATGAAGGAGATGCTGCTGCATGGGGCAGAGGCCAGGCCATTTTCATTGACAGGGACAGCGAGCGGCAAGACAGGGGAGGGCAAAGGCAGCAGCATCCCCATGGTCCCACAGCTTTGCGGGTTCACAAGCCTAATTCCTTCTCCCGCCTGGCGCACGTACGCCCTGGAAAGCCAGGCAGTGCCACCGGGCGCGGGGGCAGGGTTTCAGAGGCATTTCAGCCGAGTCGGGGGCACTGTCATGCCGGGCCCTGCACAGACACTGAGACCCACAGCAGCTCACCGGCGAGGGCCTGGTCTCCAGTACGAAATGAAAGGTGCGCTCAGCGCCAGGAGACCCGCCCGACTCCCCCGGCTCGGCAGACCAGGGTCGCCCGGAGCCAGCCTGGGCGAAGGGCACACCTGTCTCTGCAGCACAGCAAAGGCCTATGGACCAGGCGGACGCAGGTGGGCAGGGAATAAGCCCACAGAGGGGAAGGGACGTTGCCGTGGGGCAGCAGCACTGCCAGGGATAGAACCACCCGGCCAGTGCCCTACCCCCCGAGTCAGTCTGGCTCCCCGAGCTCCTGCGTGGGACAAAAGTCAGGGGGGGCTGTGGTGACCCCCCCCACCCCAATTCTGAGCTCTCCAGTGAGACCGGGGGGGTGACCGGGGGGGCGTTTTTCCAGGCCCTGGCTTGTCGTCAGAAGCTGGCAACCAAATCCCCTGGGCAGGGACCCCAGCGGGCACAGACGGCCCCACAGAGCCATGCTGGGGATGGGGCCACCCGGGGACGGGACATGCCTGGGTCTGGCTGAAGAACCAAAGCTGAGGGGGTGGGGAGAGGCAATAAAGATTAAACTGGGTCTGTCTGCCCCCACCCGGCCCAAACCAGAGCTCACCAGCTCCCCACAGAAATACACAGACCAGCTCCTTAATGGGTGATTCATTAACTCGGGTCAGACCCAGAGGGAATGGCTAATCCGTGTTTCAGGAGCATCAGACTTGTTTGAGGTTGAGCTGGGCTGGGCAGGGGGCGGGCGGGAACCCGAACTCCTGGGTCCTATCCCTGGCTCTGGAATTGTCCCCCTCTGTGACCTTGTGCCAGTCACTCTCCTTTTCAGGGGCCGTGGGGATAGCCAAGCTTCCCTGCCTTTGCAAAGCAATGAAACTCTTGATTGAAAGGTGATAGATTCATCCATCCTGCTGCAGACCCATGTACACTTTGCCCTCAAACAATTTCCAGGTTGTTTATCTGTTATACCATTCCTCCCACACAGAACTGCAGCCACCTCTGGGGCGAGGTGGAGCAGCTCTGTATAACACCAACGCTGCAGAGCAGATTGTTTTAAAAACAGTGCATGAAAATCAGAATCCCGCCGAGTCTCTCCCGATGCGGGATTGCAACAACTGGCAACAAGAGGCAGAGCCTGAAATAAGCTCAGCGAGGAGAGGCAAAGGGAAAGGCTGGAGTGGCAGCTAACATCCCGAGTCTCAGCCCATACTGCCTCTTCTCTTCACCCCCAGTGCTCCCCCAGATCTGTCCCCCCCAGCATCATTAACTGTCTCCTGCAGCTTTCACTCCTGGCAGCCACTTTCCTTCCTTCTTCCTTCCCCCCTCCTGGGCTCCTGCCACTGACCCCTTCAGCGCTGAGCGACCTGTGGCTGCAGCCCACCCCGGCTCAGGCCTAGGAAAAGTGGGGGGAAGTCCAGCAGCCGGATAGCAGAACTGGGGCCTTGGGGGCAGGCAGGGTGGGCGGGGAGCCGTGAGGGGAAGGAACGAGAGAGGGGCAGACGGAGAGATGGCGGGGGGGCATGGGTGGCATTTAAACCAACTGGAAAGGGAACAAAGTCAGATTGATGGCGTGCCGGGGAGGAGGGAAGGGCCGGAGCAGGAATGTGCCGCGCTTCTCTCCCCTCACAGCACAATAGCTGTTTTCCAGCCCGAGAATTACTTAACTCGGCGAGAATTTCAGATCCTCCGGTTCAACAGAGAAAGAACAGCAAAGTCATCAGCTTTGCCACAAAGGGCCCATTCAGCGGCCTTGCACCCCCCGGCCGGTGTCAGCAAGGGGGAAAGCGCACCGTGGGGGGGGGCAGCCACGGGACCCCACTCCCCGGCCAGTCTCCCCCTCTGCAGGACTGCAGCAGCCAATGACCAGGATTGGGGCCCTGCAAGGGTGGGGGCTGGAGGGGTGGACAGGAGAGGTTGGTGTGCTGGCCACCAGGGGGTGTCGGGCTGGAGGGAGAGCAGAATATCCCCTGGCAGGGAGGAGTGCTTGGGGGTCTGGGGGGGGGACCCTTTTAGCTTGACTCACCCTCCCCGCATGCATCTAGGCTGGGGATCCCCCTGTCCCAGAGCATGTACTTTCCATAGGGGTGAACAGAGTGGCTGGGGGAAGCACTTTCTGGGGTACCCAGACCAGCCAAAGGATGGATGAACTCCCAGGCCCTGAACCCTAGTGGCCAGACACCCCATGAAAGTCAGGGTGCAGCAGCCAAATTTCAAGGTGGCTAATCCACTCAGCAGTACCACCAGCCACCACACTTCTAGCTGGATAATATTCATCCTAAACAGCTGCCACACTCCACCCCAGAGGAGGCTGCATCTCAGTGCTGGGCAAGTGATCCCTTTTGCTGTGCGACTCTGGAACAGCTTCTGCGTTCTGCCCCAGAGGTGGCGGCATTTGAGTAGTATGGGCGATGGGGTCTCTGCCAGGGTGATCTGTCACATGGCTGCGGAGTGGGGATAGCTGCCTTTCAAGTCCTCCCATAGGCCCCTGGGCTGCAGTTAGGGGTTGTTGAAAACTGGGTTCCTTCCATCCCCCTGAGATACCCCAATGCCCTGCCCAAGCAAGAATACGATGCCCTCCACGTCCCTGCCCACAGCATGGCAGCCTCAGGGGGAAGCAGCCCAGAAGAAGGCAAGACAGGAACAAAGGGAAATCGTACCAGCTGGGAAGCTCCGGCTAGGAGAGGAGGTTTATCACTAAACGAATAATCAAATAAAGAAAAAAGTAACCACTTCGCTATAGCCTTGACATTATTCTCATACCAGGAGGGCGAGACTGGCGCGGCGGGCAGGGCAGCCGGGAGCATGGGAAGGAGGGAGAGGGACAGGCAGTGAAAAGAGCGAGAGTGGGAGAACAAGGGAAGGGGAAGAGCCAGGGAGCAGGGTGGATGGACAGAGAATGGAGACAGAGCCAAGCAGCCTGGACCAGGGGAGCCTGAGGCAGCCTCCTCCATCACCATGGCAACGGGATCCGGGCATCCCCCTCGCTGCCCCAGCCTCCTAGGATGGGGAGACACAGAACTTCCCTCCTGCCAGCTCTCCCCGCCCGCCATTTGCCCCAATGGGGGCATGGGACCCCATGACCTTCGCTTTCTATTCCGAGTCCCCCCACGCCCCCATGGCAGCCGGCCAAGCCCAGCTGCATGGCCATGGGAGCTCTGACCTGCAGAGGCAGCCGCAGGTCACCAGCTGCCTGGCTCCGAGGGCCAGAGGCTGCCAGGACCACGGTCCTGGAGCAGCTGAATAGGGGCATTTTCAGGCATCTCTGAGGCAGGGACGGGGAAACCAAGAGAAGCAGCAAGTGCTGCCGGGGCAGGGGAGTGACACCCCAACTGCAAAACCCCTCCGCGGGGGGAGTCTGGGCACTGCACAGACCCTGCCCAGCACAGCTCGCGCCCCAGTGACCTGCCAGTTCCCCCTCACCTGAGACCCTCAAAGCACAGTCCTGACGCCTCAGAGCAGCCCTGGGATATAGGTACCATGGTATCCTCATTTCAGAGCTGGGGAAACTGAGGCACAGAGCAGGGCAGGAACTAGCCAGTGAGTCCAGGCTGCAGGCAGGGATAGAAGCCAGCCATTATTAATGACCTGGAAGAGGGGCTGAGCAGGGGGTGAGGGAGGACACCACGTTACTGAGGTTAGTGAAGACCGTGAGGAACTTGAGAGGGACCCTCAACCTGGGCCTGGCCCACAGGGGGTGGATCACTTGCTAATTCCCTGTTCCGTTCACTCCCTCTGAAGCACCTGGCACCCGGGCTGATACGCTGAGGATCGCCACAGTGCAAACCCCAAGGATGGAGCTGAATCGGTCAGGCGAGGAGCGGCGGTAGCAGACAAACGCGCCCAGGAAGAGGGACTTCGGGTTTTTCCAATTTTAGTGTCTATGGCTCTCCAACCACTAGACCCCACTCCCCTCCCACTGCTGCAAATGGAACCCAGGAGTCCCAGCTCCCATGGCAACCAGCACTGGACACATCCCATCAACCTCCCGATCCCGGTTTGCTAAGGCTTGAATAGTCCAGCGTCCTGGTTCCTTCCTGGGAGGGAAGGGCCCACCCCAGAGTGTGGCCCCCTCACCGAACACAGATTCACCTCCTCACCCCAGCGCTGCAGCATGAGCGGCAGGAAACACCCACCCCGGCGCTCCAGGTTCCCGGCGCTCTCCATGCACCCCCACGCCCCATTGTCTCTCCTCCGGCACAGCCAGCTCATTCTCCTCCCAGAGCCGGCGCGCCCACCACCCTGTGCCATCCAGACCCAGTCTGGCTGCCAGCCTCCCCCCTCGCCCAGGCAACGGGCATCGGGTGACTCAGCACGAGGAAATGAATCCGCGATGCAGTCAGCATGCCCACCCACGGACACACGAGAGGCAGAAATGTCACCGGCTCGCACAGCCCGGGAGCCAGAGTTCCCCTGGCACCACTGGGACCTGGCATTGGCCACCCTGGGGGCGGTTACATCAACTATCATGACTAAGGGGCATGGCACGACCATGTCGCCCTCTCTGGGGCACAGCCTGGCCCTGGGGCACCTCCTGCCCCCAGAAGGGCCTGCACCTCCTCTGCCAGGGTGCCCGGGGGGGCTTCCGGCACAGCTGCAGCCCCTCCGTCGTATTACATTGCTCATCGCCAGGCCCCTGTCACTGCAATGGGGTCAGTCCCGGTGGGTGGGGCTGATGGAACAGCTAGCCAGTCCTGGCCCATCTACTTCTATGTGTTGCTAGCACCACGTTCACCCGTGGAACTCACTGCCCCAGGATGGTTCAGACGCAGAAAGCGCACTCAGCTGTGCTGGGATCTGAAACTCTGCTTTGTACATGTTTCAACCCTGGAGCCTTCAGCCCCCAGGCAGCTACTCCCTAGCTAACAGACCTGTTAGGGGCCCTGTTCCAGCCATGCAAGGGACTTATCTGCCCCCCGTTGTCCTAGTGTCCCAGCACCTCTCTAGTCACATCTTTATCCTCACAACCCTCCTGGGCGGCAGGGCAGGACCATTATCCCCATTGGTGCAGTGGAGAAACTGAGGCACAGAGAAGCCGCATGACTGGCTTGTGTTCATACAGTCTGTGGCAGAGCTGCGACCGGACCCCGGGCCTCCCAGGGCCAAGCCATTGGGCCAGCCGTCTCCTCGTAACCTGTGCAACAAACCAGAGCAACACAGAAGCCCACAGTGAATGTCCCCAGGGCCGGCCGCGTCTCTGCCTGGAGAACACGTCCGGGGACGGGTGGAAATGGGGTCAGGTGCAGGTTTCCCTGGTGCATGCGACCCTGAACCCAGCTAGCAGGGGCCAACAATAGCTTTATTGCTCGCCAGGCCCCTGGCACCGCTTCGCCACCCCTGCCGAGCCACGGAGCCCTCCGCGGGGAGGTGAAATGGGATGGGACATCCCTGCTCCCCCCACCCCCGCCGCCCAAGGAGCTGCCACCTCGGCCCTAGCTTCGCTGCCAAGACAGGGCTGTTCTTGCAGCGGGACAATTACTGTGTCCCAGTGTAGACAGGGCTCAGGCAACATAGGGGGAAGCTCCCTGGGCCCTGTCTCCACTGGGCTCTGACAGCGGGAGAGCAAGCACCCAGGGATGACCCTGCTGGACCCCTCCCCCAGTCTGCTGGCAGCCCAGATGCTGCTGCTGAAGACAAAGTGACCAGGGTGCCAACCATTTCGGGGTCCAAGTCAGATGGGGACGCCAAGGACCAGGCCCTGAGCTCCTCTCCCAGTGTAAATCTGGACTGGCTTCAAGGGAGACATTCCAGATTTACATTGAACAACCTCTCCCCCATCCGCCCCACCTCCACATACCAGACCCAGAACCAGCCCCCAGCTCCTCTGCTCTAATCCAACCCCAATCTCACCAGCTGCAGCCCCCCCCCCCCCCCCAGCGCTGGGTCAGTCTCCCCAAAAGGTCTCACAAACCACTTCATGTTCATTTTTCTCACTTCGTTTCCGCTCCAATGGGTCGCTGGGGAGCCTGGGGGGTCTGGGATGGAATCTCTGCACCCCACATAGACAGAGGGGTCTGCCCCTGTTTGCTCAGCCCTGCATCAGGTCCTGGGTGGAGACTGGGCAAGGGCCACAGGGTGCAGGGCTGGGAGCCCCTATGCTTGTGTCTAGCACAGATGCCCCATATCACCTGAGCCCAGGCACCTGCCTCAGTGTCCCTGTCTGTGAAATGGGGGAGTCTGTAGGAGCTAGGCTCTGAGGAGGTGGAAACGCTGAATTGGAGCCGGCCAGAGCCCAATGGTGCTTTCAGAGCCCGGGATGCTCCAAGGCATCAAGGTCCGAGGCGGCTCCCGGGGCTGGGGCAGGGCAGAGCAGATCAGCGATTCCATAGAATGGCCGGAGGGGCCCCCAGCCTGAGCGCCCCCTTCGCCCCCCAACAGCTGGACCCTTCCCCGGAGCCTCCAGCGCTCCTTGCTGCTGAGGGGGTTCCCAGCCCTCCGAGTTGGGGCTGGAACACCCGGGGAGGGGGTGCAGATTTCGGGGGTGCAGAGTCGGGGGGGGTGCAGAGTCGGGGGGGTGCAGAGTAGAGGGGTCGGGGGGTGCAGAGCCAGGGGGTCGCAGAGCCGGGGGGTCGCAGAGCCGGGGGGCCGGCGAGGGGTGCAGAGTCGGGGGGTGCAAGGGACGGGGGCCGCCAGACCAGCTCCACGCAGCCGCTGGGAGTTCAAAACCCAGCCAAACCCCCGAGCGAAGGGGCAGCAAATCGCCGGGGGGTTCAGGGAAGCCCGCTCCGGTCTGGGAACAAGCTGCAGGCGGGTCCAGGCCGGTCACCCCCGACTCGGGGGACGGACTGGGAACAGCCCCCTCCACCCCGCGGGAGGGGCGGTGGGGGTCCAGCCGCTCGGGATCCAGCTCCAAAGGTCTCGCTGCCGGGCAGCCCCCCCGGAGAGCGACCCCGGTCTCCCAATTCGCTCCCCCTTGTACCTGGACGGCTCCGGCCCCTGGACTCGCCCTGCAAAGCACCCGGGCCCCGGGCCCCAGCCGCGCCAGGGACAAGCCGCCAGGGGCCGGGTTAATGGGTAACGGGGAGCGGGGAGGGGGGCAAAGCACCCGGCTTAGCGAGGGCGGGACCAGCCCCAGGAGCGGGGCGCCCCCGGGGGTCCCCGGGCCGGGCGCCCCTTACCTGGCTCATGAGCCGGTCGGCCCCCGTGTTCTCCTCGTCCTTGAAGATGATGTCGGGGTTGTAGTTGGGCACCAGGTCCCTGAAGCGCTCGGCGCGGCGCCCCAGCCGGCCCTCGGCCCGCCCGCTCGCAGCCAGGGTCTGCTCGGGCACGCTGGGCACGAACTGCTTGTAGCGCAGCGGGACCAGGTGTCTCCGGGCCTGTCGCCTGCGCCCCGGCGGGCCCCGGCCCGGCCCGCAGCCCCGGCCCGGCGGCAGCAGGCAGCAGGCCAGGCAGAGCAGGCTGAGCGCCAGCGGGCCGTGCCAGGGCATCGCGGGGTCTGGCCGACGGCTCAGCTGCCTCCCGCGGCTCCGGGGTCCCGCATCGGTGCGGAGCCAGGTACCCCCGACCGCCCCGGGGCCCCCCCGGGCGCTGCCAGCCCGTAGCGCCCGGGGACCGCTCCTGGCACCGCTGCCCTAGGGCCCGGGGACCGCTCCTGGCACCGCTGCCCTAGGGCCCGGGGACCCCTCCTGGCACCGCTGCCCTAGGGCCCGGGGACCGCTCCTGGCACCGCTGCCCCTAGGGCCCGGGGACCCCTCCTGGCACCGCTGCCCTAGGGCCCGGGGACCCCTCCTGGCACCGCCATGCCCAGGTACCCTGGGTGCTCGGCTGCGCCCTCTGCTGCGGGGACCCTTGGGTGCCAGCCGCGCGCCCCGGGCAACGTCCCCCTGCTGCTGCCAGGCACTGGGCAGCCCCGCCGGGTCTTTCGCTGCTGCTGCCCCTGCCAGGCTACCGGCTCCGCCTTTAAGAGTCCGTCCCCCGGGAGCGGCGGCCACATCCCCCCGGTGCCGCCCCCGCGGAGCCCGGGCCAGCGGTCACTGGCGCGCCCTGCACCCAGCACCCAGCACCCAGCGCGCGTCCCCGCGTAACCTCTTCTTGTGCTCCCGCGCGTAACCCCTCTGGATCCTGCATGCGCGTCCTCGCGCACTACCAGCCTTGGTGCGCCTGAGCGCGCTCCCGCCCTTTCACCTGCGGCGCGCCCCACCTGGCCCCAGCGGGAACGCGGCTCTGCCCTTCTCCGAAGCGCGCTCCTGACAGGTGTCCTTACCCGTGTCACAGTGGGGCCCAGCGCACCCCCATTACCGGCCCCCCAAGCCCTTATCGCACCCCACTCCCTGCACCCCCGAGTCTTCCACCCCCCACTGCACCCTCCTCCCCTTCTCAGCACCCCAGCCCATGCCCCCCCTTCCCTCTTCCCACCCCAGTGCGTTTCCTTCCCCCCTTCTCGCTCCCCAGGTCCCCAGCCCCCCTTTGCACCTCGTCTCCTGCACCCCCTCCCCTCCGGAGCACAGTCCGCAGCAGGCTCCTACGGGTCAGTGTAAACCCACCTCTGGTCTCCCAGGGGTTGCCTGCACCCAGGGAGGGGGAGCTCGGGTGCCCCCATTGCAGGAGATCTAGGCCCCCCCCATCCCAGCCAGAAGGGTTAAAGAGCCTAATTCCCAGGGGGAAAGTGGCCTCCCCTACTGAGCTGGGGTCCCCCTCCCGCACAGGGCTATAGCCCCCCACGCCGGGGCCAGTCCCTCTCGTGGGGGGGGGGGTGTCAGGTGAGAATTTAGCCTGGGAGCAGGGGGCCCTCAACCGCCGGCGCTCTCCTCTGGAGCCGCTGGTTCCGGCCACTGTCGGGAGACCCGGGGAGATGGGCCCTGGTCCGAGCCAGCCTGGCCTGCCCCGCCCCAGGGCGTGTCCCCCCGTCTCCCCCGCACCCCGACATCCAGCACCTGCCTCGCCCGGCAGGCATATTCCTGGCGGCGTCCTCACAGGCCACCCGACGCAGTGGGGATCCCCCCACGAAGGCTCACGCTCCAATACCCCCCTTAGTCTATCCGGTGCCACAGGACTGGAACTCCTGGAGACCCCAGGACAATCCTGGAGGGTTGGCAACCCTCCTCCCCCAGGGGGTCCCTGCTGGAGTCGTCGGCCAGGCCCCAGGAGCGGGGGAGGTGCAGCTTCCAGGGTGGGGGCCCCAAAAATTCAGCAGCCACTTTTGAAAACTGCAGATCCCCCCCCCGCGGGCGGGGGTCGGGGCTCGTCCTGCAGCAGCATTTCCGGCTCTGGCCAGCGGAGGGCAGGCTCCTCTCATCCTAATTTGCCTTTTGTTGCAGTTCAGAGGACCCAAAGTTGAATAAATTCACCACGAAAGGGGAAGAGCCTAGAGCGACCTCTGCCCTCCCCTGGGCCGGGCACCCGGGCTCCCAGCCCCTGCCAGGGCACCCACGCTCCCAGCCGGATCTGTGCCCCAGGGCCCTCCCCCCGCAGGTCCCCAGGGTCACTTGGGCACCTACCAAGCAGGTTGGAGGTCCAAGGCCCGGTGGGGGGGGCGGGGGCCCAGCTCTGAGCAGGCTGAGCCAGCTCCCCCCAGTGCCATGGCCCCCAGGTGGGAGACGCAGGCTGGGGCAGGTGCACCGAGCAGCGCCCACTGGCGGGTGGATCGGTGCCAGGCCGGGGCGGCTGGGAGAAGAGCATGTTCCAGGGAAGCCGGGCAGCCATGGCCACATTTCCTGCAATATACACCCAGCTTCCTGATCAGCCCCTGTAAAAACAGGAGAGGTTGGGCAGGGCAGGGAAGAGACAGCAAACTCCCAGCTGTGATAGCCAGGCCAGGCTGGTTCCCAGCCCCCTGCGGCCGCTCCCCCCATCCGGAGAGCCGGGGCAGGATGGGTGGGAAGGTTTGGCACTAGGGCAGTTTCCTCTGTGCTCGGAGTGACAAACACCCCATGAAACTGGGCTTGCGGCCGGAGGCATCGCTGCCCCCTCACACAACCTCCCCCCCCCAATATAGGGTGTTGTGAAGGCAAAGGTTATGATGGGGTTCAAAAGAGAACTAGATCAGTTCCTGGAGGACAGGTCCATCATTGGCTATTAGCCAGGCTGGGCAGGGATGGTGGCCCTAGCTTCTGTTTGCCAGAGATTGGGAATGGGCGAGGGGGTGGATCACTTGAGGATTCCCTGTTTTGTTCGTTCCCTCGGGAGCCCCGGCCCTGGCCACTGTCGGCAGACAGGACACTGGGCAGGATGGACCTTAGGTTTGACCCCCTCCGATGTTCAAAAGGCGCACGGGGCTAGGGACCCAAGAGGCCTATAGAGCAGACTGGAGCTGGGCTGAAAGGTGAACAAGTCATCGTCCATGGCACCCCTGGCTCCCTTCCCCCCTGCAGTCCTGACCCACAGCCCCCCTTGGTCTCCCTTCCCCCACAGCTCTGTTGCTGCCCCTCAATCCCAACCTAGAGCCCCGAAGCTCCCAGTGACAGATTGCCTGCCCCCCTTCTCAGCTAGCCTGGGCCCCCTCTGGCCCATAGAACCCTGCAGGGACTCTCTCTATGGGCACCGGGGTGGGGGGGGGCAGGGAAAAGGGGCCCCTGAAAGCCAGGAGCCCACCCAGCAGCCCAGCCCTCACCTTTGCGCTGACTCTGTTTCTACTGCCTCGCCCAGGGCTGGGGGGAGGGTGGAAGAGGCTCGTTCGCTACAGCCAGGAAAATGGGTAATTATACCCAAAAGCAAAGGGGGAGTCAGACAGGGTGTGGCACCTTCCAGGATGGGGTGGGGGGAGGAGGGAAGCTGAGTGTATATTCACACACCCATTTGGATACGCCGGAGAGCAGAGCCTGCTCCTGCTGCAGCAGTCCCAGCTTCCCCCAACAGCCCAAGCAGGCCCAGAGTTGGGTGGGTGCAGTTTTGCACATGCCCCAGCACCTGGGGGAGGAACAAGTTGTGCCCAGCTCCAGCAGCAGGAAACCAAGGGGCAGGCACAGGGGTGTCCAGGTGCAGAGGCGGGTGTGTGCGGGCCCGCACAGCACTCCAGGAGCTGGGAAGCACATTTCCCATCAGGAATTTCAACAGACAGAGCTGGTGTCTCGTAAGCCACTAGCCTCCGACCATGTATTAAAAGACACTTTTTATTATTTAAATAAAAAACACACAGCAGTTGACAGCTGATCCGCACTGTCACTATCAGCTGACAGCGCAGAGACCTGACACACTCATTAGACAAAGCAAAGCTTGCCCTAGGCTCCCATGCTTCAGGGCAGGAACACAGCAGGAAGGACTGGAGATCCTGGCCCACACCCCTTTCAGCTTTGTCCCCCCACCCCAATGCTAATCCCCGGGGGGGGGGGATTGACATTTACAGCCTCCCCCCGCACACACAAATACATTCTCCCCCCCCCCCCCCAACTCCTCCCCCTCAGAGGCAGGATCAGGCACCAGGTGCTGGCTAAGGGGTGTCTGTAGCCAGAGCTCCTCCCCCTACAACCCAGGGTGAGAAACAGAAACCCCCAGGTGTTTGAATGACAAACCCCCCCCCCCCCCCCCACACACACACACACCCCCACTGACACCTCCCTGGGTCCCTGCCCCACCTGGGAGCCCTGCTCAGTTGAAGGCTGTCCTAAGTCACTTAGTGTCAGAGAGACAGGAGCAGCCTGGGGCTAAGGGGGGCAGGCAGACAGAGCAGGGAGGGGCTGAGCTCACTGGGTGAGGGGAGTGGGGAGGGTCTCAGAGCGGGGGGGGGGGTCTTTCACCCATAAAACATCAGGGCAGCAGCTGTTCAAAAAAAAATAAAAATAAAAAATGCCCACACAGAAAACGCAGCCAGCGAAGCAGACGAATGCGCGGCCCATGGCCGCCTAGTGTGCTTGAGTGAGGTATGTAACCGTGGCGCCGGGGGGTCTGCACGGGGCAGGGCTGGGCCCTGGGGGGCTCGGGGCAACAACTCTAGTGAGGCAGCTTCTAAAGCCCCCGCTCCCCGCAGCGGCCCCTGCTGGGAGAGGCTGGGACTGGACTTGCAGGGAGCTGCCCCCACAGCCAGTGCCCTGCCCCCCACAGCGCCCCCTGCTGGCCAACAGCTCCCATTATAGTCCCGGACATCTTCCTGCAGGGTGCCTGGAGCTGCCTTCCCCCCCCAGGAGGCTGCAGCAGTGGGGGGAGGACTGAAGGGGGGGGAGGGGAACGGCTCAGCAGCAGTCCCAGCAGAGAGTTCTCCTGTCTCCCCCGCTGGGGATCGAATGGAGGGGAGGCGGGGGGGCCTCGATCCGCCCCATCCCAGCATCCGCACCACAGGAGGATACCGGCCCCTTCTCGCCAGCAGACCATTGGGCGGAAGCAGACGAGGGCGGAGTCAGCCAGGCCCCGCCCCTTCGGCTCAGAATGCAGGAGACACATAAATCCATCGAGTCAGGGCGGGGGCTGCCCCCCGCCCCACGGCCTGGAGGGGCCGCAGCAGCCCCCATTTCCCAGTCGTTGGCTGGGGCCAGACTCGTCCTAGCAGAGCTTGCTGGGCTGGCGGGTGCGCGTCACGGGCAGGGGCAGCTTGTGCAAACCTGGCCAGGGGAGACACCGGTTAGGGGCCATGGTGACATTTCCCCTCCATGTCCATCCCCCTGCTGGCAGCCTGGGCTGGGGCCAGGGGCCCATTCACCCACAGGCCTGGCTCACCGGCAAATCGCCTCCCCCAGGGCCCTGCAGGCCTGTGACACGGACACACCAGGCTCCCTGGCCCGGGGACCAGCTCCCCCCACGGGTGCAGGCGGCAGGCCCAGGACTCACCGAAGGCTCGGATGAGCTCGGCCCGCACGGCCCACGTAAACTTCTTCACCAGGCATAGTGTGGTGAGGGCAGCGAAGAGCATGTTGTAGAGGAAAACAATGTAGAAATTCCCCAGCCAGTTAAACCTGCCAAAGTCGCCCAGGAGGTCAAACCGCGTGATTCCTGCAAGAGAGAGAGGCTGAGCGCTCCCCTCAGTGGGGCCGGACCCCACTGTACCTCCCCCTGCAGCCCCAGGCCTGGGCTCCCCCAACACCCCCCTTCCTGACCCACAGCCCCTTGTTATTCCAGCCATGCCTCTGCCCCTCAATCCCAACCTACAGCCCCTAAGCGGCTGCTCCAGAGCTCCAGCCCCTGGCCAACGGGATGGGCCTCCAGGATAGGGCAGTTCTGCTGGCCCAGTCCAGGGGTGCGTGTGCGTATCGGGAGCCACTCAGTTCCGCCCCAGGGGCGCGCGGTTCCCCAGAGCCCAGCGTGGCCGCAGGAGACTCACCCAGCGTTCTGGAGAAGACGGGCAGCGCGGAGCTGAGGACCAGCAGGGACACACAGTTCCCAATGATCTGAGCGGAGGGGGAAGAGACAGGCCTTGAACCTGGGAGCCAGACTCCCCCCCCCCCCACCACGTGTGGGCACAGGACCCCTCCCGCCCCCCAGAACACCGCCACAACTCCGTATCTGCCACCCAGCGAGCCACAAGACACCTGCGGGCCCCTCTGGCCAGGATCAGCGGCCCCACCCCTGGAATTAGGGAACCAAGATCCCCAGCTGGACTCTGGCTCTGGGGCAGGCTGGGGGCTCCCGCTCAGCATCCATGTCTAACTGGGGGGCATCTGACGGGGCAGCTCACAGCTAGGCTTCTCCCCATCCAGCCTGGCGCCGGAGCCATGGCGCCCTCGTGTGGCGAGATGATGCAATGCAACCGCCCCCAGGGCTGGGAATAGAACCCAGGCGTCCTGAGTGCAGCCTTGGTGCTGGGCCCACCACACCGTGGTCCCTAGTGGCTCCATGCGGGTAGTAAGCGGCTCTGGCTGCATGGAGGCAGGGGGCACTTGGTGGCGGAGGGGCAGATACCACTTACCTTGGTCATGGGGGTATCCTGCCTCACGGGGAGCAGCCTCATGAACAGGGGGGAGCTGTAGAAGCCCACAACGGAGGAGACCATCAGATAGCTGAGTCCAGGGGTTAAGGAGGAATAATGGAGTGGGGGGGTGGAATCTGTTGGGCCCAGGGAGCTGATGCAGGGACTGGGATGGGGGCACGGCACCCAGAGGGGCAGGGAAGGGGGGACTGGGCTAGCAAACCCAGGCCCTGCCCCAGAGAGAGCAGCCCCCCTGCAGGGATCAGACGGAGGGGCTGGGGCTGCACATCCCAAGGATACAAGATGAGAACCACCTGCAGGGCGGCGCCAAAGGACCCAAAGATGGAGAAGGAGACCTGCCCCAGGGGTGCGTCCTGCAGGGAGAGAGAGCAGAGAAGAGGGTCGGTGTGGGGGGCAGATTGGAGCAGGAACCGATCAGCCAGCTCTGGGCTCATGTCCCAGGATGTCCCAGAGCCCCTTCACGCTGTCACCTGGTGAGCACTTCCCCCCGCATGGATCCAGGGGGCAGGCACAGACCATGCAGTGCAGGGTGAACCCCCAGACCTGGAGAGGCCCGGTAGGGGGCTAGATAGCTGGGTCTCCCCATTGCTGATGGTGCGTCTATTGGGAGCTGGGCTGAGACCCAGCAAACTCGTCCCATGCATGGGCCCATGGCAGAGCGGGAAGGGTTAAACTCAGCTCAGACCCCCCACCGCGGTACCTGAATCCCCCGCGGCATCGCGGCATCATCCAGCAGCAGCTCCAGCGTGTGAAAACAGACGACGAGCACAGAGATGGCCTGGGAAAGACCAGAAGGGAGATCAGTGCGGCCTCCTCCCCGCACCCTTGGGGGTCCTTCCCCAGGGAGCTTCACAGAGAATAACCCCCCCATCCCCAACAAGCAGGGAAACTGAGGCACAGACATCAGGCAGGCCCCCCAGCACCTACCGTCAGCGCCAGGAGGCACAGCATGGCCAGGGGGTAGCCCAGATTCCGCTGCCAGGGCGAGACACAGCGCCGCAGCTCTGCCGGGAAGCACAGGACACGCCCCGGGTGAGCAAGTGGTCAAGCCTCCCCCACCTGCCCCCTTGACGCTGCCCCCCTCACCCAGATCAGAGCATCCAGCTGATCTCGCCGCCCAGCAAGCGGGGAGTGAACCCAGGAGTCCCACTCCACCCCCCGCCTGCCCCGAGCTCTCTGTCTCCCCAGCCCCGCTCCTTACCCAGCGCCAGTCTCCGGCTCTGGATGGCCAGGAACTGCTCCTGGAGCATGGCCGCGCTCAAGTTCAGCCAGCAGGAGGTGGGACCTGCAGAAGGAGAGAGTCCTGAGGGGTGAACTGGGGGATGGGGGGGGCTGAGCCCCTCCGGGAAGGGGCCCGTTGGAGTGAGCCAGGATCGCGCCCCTGCAGCACCCGGGGCGGGGCATGGGGGACACACTCACTGGCAGAGATCTTGCGGGAGAGGGCGGCTTCCTCGAACCTTGTGCAGTTCAGCTGCTCGTCCAGATCCTCCAGCAGCTGCAGGGGGGACGACAGAGGGAGAGCACGGCGCCCGGAGAGCAACACCCCATCCCTCCCCCACGGTGGGCTCGACCCCAGCAAACAAGGGGTTAACCTCTCCACCCAGCGTCCCCCGGTGGGGGCGGGGGCGCAGGAGATGGGGCGAGGGCGGGGCAGGAACAGGGAGCCTTACCCTGGGCTTGACCAGCAGCTTCCCGGTGACGGTGAACATGCGGGAGAGGCCGACAGGCGTGCACACTGCAGGGGGGCAGAGAGCACAGGAGGAGGGTGATTTAACTGGGAATTGGTCCTGCTTCGAGCAGGGGGTTGGACTAGATGACCTTCTGGGGTCCCTTCCAACCCTTATATTCTATGAGGGTGAGAACAGGTACCGGCCCCCCCTTCTATTGGCAAAAGGAACCAAAGGGATCCGGCCCTTTCTGTGTCTGCCAGTGGGGCGGGTTCAAGCCTGGGGCCTTCATGGTCTCGGCACCCAGAGCTGGAGAGGTCCCTGCCCTGAAATCAGCCCCCCTCCCGCAGTTCTTTTCCGAACCCGCATCGGGCTCCGAGAGCAGCGGGAGACACCTCTGATGAACACAGGCGCTCAGTTCTGTGGCCATGAGGCGTGGCAGGGTGTCCGGGGGGGGGGGGGGGGGGCACACTGCCCCCCCAGGAGCAGGCCTGGCTAGAGTGCATGCTCCACCCTGTGGGTACCTGGCCTGGCATCAGCCCGTCCGTCAGGGAGACCCCGGCACCACCCAAAAGGGATTGGTCAGGAAAATCCACCAACAGGTTATCCAGGGCGGGGGGGGCGGGGAGGAAGATCCTGAATTCCAGCCCCTGCATTCAGACTTTTCCGGACCAGAGCCAGCTCGGAAGCTCCTGGAAAATGTCCACCAGACCAAGCAGGAGACGCACGGATCAGGGCTGGAGGCAGAGTCTGGCTACAGAGGCTTGCATGGGCACTTTGTTTGGAGGAAGGGACAGACTCCACCCCGAAAAAGCTCCCAGTCTTACTACGCAAGCCCCATTTCATCAGAGACTCCCCCCAGGTCACCCGAGCAGTCTGTGTCACACAGGAACGGAAGCCAGGAACCATACGGCCAGCCTGCCCCCTTGCATTTGTTCAGGGGAGGGCTGGAAACTCGGCTTGGACCCCACAGATCCCCCCTCAGCCCCCAAAGAAATCAAACCATCCACTTACACAGCAGCAGCAGCCCCCCAAAGAGTGAGATGCAGGAGTAGAGGTAGGGTAGGTAGTATTCCCACAGGTCTGTGGAGAGGAGAGGGTTAACATTACACACCCAGGCTGGGGTAAGCCATGGGGCCCAGAAGACCCTCGGTGCCAGGGCTGGGCAGGGGGCCGGGAATGGGAGTCCTTGGCACTCAGCAGGAGATGGTCACTCCCACCGGAGCAGGGTATGGGTGGGCTGGGGGGGAGGACATTAACTAGCACGTCTGATAAGGCTTGTCACCCCAGAGCATCACAGCAAGGGGGGTTGGGTACCAATCACCCCACTGTGCAGATAGGGGAACTGAGGCATGGGGCAAGGCAGAGTTTTGCCCCCCTCATAACAAGCCACTGGCAGAGATGAAAAATTCAACCCAGGAGTCTGGACCCTAGCCCCTGGACCACACTCCCTTTTCCCAGAGTTGGGAAGAGAACCCAGGAGTCCTGTCCCTCCGTCTGAGAGCATGCAACCCCCCTCCCACCATCACTGCCCCGCCCCGTGGGGAGCTCGCGCTGCCCGGCCACTCGCCGTAGAGGGATTCCTGGCTGCCCGTGTCCTCGTCCACAATGGCTGACGCCACCCAGACCATTCCCAGCACCAGCAGGGTCAGCAGCAGCAGCTCCACGAAGGTCTCGTAGACTCGGGCCAGGATGCCCTGCCGGGGGGGGGGGGAGGGGAGAATTTAACACGGCGTGGGTGGCACCAAGGGCAGCGGGGGAGACAGACCCGGCAGCTGGTACCTTCTTGGATCCCGCGAAGCCCTCGGCCTCAGTGAAGAAATACGCGAAGGGCATGAGGAAGACCAGGGAGAGGTTGGAGAAGAGGAAGACCAGGTTCCAGAGGCCTGGAGAGAGACGGACAGGTGAGCCCCCCCGAGCCCAGCCCCCCGGGCCATGCCCGGGCTGGCGGGACGGGGCAGGGCGGGGCGGGGCAGGCGCTCACCGTGGATCAGCGAGCCGTTCAGCCACTGGATGTAGTCGTTGTGCGGGAAGAGCAGCAGAACCTCGTTGGCGAGGATGGAGAAGGGCACCAGCAGCAGGGCGCCCAGCGAGACGGCCAGCGTGAAGGTACACAGCGACAGCCTGCGGGGGGCAAGCATGAGCTTGGCTCCTCCACCCCTTCCCCAGCCAGCCTCCCGAACGGCCCCCAGGGCGCAGGGCAAAGCCAGCGGGGCGCGAGGGGACCCGCCGTGGCTGGAATGTGAGCGGGCAGCACCCAGGGGTGAGTGCCGGCCGCGCCTCGCCCCGAGGCAGCCGGTGACGCGAGTTCTGCCCGGTCTCAGCGCGTGGAGCAGCTCAGCGAGACTCAAACCAGCACGTGCCTCGGGGAGAGACGTGTTAGCCGCTGCCCCCCCCAGAGCTGGGGAGAGAACGCAGGAGTCCTGAGCCCCATCGCCCTGCTCAACCTGCAATCCTCAAACCTGCCCTGTCCCAGCACGCTGGGGGGGGAAATGCGTCAATACGGGAAGGGGCGAAGGACAGCCAGGAGCTTACGCAATTCTGTCGACAGCGGCATCCTCGTCATCCTCAACTGCAGAGAGATGGGGGAGAAAAGCCGTTAGCTCAGCAGAGACCCTCACGCTCGTTACACCTCACGGGACAGAGTCGGGGAAGCTTCGGCCAAGAGCCACAACAAGGTTTTGTGGCATAGGTGGGGCAGGAGGTTTCATGGCCCGGGGGTTGCCAGGCCGGGACTCAGCTCTGCTAGATTCCTGCAAGGCCCAGGGCGAAGCCCCTCTGCCCTCAGCTCTGACATGGGGAGAAGGGACCTCTGCCTCGCCTATGGGAAATGGGCACTGCTTGGGGGCAGGGTCTCTCTGCACCTGGTCACAGCAGGGGTCCCAGGTGATGCCAGAATACCCAGGCCAGCAGCTTGTCCCAGACAGATCCCTCCCTCGCTGCCCTGCAGCCGGATGTCCAGAATTATTCAGCCAATATTATGTGTTTTTAAGAGAATCCAGGTTTATGCTAAAGCGAGCCCATGGCCCCTGCATCTCTGTACCGAACCACATTAAAAACGGCGCGTAAGCTTTTGTTCTGGGGGCACGCAGAGAACTGTGCTGAGCTTTGTGACAATGATACAAACGGACAGAATTGTTGCTAAAAACTCAGCGCGGATTTCCAAGAGCCTTGTGCCCGGGAACTGAAGTACTAGGGTCAGAGGGCACCAAGGCATTTTGGGGAGTTTGTGCCCATGGTAGCAGGCTCAGGTGTGTGTGTAGACAGACACCTTGGCAGCACTGCACTGCTGGTTGTACCCCTGGCTCGGGGAAGATTTACACACACACACCCCGTATTTGTGCCAACTAATCTGGCTCACACTCGGTAAATCTGGTTGACTGGGATTATTTGACATTTTCTTAGTAAAGGAGGCGACCCTCCAAGCAGCGACTGGCACCCCCAGTAGGTTCAATCAAAGGAGTAACCTCAGGGACGGGAACGTGGGCTCATCGATTTCCATCCACGTGCCACACAGACGGGGGCATTGGTGACTGAGACAAGCCCGGGTGCCTACTGGTGTCTCCCCAAAGCAGGCTCCCCTGTGCTGCACCTAGCTGCCTGACACCCCCAGGGCCTGGCAGCCTGTCCAGCCCGGGCGCAGCCCCCACCCCGACCCCCAAGAATCATCCTGGGCTTGGATTTCTCAGAGTCAAAACAGAGACGGCCCAAGGCTGCGGGGGGCTGAGCGATGGGAAAAGGGGAAGGGGGGGGAAGTGACAAGACAGCACCGCCTAACAAAGGGCTCAGCAGCCCCCCTCCCCCATCTCCACTCCGCTTTCGCTCCCACCAAGCCGCCAGCAGCTCCCATCCGTATTCAGGTCACACGTCTCCTCTCCCTGTTCCCTGGCCAGCCCCGCCTGGCTCCGTGCCAAGCTGAATGCTCACAGCCAGTTCCCATCCCCTGACCCTCACCAACCCCCCAACCCCGGCAGCCGTTCCCCGCACCCCGGAACCCGTCCGTGCGGCAGGCGGCTCAGCGCCGGGCGTTTCAGCCCTGACACGGCACAGGGGTCGGCACCGTGGCCGCTGCAGGGCAGCGGTAAAAACTACAGAAATGCTGCACAAAACTGCGTGAAAGCGGCCCAGCGACGCAGTCAGAGCGTGGGGCAGCGAGGCTGCAACAGCCCGCTCGACTCTGTCCCCAGCTGCACCCCCAGTTCGCAACCCTGCTCCTGCTCCGGGGCTGGCTCTGCGTTTCCAAGGGCTTGTCTGCACAGGCAGATCTGGCCCCAAGCACCCCCAAAGCAGGGGCAGCGCACCGAAATGAAAGTGGGGCACTGTCACTCCCCACACTGGCGGTTTACATCAGCACAGGAATCCCCAAGGCAGGCCAGCCCCACAGGGCACCCAGAGTCCCTGGCTGAGGGTGGAATGCTCCCATCAGGAGAGCTATTCTGGGCAGAGTTTCCTCAGGGGTAGCAACTCCCATGGAAAAGAGCCAGCAAGCGCAGGGGGTGGGAGGGGCATTGGGGCAGCGCAGTGGGGAAGGGGAGCAGGGTACACAGGCATTGTCAGCACTGTAAGGCAACCCCCAGCCACTGCAATACCCCCTCCTCTCTCAGCCAAAGGTTTGAAGTCCTTTACAGACACCAGTTAAGCCTCACATCCTCTGTGCACAGCAGGTAAGGTATTGCTTCCCCCAGCCTGAAAAGCAGCCACCTCTGGGGTGGGGCACGGCCGCTGATTAACGGCCCACAGCATCGCTGCCCATCCTGCAGCCCACTGAAATGGCCGCAACAGGAGTCACATTCTGCCTCCCCAGATGTGGCATTTGGCCAGCGTGTCGGACACAAGACCCCGACTCTCCTGAAAAGGGTCCCGGGATCTCCACCGCCGGGCCAGGAGCTCGGTTTCACACCCTCCCACAGAGACCGGATTCGGCTCAGAGGGAAGCGCTCTCCTGACAGGATCTCCACCAGGTGTTTCCACCCTCACCAGACACGACAGAGAGCGGAGCTTTCACTCGACTGGGAAACGCACCATCCGGAAAGACGCAGATGGGGCTGGGAGACGACAGGACTCCGGACTCGCCTCAGCGTGAGTGGCTGTACCAGGCCACCTGAGACAGAAACCCAGGGGCCGTGTGTGTATTGTGCTGTGGGGGGGATCCCCTGGATTTCAGGCCAGATGCTTGGGCCCTGAGCCACCCAGGCTGGCTTATGGGGGCAAAGGAGCATAGTGGGGGGGGAGGATAAGACAGCAGGTGGCCAGAGGAGCCAGGGTCAACATGTGCATTGGCGGGGGGGAGGGGTTGGGGGGGGGAGAACCTATGGGTCAATTCTTATTGATGTATAGGCCTGCCACCAGGGCCTTGGTGAGAGCTGGGGTGCACACAGCACGGGGAGACGTGGGTCCCCTCCCAAGCCAGTGGGGAGCAGCCCAGGGACCCCCTGCCAGGCACGGTGGAAGCCAAGTCCTGGCCTCAGCACATGAGTCCCTGCCCACATGGGGGTCTGCGCCCCAGGGAACGCAGTGCATCGGGCCAGATCCATGGGTCCGCAGACCCTGCAGGGGAGCCGTGTGCAAGGGGGCCCCGTTGGCAGGGAATGCGCTACCCACCCCAACGCACAAGGCACAGCCAAGGACACCCATGGCACAAGCACCAGGCTGACCCTGCAGCGTGAGGATCCTCGCCACTGGGCTTCCCCCCAGGGAGCGGAGCTTCCGCTCCGAGCTGCGGGGGCGGCGGAGGGCAGAGGGGTCCCCCTTCCCGGCTCTCAACAGAGCCTGCAGCCCCCTCCCCCATTCTGTGCCCAGATGCCCCCTCGGCTCCTGCCCACCCCAGCTCACAGGATGCGGGGCAGCCTGGCTCCATCCCACGCAGCCCCCAGCATTGTGGGGGGACCCCCAGGGACGGGACGGGTTCGGCCTTTGGTAAGACAACTCCTGAGGGAGGGCAAGGACGGTGCGGGGTCAGGTGGAGGGGCCACCATGCGGCTCTCCTGCCACGGGCTCTGCCTAGGGGGCCTGGTGTTTCAGCCCCATCCCCCTGCTCCCCGCCCAGGCCCCCCAGCATCGGGCTCTGGGCTCGCTGCACAGCCCCGGGGAGGGGAGCGCCATGGTGACGACACCATGCAGCGCTTGGGAGATGCTGGTCTCTGAGCCCAGATCCCCGGGGGGGGGGGATGTTGCCCATGGCAACTGCAACACAGCAGCAATGTAAACAAACCAAGGGGGGCCCTCCCCAGCAGGACGGGGTCTCCCCTGGGGATGCACCAAACAGCACACAGCAAAGCTGCTGCAGGAGGTTTGGCCCCTGGCTCAAGCAGCCCCGGGGGGGGGCAGTGTGTGTGGGGGGGGAGCTGCTGGGGGCCCTGGAGTTGGAATTCAACAAGAGCCCCGTGCAGGGAGGGGGCAGCCAGAGCCAGGGGCCTGGCCAGAGCCAGGCCAGTCACCTGTGGCGAAGTCCGTGTGTTTCTTGAAGCGGGTTATGACGAAGTGGCTCAGGATATAGAGGCTGGCGAAGAGCAGCGTGCAGATCTGCAGAGAGGGAGGGAGGGAGGGTCAGAGGTGGCCCAGGCAGCTGGATCCCACCTGCCGTGCTCCCCATTCCCCCCTGCATCAATCCTCCCCTCCTCAACCCACCCCCACGCCCCCATTCGCTGCAGGGAAAGCGCTGACCCCCCGGGCAGGAATTCCAGCTCTGAGCTGTGGTGCCCCTCCCAGGAACAGCTCGCGCTGGGTGTCTCTCAGGGCAGCAGCCCCCTGCCTGCCGCCACACAATACCCAGTGCTGCACTGGGGGCAGGGTTTGTATACTGATTTCTGCCTGACCCCATGCCAGCTGGAAATGGGACGCCCTGAAGCCTGGAGGCCCTTGCAGGTTGCTCCTGCAGCGGAGCAGAAGGGGTGGGTGGGGGGATGACAACTCCAGTTTAAAGGTACCCTCCAATCCAGAGCTGCCAGCCTGGGGCTCTTTTCAGAAGTCTGGACCTGGACCCACAAGGGAATCTCCCTCGAAGCGGCCAGCCCCAGAGCCGTTCAGCCGCCCCCAGCACCAAGCCTTTGCACTGCGGACACGACCAGCACGGTGGCCCAGAAGCCCCACACATGCACACGTGACATGTTTCTGGGGCTCCTTTGGCTGAGAGGCTCAGGATGCCCCCAGGTTCATTGTCAGACTCTGCACCATGCTGGGCTCTATTCAGGTACGTCCCCGCCCTGCCGCTCCACAGCGTCCGTCGCCCGAAAATGACCCGCGAGGCCTGGCTGTGAGCTCAGCCCGTAACCTGCCCGTGTGGGTATTTGCTGCAGAGGGCAACAGGACAGGACAAGGCAGGGAGGGAGGGTATTGTGTTGGTGGGGTTTGCATTTTGCAGGGGCAATTGGAGCAGGGCATAGTGGGGGCAGAAAAATTTCAGGGCAAGCCAGAGAAATCAGTTTCTGAACAAACAGGGTACATTTTGGCCCGAGCCCACAAAGGTGTTTATGCTCCGAATTTGCGTCACCGGGGCCTGCCTAACCGCGACATGGCAGTCGGGCTGGCAGGCTGGCCATTCACGCTCACTGCTGGCATTCCTCTTTGCCGGGTCCAAGCCAGGCCATGCCAAGCAGGCCAGAAAACGTCTGGTGGCGGACGTCTGGCCACATGGAATGCCCCTGCTCTGTAATTTGCCCCTTCTTGGGCGATTCCGAGGGGTCCAGGGAAGCGTGGCCAGCCCCTGCCTGTGCTATACACGCAGCGGGGCCCGGTGCGGTCAGTCCCACCTGCCACCAGCACTAGAGCCTTTGCCGTGATTGGAAGGAAGCCGGCAGGCAGCACCGGGCACACGGCTCACCCGCCCCTGAGCCGCGCTCCGAGGTCCAAGCAGAGCAGGGCTACGTTTGAGAACACAAGGACCTTTGATCACTCGCAGCGTGTGTCAGACAGGCCGGGCACAAAGGTTGACCTGAACCCATCGGCTTCGTTGCATCAGCTCAAATTCATTACCCTTCCCACCCCCCAGCTCACGCCTGTCCCTCCCCGCCAGGTCTGTTTCTGAGCCCTGCCTCGAGAAGGGCCGACTGCCCGGGCTCGCCGGGAGAGTGCCGGCCGACTCCCACTGCACTCTGGATCGTGCCCTAGCAGGCATGGAGACTCCCTGGACACCGGCACAGCCCGAGCCCCTCCAGAAGCAGCACGCCCCGCTGGCAGGCAGCCCCTCCTAGAGCCACAGGGCAAAATAAAACCCCAGCTACAGAAGAGGCCAACCGCTGCAAAGCGCTCAGCGGCTTGAGAAAACCCAGGTCGGGTCCAAGGATGGCCGGTTCTGCTTCCCCGGGCCAAGGGAACGCCCCTGCAGAGAGGCCGCAGCGGCTGCAGTGCCAACGAGCTGGTCTCGGGGGCTGCACCCATCAGGGGTCCCAGCCTGGAGCTCATAGCAGCCGCCAGCCGCCCAGCCATTCAGGTTTGGGTGGTTGAAATTTAGGGCTAAGAACTGGCCCAGGGTTAACTCCTCGAAGACCGCACCCGCCTGAAAGCTCGGGGCCACGCCGATCCTGACGTGCTTCTAGTAGGTCAGCGCTGGAAGCTGGCAGAGACGGATTTGACCCCTCTCTTGCTGCTGGGAGCCAGCCAGCACCTCCAGCAGGGAGCAGGTGGGGGAAGGCCCTGCAGGTCCTGCAGCCCAGCCCTACCCAGGATCCTTCGGACACAGGGGTTCAGAAATTAAAGGGTGGCCAGTTCAACACATACAAAGGAAATCTGTTAAACACACAATACTTGATTAGCCTGTGGAACTCCCTGCCACAGGATTTAGCAGAATTCAAACAGGGACTGGACAGCTGCACGGACAGCCAACCTACCCAGTGTTAGACCATCAGTGCCAACAGCTTCAGGGAAGGGACGAGAAATTCATCCCAGGAGAGCAGAGAACTCTCCCTCCTCTCTAGTGCGGGTCTGAGCAGCGGTGAGAGGAGCTTAGCTAGCAGGGAGCTGCTAGAGCCCTGGGCACAGTCTGGCTCCTGAGCCCACACAGGACGGCTCAAGGGTCCAGCCAGCAGGGTGGTTCGGATGCAGCACGGGGGGCTCAGGCTGGGGGCCTTCTGGAGGGCTGGAAGGGGCCTGCTGGGCCTCAGCTTCCTGGCCTAGCCCCTCTCCGGGTCAATGGATCCTGAAAGGAGAGCTGTCCAGGGTCCCCCTTCTGCCCCAGTTCAGCCCCCCGGGAGGATCCCTCGGCCCCTAGCCCTGCTCGAGGGGAAGCAGCAATCCCAGCTCCGCAGCAATTCCCCTGCCACCCCAGCGGGGCATCACGCCATGCCAGAGAGCGAGCGAGCGCAGCCAGCGGGGAATAAAGGGCAGCAGCCTGCAGCTCCCAGATGCAGCCGCAAGTGCTGAAGGGCTGTGACCTCGGTTCTCAGCAGCACCTCCCCTCCCCGACACCCACGCACCCTGCAGGGAGCTAACGCTCTGCGTGGCTCTTTATACCCCCCTCAGGGACCGGTAGGCACGGACACCCCAGGCCCCATTCCCCTCACTGCAGGCCATGTCAGCCCCTAGCCTTAGGGCCGGTACACGCATTGGCCTGCATGCCCCTAGCCCTTCTTCTACTGGCAGAGGGAGTGGGGGACCCAGGTAAGTCTTTTCCAGCTTGGAATTCCAGGGACGCCAGGCAGGAAAGGAATTAATGGGGTTTCTGTGACGGGAGCAGCGGGGATGCAGGGAAATAAAAGCCATTTGCAAATCCACCAACACTCCCGGAGCTTTCAGCACCATCCAGACTTGCCCCGACCCCCCCGCCGCATGCCTTAGCACCCCCGGGGCGATGGGGTCAGTAGGACTCCTCGATGTGCGACAGGGCTGGAGAGGGGCAGAGCCTGAGCGCGACTGCCATTCAGCAGCTCCCGCGCACCACGGCGACCACACGGGGCCACAAGGGCTCCCCCTCTGCCCCCACCCAGTGAGCACAGACCCTGGTCAAAGCTGCTGAATGATCCGGGGGGTCCCCCAGCCTACAGCCCCGGGAGAAAGGGCTAAGCAGAGACACTTGGTGCATGGCACCTGCGTTCCCGGCAGGGTTAGCTCCGCTGGCACCGACCTGCTAAGTCTTAGGCAGGGCACAGCGTGTGCACTGGAAGGTCAAGTTAGCGCCCCGTCGCTGTGCCAAGCGAAGGAGTTTGCGCTGCCCCAGCAACAGAGCCAGGCAGGGCTCTGCTTGGGCGGGGCGGTGGGGAGGGGACAGGAAGGGTTGAGCGGGTCCTGGACTCTGTCTTCCCCCTCCCTCCCTGCCACGGGCCCCAGGCCAGGGCGAACAGAGCAGTGCTCCTTCCTCCAGGGATCGTGGGCAATCCCAGCCGGTTCTCCACCCCCACGCCCCACCCAGGGCAGCAGAGCAGCATCCTCATCCCCTTCCCACACAGGCGAGTGACTCAACCAAGTCATCACGGTGAGTCAGTGGCAGAGCAGAGAAACCAGAACCCAGGGATCCTGAAGCCACTGCCCTGCTTTAGCTGCCAGGCCTGCCCAACCCTTTGGGCCCCCCCAAGCAACCAGCCCCCACGACTCCATGAATGGTTGTGCCCACCACAGAACCTGGCGGCTCCCACTAGCGCGACCTTCAACAGCCGGCCACCAACGCTCCTCTTCGGGGGACCCGCCATTGACAGGAGCCAGCGTCACCTCGTGGCTACAGCAAGAGATAAGCAAGCCAGGACTCCTGGGTTCTCTTCCCCAGACAGGGAGCATGGCCTAGGCGTTACAGGAGGGGACAGGCAGCCAGGACTCCTGGGTTCTCGACTCCCTGCAGCATTGGGTGTTCTGTGCCCCCTGTCCCCTCTCGCTGACACCAACCCACCTGCGCCTGGAGGTGCTTCAGTCTTAATAAAGAGACATTATTTTACCAACCTGGTGGGGGGGGGGGGGGAGCCCGCTGAATAGCGCCCCTCCCCCATGGAGCAGCAGCCATGTGGACCTCCCAGTCCAACGGGAGGGGCTCAGGCGCTGGCTACGTGCAGACAGATCCGCCAGAACAGGCTGGGAAAGTCTTCAGCCCTGAACCCTTTAACTGATGTCAATTCAGCAGGAAAAACAAACCCAGCTGCTTCCCTCCCGCTCCCCCTCGCCTGCCAAGCAGGATAGCCGGGCCCTGGTGTGCCAGCTGCCCGCCTCTGGGCCCTCAGCTCCGGTTTCTCTGGCACAGCTCGCAGTGCGGGGTTGGCTCGGGAGCAGAGTTTGCCTTGCTCCAAGCACTGGGCTGTTTCAGACCAGCTGACCCAAGGGCCTCCACTCGGGAAGGCCCCCTCCAAGCCACCCAATGCACCATGTGGGGCTGGGGGTGGGGGGTACAAATGCCAGGAGCCAGGATTCCTGCAAGACTGAGCCCTGGGGTAACAGAGGGCTGCCATCTGAAACCAAGGCTCCCCACTCCCCAACACAGCTAGGGTCACAGCGTCGTCAGGACCCAAGTCAAGGGGCCGCCGAAGCTGGCAGAGGAGGGGCTAGAAACTGACGCTGGAGTCTCTGTGGGCTGGTTAGGACACAGATGGCAAAGGGTTCCAGCATGTTTTTTTCCCCCTGACCCCAGAGCCCTGCTGGCAAGAGGGCATGTTCCTACTCATGACTGCAGCTGGCCAGGGAGGCGGGGATCCTGCCAGGAGCGTCCAAATTCCCAAACAAACTGGCTACAATCTTGCTGAAAGCTATCACCTTGGTGCCAGCTGTACAAGCTGGTGCTGCTGCACTGTCCCGTGGAGAAGGGCTCCCAGGTGGCACTGCATGGTTTGCGGAGGGAGAATTCACCTGCCTAGATGTTTTCAGGTACCGGGGACAATACCCCGTGGAAGTCCAGTCTCTGTGCAGAAACGGTGCCCACAGGACATCCACTTACACTGCACAAGACCCAGCGAAGCAGATCATGGTCGCTGCTACCACACTTGAAACCCTGCTCAGAGGCTGGAGTCCCCTTGGACAAGGGTGAGGAATATCCAGCCACACAGGGATGGGTTAGATGCCCAGGGAGCAGAGGCATGTCCCAAAAAAAGTTTCTTGTTAGACCTCCCTGCTTTCTAGCTGACGCTGGGAAACCGAGCCACGGCTGGCATCAGGTGTCCAAACACAGCCCTCAGCTGATATTGTCGTGACGCAGCAGCACTGTGATCTGAACCCGAGTGCAGCCTGGTCCCCACTGACACGGGCCAACCGTGATATCTGACACGGGTGTCGGCCACGGGTGGCTCCCCTGATCCACCACAGGGCAGCCCTTCTTGGGCTGGGGGAAATGGCTTGGCAGACTCAGTAAGGGCGCAATCTTTAAAGGAAGCCACAGCTCAAGATGCCTCCAAGGGAGATAAGCAGAGCATGGGGAGAGGGAGAGGTGTCTAGCAGAGAGAATGGTCACAGAAGAGCAAGATGTCCAAAGCCGGGGGTAACGGCACAGGGCGGGGGCCAAGGCGAGTCCCAGTGACCACAGTAACTCAGACCCGAGCCTCACCTGGCTGCTTCTTTGCTCCTAGGGCTCCCAAAGGCTCCCCCTTTCTGTGGGGTGGGAGGGTGGCAACATGGAGGCTTGGGCAGTTTGACCCAAGGACTCTCAATGTCCCATCCCAACAGGCAGCATGTGCAGCTGTCGGGGTCCTGCCACGCCACACACCAGAAGCGGCTGCATGTCAGCAGGGCCAAAGCAGCAGCTCCTGCAGGCACCTCACACGCTGGTTCGGGGTGAAACACGTTACAAACCCAGACTGTGTTCGGCAGGGCACCAAAGCCGCGGGGGCTGGGGGGGGGCTGGAGGGAGGAAAAAGTTTTGTTTTTCTTGCTCCAACTCGAAGTCAGGCGCTTTCCCAGACCAGGCTGCATTCGCCTTGCACTTCCCAGCCCCTCTCCCAGCCCCACCAACACCGACCTGAGCCAGGGACTTGAACCCCTGGCGGGATTCAAGGGCCCTGGCCAGCACCCCCATGATTGCCACCCCAGGGCTCCACCAAGGCAGGACCCCTCGGACCCTCCATCCTCCCTATTCTGCCCAGCTCCCCCCACCCCAGGGCTTGACGCCCCCCCAATCACGTGCCCCGCCAGCAGCAGACGCGGACCACGGGGCTGGCCCTGCCTCTCCCGAGCCCATCCCCGTGGTATCGCCCCGCACCCTCTCAGGCCCCCGGTCCTCTAGCCCCACTCACCAGGCACTCCCGCACCCGCTCGTGGAACAGCTGCTCCCGCAGCCCCAGCACGTCGAGCTCCGCCGGCTCCATTCGCCGCCCCGCATGGCTGGGGGGCGCCTCCCGGCTCAGTCCGCGGCGGCCCGTCCGGCTGCGGCGGCCCCTTTAAGGCGCTGCCCGGCGCTGGCTACACTGTATCCGCGCGGGGCGCGCCGCGTTCCACTCTTAAAGGGCCAGCAGCCGCGGGCCAGGCCGGCGGGGCGCGGGGGCGGGGTGACGCCGGCCATGCGAAGGGCTCATTGGCTGCAGAAGGTTGAATCGGCCGCTGCTCATTGGCTGGGACGGGAGCTGTACCCGATAGGCCGAGCTCGCAGCTCCGCCCCCGCCCGAGGCTGGGCCCGGAGCAAGGATCAGGGCCCCGCTGGCTGCGAGCAGCGGCAGACTTGGGGGACGGTCCCAGAGACCAGGGGTGGGGCCCGTGTTTGGCCACGAACCCAGGAGAGCTGTGCCTCAGTTCCCCACTTTACCGTGGGGTGACCGCAGGTGGCTGGTACCTGGAGAGCGGATTTCCCTACACCCACCCTGGGGGACGTACACCCCCCAGCCCCTCCTCCCCCAGCTGTCAGCTAGGCATGGGTTTTCACTGGTGTGTCTGCTCCTGGGATGAGCCCCTGGGAAGCTGGAGGGGGGTGGGAGGCAGGCCCATTCGGTTGGTTTCATGACACCCTTTGGGGGCACATTTCACCAATGGGAAGGAGGGGGGTAAATTTCAGGCTTTGGCCTCATTCTATAAGAAATATAAATGGTTCTTAGCCACTGGCTTTGGAAAGGGGATTACTACTTTGAACCTAATGCCCTAATGGGTGCTGGGGTGGTAATGGATAGAGAGGGGCACTAAACTGGATCAGAAAGACCCAGGAGCCTAGAGTCAAGCCAGAGCTAAGCTTGGCTCTGCCCTTTGACCTGGGTTTGCTTCTGCTCCCACTCTCTGTCTCCAGTGCTAGTCTGGCCCCCCCGAAGTGCTTTCCCCAGGAATTGAAATTGGGGGCTGGAAAATGCCTAAATTCTTACCGGTCTCATGATTTTATAGATAGTCTCACAATATTCGGTGCTTTTCTTAAAGCAGGGTCACCTCATTGAGAGGAGAACCTTGCCTGTAACTAACAAAACGGCTTCTAGTCTGCATGGTCACGCACGAAATGTAAACGTGAAAGGCTGCAGCACCAAAAGGCAAATCAAACCACCCCAGCTGTTATTACAATCCTCATGACTTGGAAGCTGATCTCATGGGGTTTTATTTTGGGGGGAGGGGGTAGGGGAGCCTAAAAATTGATTTTTTAATACATGTGGTGAGCAACTGCATTTTACCTCTTCAAAAAACAAAGTTGGGGAGGGAAAAAAAGACAGAAACTTAAAACCGGACAATATCTGTCATTAATAAGGGTCCATGTTCTAGAATATGTAATGTCACCTCATGAGGGGGCACCAGGCCCAGTAGAAATGCAAACAGCACGTTATTATATAATGCAAGGTAACAACACAGGGCCTGCCGCAAGAACATCCCACTTTCATTCTCTTCCGATGGCCAGTCATAGCTGGTGCAATTCCCAGGTCAGAGCTCAAACCACCCAGGCCAGGCACGGCTCCAGGCCTTGCTTTCCCCCGGAAGAGCCATGTGCAAATAGCACCATCTGCAGGCCCAGGAGGAGTGAGAAGAACAGTAATTACGGGAGGCTTCTGCTGTTGTAGCTGGGTTGGTCCCTGCATATGAGAGAGACCAGGTGGGTGAGGGACTGGACCAACTGCTGGAGGCGAAAGAGGCAAACTTTCAAATTTACAGTGAGCTCATCTTTAGGTCTTTTGTGTACGTTCAACAGCTTGTCTCTCCCCACCACCAGAAGTTGGTCCAGTAAAAAATGTGACCTCACCCACCAAGAATGATCTCCCCGATAATTGGATTTGCGATCTTTGTTACCAAATGGGGATTATTTAACATTAATTATGTGAATTGTGCCATGCCTAGGAGCCCCCGTGTCAGGCGATGCGCACACCCACAGAACAAAGACAGCCCCTGCCCCAGAGGTCTCACCTTCTAAGTAAGAAACTGAAAACATTTTCACATGCAAACTGGCCAGTTCTGTGCATCTCCTCTTACTCCAGCTTTCTCTCCACTCCAAATCCCAGTACCTGTTTGCTCTCCCCACCCTCATCTTTACTTTCAAGCTTCTCAAATCCCTCTGCATGTGTTCCTGCTACCCCACCTTCTACAAGTTGCTTCTCATGCTCCAAAGACACACCTGCTTCCTTCCCGCTCCCTCACTTCAGAAGAGAAGCACTTTTCCCAGGAACATTATACACCATGATGTAACAGCCACCATGTTCCGGCTGAAGCAGATTAACGGTCTCAGGCAGCGTACACATGATCCTACTTCTACAAGCAATCCCATGCTAACAGTGATTGCTGAATTTCCCTGGGAGATGATACCTGGTAGGAGTGAGAGTGTCCGAACCTGTTAGACCACATGCTAACCCTGAACAACCATTAGCTGTATAGCCAGGCAGAGGAAAGCCTATTGTCTCCAGCACCCAATATGAGCATTGCTGGATGCTCTCATCTGCTTTATAGATTATAAAACATTGTATAGGATTTTGCATATTACAACCATGTTTTAAAATATATTTACATCCCCTAGTTCACTCCTAGGGTATATTTTCTTAAAATGACCATTCCCCTTACAGGAAAGATAGTACATTTAATTTTTATATATATTTTGAAATAGTGGGGAGAAAAAAAATAAATGACTCCCTAACCTCCTCCTTTCCATTTTATGCTTGGGACCTAGGGCCTGCCCCAGCATTTCGGGGATGGTTAACACCCTCAGTTGTGTTTTTCATTTAAAAGAAATAGTGATATGGCTGGATGGAGCCAGAGGTGACCATGGACAACAAAAAGAAAAAGGAGGACTTGTGGCACCTTAGAGACTAACCAATTTATTTGAGCATAAGCTTTCGTGAGCTACAGCTCACTTCATCGGATGCATGCAGTGGAAAATACAGTGGGGAGATTTGTATACACACAGAACATGAAACAATGGGTGTTACTATACACCCTGTAAGGAGGGCAATTACTTAAGATGGACAACAGCAAGTCCTTGGAGTCTATCCACATTGGGGGCCTTTCCACCGGCGTTAACTGTATTGGGGCTTAGGAAGTAGAAGATGGTGCTTGCTCAGCTCTGTTACCAGAGCAGATCACAGTTCAATATAAACTTCCCTGGTAGATGCAGTAACAGAACGATGTTGGGGCAGGGTCCCCTAATGCAGACAGCCCTAGGACTTTCACTAGCGTCTACATGAACCGAGGGCATTCGGAGCTGCAGCAAGCGGGGGAGCTGAGTCACAGAAGGCAGGTAATTCAGATGACCAGGGCGGGAAGGAGGTGCTGCAGCAGCAAGGAATAGAAGCGATACATCGCTTGTTAAAAGAGCCCCATTGCCTATCAGATACTCTGTTACGCACCAACTTAGACAGCGATTCCAGCTCCCCACGCCAGCTTGGCAGAAAGAGCTACTGCATAATCCCTCGGCAGGACAGGAATTCCCACGCCTCACTTGGGAGATGCTATGGAGCAAAGGATGCTTGGAGTTTGTGCCAAGAAAGCTGATCTACCTCCCACCCGAGGTACAAATTGAGTCTTTACACGATTGTTCGGCTCCTGGGACTATGGTGAGAGGCCCGGCTGCCATGTCACAAACGGCTTTATTCAAATTGCTGCTGGAGCTTGGTTCTGCTGGACTATGGCAAGTGTCCAATGCATGGAGCCGGCCTTCAGAGCATCTTAAATCCTAGTGTTCAATACATGGCTCTGTGAAACCTGTAACAAGCGGTGCCACTCGGGAGGGCTGGTCAGCCAGAAGCACATTCATCGGGCCCCTGACTGGACCTCTTCTGCATACACCATGATCCAGCAGGTGGGACGGTTGCATAGTAAAGCCTAGCTTTCAATTATGAACATTCCAGCTGGTCCCTTTTATGCCACAATTGAGCAAGTGAAGGCCCTTGTTCACAATGTGGGGTCTTGAGTTCATGTTTTTAGCTTGCCAGGCACAGAACCTGCCCAGCAGAAAAGCAGCCAGCCAAATGCTTTACCATCCATGCTTGTTTTAAGCGGCTCGAGGGAGAGCTTGGCAGGTCAGCTTAAAGCAAGGGAGAGCAGAGATTCTCATTCACAGGGTGGCTCTCAGTGGAACGAGGGGCAGGAGGCACATGCCCGCCCCCAGGGCTTGTGTTTAAGTCTTCATTGGAAGCCAACATTTAAGGACAGAGGTCTTAGGGAAGGAACTGGCCAGTTGTTCACTGCAGCTTGAAACGGCTGCTCTGTGGGCCTACAGTTGGGACTCCGCAAGCACTCTGGGACATACACTCTAGTTGTATTAGACACACAGAGCAATCTTTTTTTTTTAAAGCCTTTATTTCACAAACATGATATGTTTACAAAGACAAATGGAAAACTGACATGATCAGATTTTGAAACAGTGGGAACTAGTCAGATTGCTGGACTCCTTAAAGGCTCCTTCATACCATTGTGGTACCATCCATCGCTTCCCTAGTAAACAAGTAAGCTAAGTGTTTTAAGATGAAGTTTTGTGGACACAGAACATGCTGCAGGGATTTAAGAGGGTTAATCTATTCCTCCCCTTCCTCTTCACCCTCCCCTTCAACAGAATCCACACCAACCTCTTCGTAATCCTTCTCTAGGGCAGCCATGTCCTCCCGAGCCTCCGAGAATTCGCCTTCCTCCATCCCCTCCCCTACGTACCAGTGAACAAAGGCACGCTTGGCGTACATCAGGTCAAACTTGTGGTCCAGACGAGCCCAGGCCTCAGCTATGGCTGTGGTGTTGCTGAGCATGCATACGGCCCGCTGCACCTTGGCCAGGTCACCGCCAGGAACCACAGTGGGGGGCTGGTAGTTGATACCAACCTTGAAGCCAGTTGGGCACCAGTCCACAAACTGGATGCTGCGCTTGGTTTTGATGGTGGCAATAGCAGCATTGACATCTTTGGGCACCACGTCCCCACGGTACAAGAGGCAGCAGGCCATGTATTTCCCGTGGCGGGGGTCACATTTCACCATCTGGTTGGCTGGCTCAAAGCAAGCGTTTGTGATCTCTGCTACAGAAAGCTGTTCATGGTAAGCTTTCTCAGCAGAGATGACCGGGGCATA